TTTTCTTCTTCCTTTCTTTTCTCCTCAGCTTTAGGATACTCGTTGCAGTCGCTCAGCTAGTTGTCAATACACTGAGTTGAGACCGTTACATCAGATACTATAAGGGTATCAAATCGCTACAAGAATTACCTCTTGAGAGCTACCTGCGCAGGTTGTGATCACGGCGTACCCGATGGCGCATCGAGATTCATGTGCTCAGCTCTCGACCTGCATAAAGCACCGCCATTGGATGTGAGCCCGTGTCACATCATCCTTAAGGGCCGTATGCGTTGCTACATGAGATCGAGTATTCTCACGAATTTCCTCGAAACAATGTTCGATTCCAATGACATCCCCTTGGAAAACCTGGTCCCCATCCTGATAGACTTGCTTGACGCAGGATGCAGTTTATCCGATCGCTCAGTAATCAGGATCTGCGGCGGAGTCTTTGATGAACCTGCCGTGGCAGGTGATGACGAACCATGGGTAATCATTCACGGATGGGGTGACACCAGCCCGTTTCCAATTACCCTCTTCGCGGAGGTCAGCGTGTCGTTTCAGTTGAATTTGTGGCTGCTGTGGGCAATTCAAGAGTTGCCAGAACTTCCAGGCCTATCCGAAATTTGTACCATGATGGAGAGAGCAACTACGACGATGTTTGCAAAGCCCCTTGGAATCGTCTTTTCGGACCCCCAGGAGCACCTCCAGACACATGATTTGCGAGTTTCAATCCCATCCGCAACAACTGACAGCAAATTGATCCTAGAATGTTTGAGCCACGTCCAGATCCCCGATGATGGTCCCAGTTGGCAACGCTATTTCATATTTCCTGGCCTCTGCAATCGACTCAAGCGCATAGGGGAAACAGTGCCACCTAGCACCTTTCGTGATTTCGAGCAGTCTCTCGTTGAAGCCGGATATCTCATTTCGGTAGAGGAATTGCGGAAGACGTGGCCACCAAGGCCGTATTCACCGGAACCCGAAAGTTCTGAGATTGGTGGTTGACACGAGTTCATTCTTTGATATGGGCTTACACGTGATTTGAAAGAGCATCATTGCACAAGGTGGAAAGCGGTAAGTTCAGGCTTGATGGAAACGATCAGACTTTATTTCAGCGAGAAGGCTTCCTCATGTTCGGACAGCAACCCCGCTTGGAAGATGAAGCCTTGTCGTCTGCAGCCGCAGACTCCCTCGCCGCAGCCAGCTCCTGCTTGCGACGGCACTCTTCGCTGCAGAGCTTGAACGCGAGGTGTCCCGTGAGGTTTACTGGAATTTGCTTCACGCCCTTGCTGCACCTACCGAGCTCGCCACGTCCCTTGCTCCCCGCCTCGCGGCAGATCTTGGGCTCCTGGCGGCCATGATGTAGGCGCTTGTTGCACTGAGGGCACTTTTGCATCCAGATTCCGAGAACGCACATCTTCCTTGCTCTTTCTCCGGGTCGTAGGAGACTGTGGCAGTGACGGGAATTGAGCGTGTCTATGGAGGGGGACTGTTTCGGCTCGACAGGAATGTGTTGCGAGTTTGGCTTGGCGGTTGCAGGTGCGGTTGCGGTTAGTCCATGTCATTTCGAATCTCAGGAAGGGAGCCAATACCAGATTATATACGTGGGTATGGAGTACGAGAGAAGAGGTTCGCAATGAGTGTTCAGGTGGCCATACACCTACCTCCCCTGTTCTGATGAGGTTCGCGCCCGATGCAGCGCTCTGTCAAAGGACCAGTCCGGTTGGGCAAGAGACTTGCAACAAACAACTTATTCAGTGCCGTGCGACGACTCTGTGCCTCAGCCACAAAGACATATCATGAACACAGAATGAATTCAGGGAATGTACGGGGAAATCTTGGATTGCAACGGTCAGGCCTCTGTTTCTCTCTCTAGTTCCCGGCGCAACGGCGCTTCTATAAGTTCTATTCAGAACAGAGCCTACAGGGACAACATAGTAAGAGCCAGGAAAAAGGCTATTACAGAAGGGAGCAAAAGTTTGTGTGGTAAAGACCAGAGCGGCGGTTATTCAATCCTCTTCTTTCCTTCCTCGGCGTTGAGGTAGCGAGCGGTGCTGAGCCCTCTCTCGTGCCGCGTCACAAACGGTCCGATGACGGCATCCTTGCGCGCCTTGGAGAAGTGCTCTGTGTAGCCATCGACAGCAAAGTGACGAGGGTTCAGGCGTGGCCAGTTGACCTAGGACAAAGCGGGTTAGCCAACATGCTCTGGGCAAAAGACATTTGGGGCTTGCGAAGGTCACTTACATAGAGCATGCCGTGAGTCCAGACAAAATAAAAGCAGTACGCAGCCACAGCACTCCAGAAGAGGATAAAGACGCGCATAGGGAGAACTCTCGCGTCCGGGTCGCGCTTGGTAAAGATGCCGACGAGGACAATAAAGACGCTGAACGCCAGCACATAGGGTATGGATTGGATCATCAGCGGACGCCTGTCCACGAAGACGAGGTTTGTGCCAATGTTAGTCTCCCCTGGCTGGTAGGCGCCCAGAAACAGGTCAAAGGAGTCCTGACGCGGACCGTCTCTAAAGTTGTTGAGATAGTAACGCGTGACGCCGATCCGTGCGTCTTGCAAAGCGCCAACCTTTGTGCGCTTTCCCGTACGGGTCACGTCCGTCTTCATAGCGCCGGTGCCCGAGTAGGAGGAAGAGACGACGTCGGCATTGTCGGCCCAGATATTGCGGAAGATGTGCTCGAAGGCCGGGTCCTCGTCCCGGAAAGAGGAGCCGTGGGCCATGAGGCCAGCCTGCTCGAAGATGCGGTCCAAAACATGGCGGCCAAAGATGCTCTGGACGACGTTGGTCCGATCGAGGCAGTCCATGCAGTTGGTACGCATGACGCTGGTCTGGAGGCTGCGGGCATCGATCCGTCCGTCGACGTTGGCGGGTGTGTCGACACCACGAAAGTAGCCCTGGGCGGCGAGCGCCTCCTGGAGCTTATCGACGAGAGCGTACGCCTTGTGCATCTTCATACCCTTGGTCTCGGTGTGATAGTCAAAGTAGACGTAGTGCAGACGGTCAAGCAATTGCTGCTTCGACCCTGGCTGGATCGTGGTGAACTTCTCGTCAGTCAGCCGGTCGGCCTCATGATGCTCCCTCGGGCCGGAGACCAGCGCCTCCACCATTTTCTCGTACGACTCCTTAACCCTGCATTCTCGGCCCTTCTGGTTGACGAGGTTGATGAGGTAGTTGTCGCCGTAGATGCGGATCTGCTCATCAAAGTGCTTCACCGCGGCCGGAGCGGCAGCCTCGGTGCTGCGAACCTGCAGCTTGGGGACGTAGCGCAGGCTGTTTATCTCGGACCAGTAGGTCGGGACACTTCCTCGGGTCTGGACGTAGGACATTATCTGCATCTCCTGCCCAGCCGAAGCGCCAAACTTGCCGCTCTGCATATCGGTGCTGCCAGCAAAGCCACCCAGGCCGCTACTGCTATCGTTCAGGATGACAACCTGTTCCGTCTCGTTGTAGTTTGCGACGTGACCGTCCTCATCCACGCCACGGGTAAAGTATCTCGTGCCACCGCGGTAGCGCGATCTCCGGGAAATCAGAATCAGCGTCAAGGGTGTGTTCTTGAAGCGAGTGGGCTTGATCTCCAACATGCCGAATATGCATGGCAGGATGTATGGATCGATTGCGGGCTGCGAGCCGGGCTGGCTTCTTGAGCCTCGTCTGCGAAACTCTATGAGGTCGGTTTGCAGGTACTTGTTGAAGAAAAAGCGATCGTCTGCTCTCATCCACAGCGGGCTGGCGGGGTCGGCCTGCGATTGGCGCTGGAAGGAGTTTGTGAGGTCGATCGAGTACGAAAAGTACATGGGCCCGTTCTGCAGGAACGTCTTGAGAAGGCCGATGAAGGTGTCCTCGTCGGGGTCGTGGATCTGACGCTCGCGCATGGGAAGGATCTCGGTCGCGAGCACTTTGTACACCATGTGGCCTTTGAGGCGGCCCATGGGCTGGGCTTTGCTGATGACTATGACATACTTGTCTACACGGCAGATTAGTTTTGCGCCCGCGCCGCGCCAGGGGACAGGACGAGTTGGACCAACCTAGCCGCAGCTGGATGATGCCCAGGATGCCAGCAACGCTCGAGACACGCGAGGCGCGCTTTCCTGCCTGGAGGGCAGGGTCTGCTAGACGAACGTCGCCAGTCGGCCTATCGATGAGGAGCGCCGGCGCATCGGGCGACGAGGGCGAAGTGAAGGTGTAGGCATCGTTGGTGACCTTGATGTTGACGTCCCGGTAGGGGAGCTTGGATGCGGCAAGGGGCGCCATTGCGAACGGGCAGAGCGGCCAGAATTGGCGCCGGTGGTGTGTAAGCTATGTGAGGATCGCAACTCGCGATGGGTTTCTGCGGTGTTACGTCGTGCTTGCGCCCATGCGAAGCGGTGCGGGTTGGGGTTGTGGAATTGATGAGAGAGTGAGCTTTGGGGACGCAGCGGCGATGATGCCAACGAAGCTCACCACCCGGAGCCCGACTAGAGCGGGTTGGCGTGTTCCTGGTACCACAGCCCACCTGCGAACCCGCTGCGGGATTGTCGTCACAGCGGCAGCACAAAGGGCATAGTGGGGGCAGGCCCTGAAGAGGAGAGCCCAGCACTGGAGGCACCGGGCAGGCATGAGGCGGGTCCCCTGCCTGGCCCGGGCGCTCAGGAACCGGCTTGCCACTGGGAATGCCCGGACCTCGGGGCCACTGGCTTGCGAAGTGTCCGGCGCTGACATTTGATTGAGGCGCTGCCCTGGGCTCGCCCCAGAGGGGCTTGGATGCTTACCTAATACGGCGGCGGCGGCGGCGGGTGCTGGCGGCGGCACTGCCTGCTGCCAGGACTTGTACAAAGCTGGAAGTACATGCGCTGGGCTGGGCGCGGCGCAGGTGACCTCCCCCAAGCCACCCCATCAGCGGACCACCTGGGCATCCACCATCCAGTCCGCCGGAAGCACCGCCATTCAACCATCCGCCCATCCATCCTCCTGGAAGCCTGACGTGTGTTCGTACGTACGCCTCCAGGCACTCGCCCACGACCACCATCCACCTCCGCCGCAACGTCGCCGCCACCGCACAAGACGGACCTGTCGCTCGCAACAACGCTCCGATACTCTCTTCGACCCCCGCCGCCGCACGAACCATCTCCAGCGTATCCCGCAAGCGACCCGCATTCGCTCGTCGTTGGACCGCGATTGTTGAGCTGTTGACGCTCGCCGCCCGCCTCCCCGCCACACTCAGTCTCCATTTCGGCCCGTTGCGCACACCCAGAGCCAAGCAATATGGCAGCTCGAGGACCTGCCGGCGGTCGCGGCATGAACAGCCGCTTCGCGCAGTTCAAGCTCGTTCTGCTCGGTACGTCCGAATCTGCGTCTCGTCATCGGCGTCGTCACCCGCTAACATGTGCCAACAGGAGAGTCTGCTGTCGGAAAGGTGAACATTGTCGGCTAGCCTAAGGCCTGTGATTGACTTGCTGACCGTGTACATGCTGCAGAGCTCAATAGTCCTGCGATTCGTCAAGGTATGATGGCCGACGAAGCTGCGGTGGGCTCGATGCTGACCGGCGACCCAGGACCAATTCGACTCGTTCAGAGAATCCACCATCGGCGCCGCTTTCCTCACCCAGACCATCTCTCTCGACGAGAACACCACAGTCAAGTTTGAGATCTGGGACACGGCCGGCCAGGAGCGCTACAAGTCGCTCGCGCCCATGTACTATCGCAACGCCAACTGCGCCGTTGTTGTCTACGACATTACACAATCCGTACGTCCTATCCCACCCTTCGCGGCACAGGTCGTATTCTAACCCGATTTTATCAAAGGCATCTCTGGACAAGGCAAAGGCATGGGTCAAGGAACTTCAGCGTCAAGCCAACGAAAACATCATCATCGCGCTCGCCGGCAACAAGCTGGACTTGGTCAACGAGCAACCCGACAAGCGGGCCATTCCCACGGCCGACGCCGAGGCCTACGCACGGGAGGCCGGCCTTCTCTTCTTCGAGACCTCGGCAAAGACGGCCGAGAACGTCCGCGAACTCTTCACTGCCATCGCCAAGAAGCTCCCTCTGGATCAGGTTGGCCCCAGGCATGCCCGCCCCGGTCAGCGACCCGGCGTCAACCTGACCCCCGAGAATGCCAACACCAACGTCAGCGGCCCGTGCAGCTGCTAAGTAATCTCTGCTACGCTTGTGGCTGCGCCCGGGCGGTATCGCTGGCCTCCTTGCACGCCTCGAATGCCTCCGTGGAATGATCGTCGGGTTAAGCTGAGGATAGACTGACAGCGGGCGACTGAGACTTGGCCTGCGCCTGTGTGCCCAAGTACGATGTATGTTTCTCGGAGTCCTGGGTTTGGAGGGTTGTTCATCGGCAGACATTTCTATTGCTTATTTGCCCTTTCCGTCTTAATATACACACTATATTCCCCGCCCACGGCTGGAGGCGGCTGCCTGAGATTGCCCTGGCGCGATTGTTCAGTGAGGTGGCGGGCGGTGACAGTCGGCAATGCGGCATTGGGGTCTCTCGTCGCTGTACATTGATTTATTCTAGGATATTAGAACTCTTCCCCAGCCCAAGGTGGTTATTCACGAGCTTTGACATTTGGTAGCGCCTCACTTGACTTGGCGAAGCGGGACCATCGGCTTGGCCGGATGCGTGCATTCAGACAAAGTGACCCGGCGTACGCAGCGCGCGTTATCACACATTACAGTGCACATATCCCGTGGTAATGTCACATGAATAGCTCGATTGTCGTTCTTATTTTCAGCCGCGTGGTGTGTCTTGTCTAAAGTTAATGGCCGCCGGGACATGAGGTGTGGTTGCGTCACTCCCGGTTCCTGCCGCAGCAAGGCCCGAAGCTTGCTTTAGCCGAACTTTTGCCTGAGCGTTTTTGTCTGCCGAATCATCACCAGACGCCGAGCTTCTACCTGCAAACCACACGTGCCATTGCCGGCCATTGAAATCCGCCCCATGCTGCGATCATCGCTTCGGACAGTGAGGGTGCTCGGCGGCAGGCCCGTTGCGGCGGCCGCCGTGCGCCAATGGCCCATTGCCGCGTCGCAGCGAGCTGGCCTCCTTGGCTCGGTAAGTCGACAAGCGCGCGCCTCCAGGGCGGTTCACATGCGGACATGAGGATGCTTACAATTGCTTGCGCAGCGCTCTTTCGCCGACCAGAGGAAACCGGGCGAGGACGCGTCGAAACCCCCGGTCTTGCCCGCCTCCGAGACCTTGAGCTCCGAGCGAAGCCCGCCGCCGGCTGACCTGGGTCAAGCGAAGCCCGAGGCCGCCAAGGACGTCCCTCTGACGCCGCCCACTCCGTCCGAAGCTGTCAACAGACAGGCAGATCCTGCGACGACTATTGACGATGTCGGCGAGTCTCGCGCCAAGCACGGCTCCATCCACCCGCTGGCCGGCGGCAAGCCCGAGCCGACGACCACGATTGATGACGTCGGCGAGTCGACGGTCCTCCAGAGCAAGGTCCCGCCGCCGCCGCCGTCGTCGCCTAAGAAGAAGGGCTTCATTCGCAGATTGAGGAACTTTGTCTTCACTCTGATTCTCCTGGGCGCTGTTGGATTCGGCGGCGGTGTTTGGTACTCTCGTATCAATGACAACTTCCACGACTTCTTCACCGAGTACATCCCCTTCGGAGAGCAGGCTGTCCTGTATCTGGAGGAGATGGAGTTCAGGAAGCGCTTCCCCCAGGCTGCGGCGGCTGGCTCCAGGCCTCGCGACTCCAACGAGCAGGTCCGCATCCCCGCCCAGAGCGGCGCCTCATGGAGGGTTGCCGATAGCGGCGAGCCTGCTGGACGTCACTCGAGCGCCAACCCCGTGTCCAAGCTGTCCACCAAGCAGCCGGCGACCAAGTCGCCAGACGAGCCCGCCAAGGCTGAGTCGCCAAAGCCTCCTGCCCAGGAGACTCAACCGGCTCCGGCCAAGGCCGTCGAGAAGGCCACGCCTCAGGTTACCGAGAAGTCCACGAAATCGTCCTCCGAGTCCTTCAAAGCACCCGAGGTCAACGAACCCTCCAAGTTCCCGCCTCTGGCACCTATCGATCTCATGGCGCTCCCCGATGCCAAGGAACCGGTTGTGCGTGACCTTGTTCACATGCTCAACGATCTGATCCTCGTTATCAACGCCGACAACGCCCACGGCAAGTACGGCACGACCATCAACAAGGCGAAGAACGAAATCACCAGAATTGGTGGCAGGCTCAAGGCCATGAAGGATGGCGTCGAGAAGAAGGCAGCCAACGAGGTCAAGTCCTCGATCGAGGAATTCGACAAGGCGGCCACCGAGCTTATCAAGCGTGTCGAGAACACCATGCTCGCGCAGGAGATTGACTGGCGCCGCGAGTTTGAGCAGGAGATGACCAAGGTGCGCGAGAGCTACGACGAGCGCGTCAAGCTCCTGCTTGAGCGGGAGAAGAAGCTCAACGATGAGAAGCTGCACAACCAGCTTTTGGAGCAGGCCGTGGCCCTCAAGAAGGAGTTTGTGCAAGACGTCAAGGATCGTGTTGAGCAGGAACGCGAGGGCCGCCTTGGCAAGCTGACAGAGCTCTCGTCGGCTGTCGCCGACCTGGAGAAGCTCACGACCGGGTGGAACGATGTCGTCGACTCAAACCTGAAGACGCAGCAGCTGCACGTCGCTGTGGATGCCGTCCGCGCGAGCCTCGAGGATGCCCAACACCCGCGTCCTTTCATCCGGGAACTCGTCGCTCTAAAGGAGACTGCCAACGACTCGCCTGTAGTTGACGCAGCGATTGCTTCCGTCAACCCGTCGGCCTACCAGCGCGGTATCCCCACGTCGGCTCAGCTCATTGACAGATTCCGCCGTGTTGCCGGCGAGGTGCGAAAGGCCTCGTTGTTGCCGGAGGATGCCGGTGTCGCCAGCCACGCGTCCAGCTGGGTCCTGAGCCACGTCATGTTCAAGAAGGAGGGTCTCGCCGCGGGAGACGATGTCGAGAGCATCCTGACGCGGACTCAGACGTACCTGGAGGAAGGAGACCTGGACTCGGCGGCGCGAGAGATGAACGGCCTGCAGGGGTGGGCGAAGACGCTCAGCAAGGACTGGCTTGGCGAGGTGCGCAAGGTCTTGGAGGTGCAGCAAGCCCTCGACGTAAGTGTCCCTGGAGTCGCATTCGCATAAGAAATGGCATATCGCTAACAACGTTGCAGGTCATTGCCACAGAGGCACGGCTACAGAGTCTGAGGGTGGACTAAAAAGGCGGTCTTCTTTGTCCTGTATATTGGCTTGGGATGGGTGGCGACTAGAGGGCCGCAGGCCCGTGTACTAGATATGAATAGACACCGAAGACGGGATTTTTCGCATTGAAGAAGTTTTGACGAGCCCAGATCCTTCGCAGCGACTTGCTTTCGTGCCTTGTCTTGACATGGTGTTGAGACCCGGTTCGTGTTAGTGGTGCCCCAGCGCAACACGGGACGTCATTTTAGATCGCCAGTGGCCCAGAGGGCGGCACGGAAATCTCTACTTTATGCCTCGCACTTTGTCCGTCCATCAACACGATCCAATCCGCGCTCGTGAAGAACACGCTCCAGCCATGATGACTGGCTGATAAGGGAACCCCTCTTTGTACGACCCTGTGCGTGAGACACAGCGAGGGGCTCATCGCGCAAGTCCTGTCCCGCCGCACACGCCCAACGATGACTGCAACCACGAGCCGTTTCTCGGCGTCTATCATCACGGCCAGTCGACCACGCATCTTTTTGAGAAGCTCGATCTCGCGGTCAAGAGCTACAGCCATAATGCATAGCCCCGGCAGCAACCACCGCCCGTTCAGCGCGTCGTCGCGCGGCTACCCGGAGGCGCTGGAGAAGCTCGCCCTGCTGCAGTCCAACCGCGCGACCACGCAGCTCTTCGACCAGCGCAAGACGCCGCGCGAGCTCAACGCCGCGGCCATCCCCGAGATGCTCGACTGGCTGCGTCGTGCAGGCTACCAGCCCGCGGACCTGGCGCGCCTGCGGCACATTCACGTCGCCGGCACGAAGGGCAAGGGCTCGGTGTGCGCGTACGCGACGGCCATGTTGCGCGAGCACTACGCTGGCGGCGAAGGAGATGGTAAAGGCAGCGTGGGCACGTACACGAGCCCGCACCTCGTCAGCCCGCGGGAACGCATCGCCATCGATGGGGAGCCCGTCTCGCAGGACGTCTTCGCCTCGGCCTTTTTCGAGCTGTGGGACCGGTTCACCGCATCAGCCATCGCGGGAGGCAGCACCATGTCCGCGGCAGAGGCCGAGGGCCCCGCGACGAAGCCCTTTTTCTTCCGGTTCATGACGATCCTCGCGTGGCACATCTTCCTCACGCGCGGGGTGCGCAATGTAGTGCTCGAGGTCGGCATCGGGGGCGAGTTCGACGCCACAAATGTGGTGCCCGCCGAGGCCGTCTCCGCGGCCGTCATCACGCAGCTAGGCATCGACCACGTCGCCATGCTGGGCGAGACGGTCGAGGAGATCTCGTGGCACAAGGCGGGCATACTGAAACCCGGCGTGACGGGGTTCACGAAGCGGCTGGACGGTCAGCCTGGCGTCATGGACGTGCTGCGCAAGAGGGCGGCCGAGAAGAACGCCACGCTGGTGGAAGTCGACGATGAGGCTGTTGAGCGCTGGGCTGGCGTGGAGGGCACCCTGAAGGGTGCATTTCAGAAACACAATCAGGCACTGGCCGTCATGGCCGTGCGGAAGCACATAGGCTTGCAGGACAGCAGCCCTGAGGCTGCGTTGCGGGACCTATCGCCGGAGCTCATCCGCGGACTACAAACCGCGAGGCTACGGGGGCGATGCGAGGTCGTGGACCAGGAGGACGCGACGTGGCTGCTGGACGGGGCGCACACGCGGGAGAGCCTCGACGAGGTGGCACGATGGCTCGCCGCGTCGATACAGCCCGGCGAGAAGCTGACGCTCGTCTTCAACCAGCAGGAGAGAGACGCCTCAGAACTTCTGAAATCTTTCCTCGCGAGCGTCAGGCAAGAGACGGGCGGCCGGGGAGACGTATTTAGCCATGCGCTGTTCACGCGAAACGACCACTCGCGGCCGCCGCCCGGGGAGGTCGTCGACTTGAGCGTACAAGACGCAGCGGAGGCCATGATGAGAAGGCTGGTTCCAGACTGCCAGACGCAGACAATGACCAGCATAGAGGATACGGTCGCCGAGGCAAGGCGCATCGCGGGGCAGCAGCGGACTGGGTCGAAGCCAAAGGTGCTAGTCACGGGCAGTTTGCATCTTGTGGGTGGTATCCTGCGAGCCTTGGAGCCCGACGTTCTATTGTAGACAAGTCTGTCAGGTTATTCATATACCCATATACACGGCCCGACTTCTACCTCTGAATAGTCAGACTCCCTCCCTACAAGGCATCCGCCTGCTCCAATATCCCCAACGCTCCCCCCACCAGATGCAGACTCCCCGTTACGTACGCCTGCACCTGCTCCCCGGGACCAAGTCCCTCGCCCACGTGCCGCGCATAGTCGAGCGCCTCCTCGATGGTGGGCAAGACAACCACCTTGGCCTCGGGGTCCAGCTCCGACCACTTGTCGGCGAAGCGGCGCTGGACCGTCATGTTCTCAATCTCCTTGGGGTCGATCTGGTGGTTGACAAAGTCGCGCTTGTAGCCCGTCTTGGCGTACGTGACGTTTGTGCAGAAGACGACGTGGTCAAAGGATGAGCCGCTCGCCGCGCGCTGCGTCGCGCTGTGCACCGAGCAGAGGAAGTCGACGGCTTCGGAGCGGCCTTGCTGGTTGAAGATCATGACGCGAGGGCCGGGCCTGCGCGTTTCATGTCAGTGGCCTAGTAGTGATGTGAGGGGCGAGGCGGGATACATACCGACTGGCGGTCTCGTCGGCGAACCACCGCGATGACATCTTCAGACTGTCTGAGGTGTGCGCGCCGTCCACGTACCAAGTGACCTTGTCTTCTGACTTGACCTCGCAGCGACCTCGGAACACCGTCTGCTCCAACCCGTCGACAAACTCCGCAGGCAAATCCGGTCCCCCGGTCGTATCTACGCCCAGCTTCTTCAGCGCCGCCTCTGCCAGCGCAATCGCGAGGGTCGCATTCTTTTTCTGAAACTGCGCGTTGGGCTTGATCTTGACATTGCGCAGCCGGCTGTCAATGTCAAGCACCTTGAGGTCGACTTCCTTCTCCTTTGCTCTCTCCTGAAGAACCGCAGCCGCCCCGGGGACCTGCTCCACGGTAAAGGCCGGGCTGCCAATCTTCATGATGCCGGCCTTGTGCCACGCAATCTTCTCGACTGTGTCGCCCAAGACAAAGACGTGGTCAATGCCAAGGGTGCTGATACCAGAGGCAATCGGCTGCTCGACCACATTCGTGGCATCGTATTCGCCGCCGATACCGGTCTCGTAGACCGCCACATCGACGCCCTCCTGGATGAAGGCATGCCAGCTCATGAGCGTAAGGTAGCGGCCGTACAGCGGGCGCGTGCCCAGCGGCACGACATTCGCCGCCGTGGTGGACTCCGCCAGCCGGTCCCATACCTCGAAAAAGTACTTTGCGAAGAGCTCCTCGGATATCGGCGCCGAGTTGATGCGGATACGCTCGCGCACGGCGATGAGGTGCGGCGATATGAAGAGGCCGCTCTTGCGCGGCACCTGATGGGTTTGCCGGTACTTGGAGAGGATGGAATCGACAAAGGCGCACGTGCTGCCCTTGCCCTTTGTGCCGGCAACGTGTATGATGTTGAGGCGGTCCAGATCACCGGGCTTCTCCTGTCAGCCGGGCACTCGGCGATTGAGGGTTGACCTACGTAGTAGCCTATCCGGGCCAGGTAAACCCTCATCTCCTCCATGGACGCAGCATCGGGCCGCACGCCGGCCTTGCGCCTGGCCTCTATTACCTCATGGGGCGTCTGTAGTGAGTTGAGCGCATCTATGGCGTCCTGACGGCTCGTCAGCATGGGGGGGTAACGAGACAGCGGTTTAATGGCTCACATTGTATGTCCTCCTGCCCGTCGCCATGGTGCGCAGCGTGGAGTGTCGAGTGGTTATGATGAAATTCTGGATGAGAGCGAGGGGACGCCTCGACACATGGCGCATCGAGTTGGCTCAGGGCGCGCGCGTCTGCAGCTGCAGCAAGGTTGACGGCCAGTGGAGGTAACGCAGGTAAGACAGTGGGTGAGTGAGTGAGTGAGATGCCGCAAGCGGGCCGGCAATCGGCGAGTCGGATCGGATTGGGGGCACTGTGGTCGTGCTGTGGGACCCGGCGGCAAGGCTTGAGGTCGCTTCAGCGCTCTGACACTTGGGTCTTTTCAAATTTTGCAAAAGATGACGAGGCCGTCAAGTCTGTTTCGTTGGATGCTGGACGGGGGTTTTGTCGCGGTTGCTGAGCGGGCGGATATTCTCGGCAGGTGCCGCGAGGTGGACAAGTCCGCCGTCCACGCCATACTTTATACGGACATCACCAAAAGACTAGGAGGCATAGATGGGCATCAAGAGGCAAACACCACTCATTTCATCCAAAAATCACGGCTTCTCCCCGAGACACTTTTCGCTGCTCCTCAATCCCCAACTCCTTTACACGTTCGCGTGATTTGCGGCCAGCATGCATTGGCTCACAAAGGCGCCTCAACTAGCCGACCTCATCATTGATCTCCTCCCCATACTTGTCCACCGCCCAGCGCTTCATGCCCTCATCCAGGGCCTCGCCGAAGCCCTTGTCGTAGCCGACGCCGCTGGCCAGATAAGCCGGGCGCGTCCTCCACGTGAGCCAATTCTCGGCCATGACACCCTCGGGGGCACGGAGGATACCCGTGGCAATGTCGACGACGGTCTGGGCCTCGTTCGGCCGGCGTTCCGTACACGTGAAGAAGACGGTGGCGCCGCAGGTTCCGCAAAACGAGCGCAGGACTCCCTCCGACGTCGAATAGGTCTTGGACGTCCCGATTTTGAGCGTCGTGTCGATGCGCGGCTCGCAAAGACTGAGGGGCACAAATGTCCAGCCGACGACGTGAGTGCCTGTGACGAGTCGGCAGTCGTTGCAAATGTCGTAAAGTCCCATCCACTTCGTCTTGTCGCGCGGCGAGACAAACTTGGAAAGAACGGGGTCGTCGAGGACGGCCTGCGTAGGGCGCCGGATGGTGAAGGACACGCCGCCGCACTGGCACTGGGCCCGGAGGCGCTCCTCACCATCCTCGCCTACCTCAGCCTTCGACTCGACAAGTTTGGCAGTCGGATCATCGGCCGCTGGGTTCCAGGATCCCAGCTGTTGGCCGCGGATGTGCGTGACCATCGAAGAGATTCCCCCATCTTTGGCCGACTCTGAGAAGACGTGCTGGCCAATCTTGAAGTTCTCCGGTCCATGGTCCGTGAAGATGGACGTGGTGGGAGTCCACTGCTTTCGATCAATGCTCACGCCGCCGACGTGACACCCGCATCTCGAGCAAAAGTCGTAAGTGCAGCCGCGTCCATCGTGAGACAACCACGAGGTAAGCTTCTCCTCGGACGAGTCTCCGAGAAACTTGGGCAGCAACCCCTCGGGCAATGCTGTATGAAACGTACACGGAGACCCGGTCGCGTATCGACACAAGCTGCAATGACAGAGATAAACGGGCAATGGCAACAGACTGACAGGCACATCAAAGGTCAAGTGCACATCACCGCAAGAGCACTTGGCCTCGAGCGTCTTGGTTTCACCGGCGTCTGCCATGATGAAGCTGGATGGAGCAAACGAAGCATGTTCGAAGAAAAGACCGGAAAGCGATCAACATGAGCTTTCCTTTCTTTAAATAAGCCCGCCCTACGACTTAGAGGGGGGTTCAACGCCGCGGGCCGTCGGGTGCGACGGTTGACAGTGCTCGTATTCGCCCGTGAACGCGGAGGGAACATTGACAGGACCCCGACCCCACCAAATAGGCAGGCAACCCGCTGCGGGGAAGTTAACCGTTGTTCAGCCGCGGCGTCTGCCTTGTACCTCCACGCGCGACCCGCGAACCCCTGTCAAACGGGCCGTCACTTTTTTTTCGTCGCGCCGTTCCATCGAACGCCACCTTCTCACACTTCTCAAGCCGCCATGTCCGGAGCTACCGCAGGCAGCCTCGACGATGTCGAGAGACATCGCCTGCAGCTTGAGGAGAACATCGCTCAGCTGCGCAAGGCCCTGCAACACTGGCAGACCTGGGACGCCGAGTATGAGGCCTTGAAAGAGGAGGTCGAAGCTTTCACCGAAGAAACCAGCTCAAACGGTGAACTCCAGCGGGTCCACGACGAATTCGAAGGCGAGCTTCTGCGCGGAAAGGAGCTTGACGAGATTTTTGGACTCCCGAATCCGCGGCGAGCTGACCAAATTATCGGGCTTTTGGACCGGCGCATCGACTATGTCTCCAAAAGCGTGGAGAGCTTGCAGAAGCAGCTTGACGCGGCAGAGAGCAAGCATGCCGCCCTTGCTGCCGCGGCGAGGGAGCAGGACGACCTCGACGAGGATGGCCAACCGATAACAGAGATTGTCGAGGAGCTGGACGACGACGACAATGTTCTGTCGTACCAGTTGAACCGTCCTGGAGATGCGGTACCGAAGGTCCGGGAGGCTTTGGAAAAGGCAGGCGTTACCGCTTCGTCAACGTCCGAAGGCTTGCCCACAAACGAGAACACGTCCTCCTCTCAACAGGAATACAAGCCCAGTCAAGCCAAGCCGAAAGCCGTGGACCGTTCCCAACGATCCGCTGAAGCGGCACCTTTGCCCGCACCAAAGAAGGTCGTGTCCTTCACGGAAGATGTGCCCATGGAAGACGCCCCGACACCTGCACCTGAGCCCAAAATGTCTCGTCAGGCGAGGCGCGTTGAGCAAATCATGAAGACTGCAAAGGAGCAGGAGGACATGAGCATGGACAAGGCTGTGATCCCAGACGACGAGGACGAAGACGACGCCGAACTACGACAGCAGATGCTCAGCTATAGCATGGGCGAAGTAGGTGCAGTTGTCGCCGAGCTCCAGCTCGAGGAGGACGATACCGACTACGATGACGATGAAGGATTCGATTACGGTGACGAAGGGTTCGATGAGGATGAGGATGACGACGAAGACAAGTGGGGCCGATCAACGGGGCAGATGGTCACGGACGACTATCGCCAGCGCATGCTTGAGCTTGAGAGGAGTCTCGGCATCAAGTCCCGCTTTACCGAACAGGCTGCCGACGAGGAAGGCGAGTCTTCTGACGACGGTGAAGGCATCGGCCGCATCGTCATCAAGAAATCCGAAAACGCCCCGTCTGCGTCTAAGCCGGCACCAAGAAAGTCGAGCTTGAAGGACAAGCAGCCCAACGGCGAAGAGAGAAAGGGTGTGCGGTTTGCTCAAAACCTCGACATTGCTCCGGAGCCGGAGTCGCAGCCGGAGCCAGTCGCTTCCGCTGTCAAGGAGAGAGAGGAGCCCGTTGTTGATCCTCTTAGCGATATCGTTGAGCGATCCGTCCCTCCCAAGTCTGCAGAACCCCCGGCCCCACGGAGGCAGTCCCGTTTCAAGAAGGCCAGGGGCGACGGTCCTTCAAGTGGAGGCCAGCCCAAGGGACCCTTTGATGCTCCTCCGCAGTTCCTGGACAGTGACCCAGGACAGCCGACTCCGACCGGCCCTGAAGGCGCCACACTCGCAGAGCGCCTTGTGGAAAGGGAAACCACCGCTGCGCCCTCTGGCTTTGTCGAACCTTTGGATCAGAACGCGGTTGCGGACGAATACCATCGGCTCCGGAAGAGGTTCATCCAGCGACAAGGAGGCTTCCTTAAGGAGGACGAGACTCCGACGCGGGAAGTTGTCGACGACAATGAGCCGCAAGAACATGTCAGCCGCTTCAAGGCTGCCAGACTCTCTCGCCAGTAGTGGGATTGCCTGGACGATCAAGGAACAAGAAACAAAAGATACCAGCATTGGAGCATTTAGAGGGCGTATTGATACACGAATCGACATGTCTGCCAAACAACGTGGCTCGCTCGCCCCAGTCTGCCCATGGCACTCATCTTTCTTTTTGTTCCCATCCTCGTCGTCGTCGTGAAATGCTAATTGACGTGAGCGTGTCTCTCACGCGACCGTGTCGGAAGGCGCTCAATCTGACAATTGGTGGGTTGCAGCTAGCTCATCTGCTCCCCATTACCGCGCAATTCCAAGATCGAACCTTCACCTGATTACAAAGGGCTCTCTGACGCCATGAACCTTGATTTTTCTTCTCCGTGGTCTCGGCGATTCGTTTCACCCTTTACATTTCAGTCCATAAGACTAATAGATGTCATCACGCCTTGTCGCGCCCTCCTTCTTGGTAAAGGTAGATCTCTAAAGCAAAGTCTGCCCAGTTGTAGCTGCCATCAAGAGCCATCCAAGATGAATCCCGGTCCGTGGACCTACCTGCGAATCATTCCAGATCCAAGCTTACGCCCGTTGTGGCGTGTCGTGAAATAGATATCTGTACCGGCCTTCGTATCCGCTCTTACGGTTCCAACAACGAATCCTAAGAGCGCAACGGAAATTCGTCCGCCGCACGTTCACTGAACACGACATGACCTAGCACGCAGTGCACAACAAATCAATACAAAAAAAAAAAAAGAAATCGCGACCATGAGCCAGAATCACGAACGGCTCATTGATCCATTGACCCTACAAAGCCATTCGCGCTTCTTCTTCACAGAGGTACAGGGTAGTCAAGTTGAAAAGGTAGCGCTGCCAAAAAAGGAAAAGGAAGAGTCAATGGGGGCAAAAAGGAACTTGACGGCGCCAACGGGGGCAAAAAAACGTGGTTTCGCCCGGGCTCGAACCGGGGACCTTCTCGGTGTTAGCGAGAAATCATGACCAACTAGACCACGAAACCATGCGTCTTTGTTGAAGAACGGTGCGCTATTTTAGTACTGGTAGGTTGGCTGCTGGCAATGGATACCACCAGCAGACTTGCCTGGCCCGCTACAATGTTCGCTGCGTTGATCTACAGCCGACAATACTTTGTGAGAGAAATGAAATTGGTGACTGCCGAATTCGAGCCTGGTTCGCGCCAGTGCAAGGAGGGGACACATGAATGGGATTAGAATTCCAAGTTCCGGTAAAGGCACCCGCCCAAGTCAGGAAAGGCTGCGGGCTAGAGCATGTTGGTATCTGTCGGCATAGTCTGCCTTCGTCCATGTTGTACAATGCTTTTACACGTATTTACACGCCGCCCGTAATGGCGGGGTTGTCCGGTATATCCAACGGGTGCCGGCAAAGAGGCGTCGATACCTCATTTGCCCCCCTTTCCAAAGAGAGATGTCACAGTGTCCATGAACGTCGCCTGTCCCTCGGCCTTTCTTGATTCCCTCTCCTCCTTTTGCGCCGCCCAGATCTGCTTGACGCTCTGCGCCACGTCCGTCTTGGCCTGCAGGTCAGCCCGCAGCGCAGCTTCCTCCAGCGCCCGCTCGTCCTCGGGCAGCTGGCCCAGCTTCTCCTTCCACTGCTTCTCCACCTCCTCTGTCGGCATGGCGGTCTGCGCGCTCGCGCTGGGTAGCGTGGGGTTGAATACGGGTATGGGCGTGCCGTCCTTCTTCGCCTGCTCGACGGCTGCTTCGTGTTTGAGCATTCGCTGGAAGAGCGTGTCGGCGTGCATCTGGATGTCTTCGTCGACTTGTGCTGGCCGGCCTAGCACGGAGCCGTATCCGAGTGCTCTCAAGAATCTCTGTTGTGAAAATGATTAGCCGAGGAACGAATCGCCTGCATTCCGGACGGGAGGAGACTGACTGATTGCATCGTGTAGCACCGTTCGAACCTCCGGACTTGGTGCCGGCACATTTGCAGCTGGTCCTCCCAACTGCCGTTCCTCATGCAGTTCACCCACTCCTCCTGCTGCAGCGCGCAGTTCTCGAGCGCCGCGCGCCCAATGGCTGCCTTGCGCTCCTTGAAGCCCTCCAGGACGCTTATCAGCTTGTCGTGATCGGTCGCCGATTCCGACTCGACTTGCGCCAGTGGGCGGTAGTTCTTCCACAGGTGCGCATAGCGGCCGTCCTGGTAGAGGCTGGCCGACGGCACCGCGGCTTCTTTGCCCTTTGGCTCTGCTATCGGTTTCGCGTCATGCTGCTGTGTCGGAGGGGTGGTGGTGGTGGTGGTGGTCGGAGGCGGAGCGGTGGCAGCAGGTTCGTTCGGCGTGTACTTGACGGGTGATTCCCGCTCGAGGAATTCGCGGAGCTTGGGGTCGAGCTTGCCCAGCGGGTCGGAGGGCTTCTCGCCGCCGAATATGGAGGGCAGCCAGCCCATTTCAGGAGGGTTTCGAAGTTGTACAGGCCGCAGCGACTGATGTGCAGAGACTCTGTGTCGCAACAGACTTGGAGCACCAGGATGGATGGTCGGAGCGGAGCAGGTCGACGATTTCGTGAGTGCGACTAACGGCTGGCACTGTGTTCAACACTGTACGTGCAACGCCGACTCAATAACAGAACTTAAGCTCAATGTTCAATTGTCCTATTAGACGCACGGATTGAATCTCGAGATAGTGTCTGGAGAGTGCTCAATGCCATGGATTGCGCAGGATGCTCGCTCCGAAACCAGAACATGCCCTTTCGTGATCCATCAGATTGCAACTGTCGCATTTTCATCCCCCCAACACATGTTGACCTCAGATGTCCAAGACGTGGCCTGTCACTGTCACCCACAAACGATGCGAATAGCCGTAAACCGGAACCCATTTTGGATTGTCAACGACAACGCCCACCCATGGTGTGCCCTTGTTGTGTATCTCGAGTTGCATTCATGAACCCTTTTATTTGCGGCTGCAACTACAGCAGAATCATTGCCCATCAACTTCCGGTGCCCGACCCTCCAGTGGGAATAGCCTATTCCCCCTGTTGTTTATCACGCCAAAAATGCCAGAAGAGAAGCCCAATTTAGAACTTGCTGAATTTCTTAACGGCCTTGCCGGTTCGGGGAAGGACGCGGAGGACGTTGAATCGGACCTGGAATCAGTCAGACACTGCAGTTCGGGCGCGCAGGCTCGCAGCATGGTGCGTGGTGGGTATGGACGTACAGTCTTGCTCAGGGGGCGGCACTGGCCAACGGTGACCTGGTCACCCTCCTCGACACGGAAAGCGGGGGAGACGTGGGCGGCGAGGTTCTTGTGGCGCTTCTCATAACGAGAGTACTTGGGGATGAAGTGGAGGTATTCTCTTCGGATGATGAGGGTGCGGTGCATCTTCGTGGAAACGACGGTGCCGGTCAGGATACGGCCGCGGATCGAGACAAGGCCGGTGAAAGGGCACTTCTTGTCTGTACGGCCAGTCAGCATACTCGCGCTCAACAGCATTTCACGGCTCCCCCGACTAGGGCTCTCTCGAACTATCGTCCGTCGCGCGGGTCGTCATCTTTCGGAAAAAGCGTCGCCCGCCCGGTCGTCGACATTCTCGATTCGAAGCCGTCGTCATCGCTCGAAACGTACCGATGTAGTTGCCCTCAATGGCGGTCTTGGGGGTACGGAAACCCAGACCAACGTCCTTGTACCATCGTCGTCCACCCTTGCCGGGCCGGGCGCTCTTGGCCTTGACTTTGGAGTTCTGGAAGATGTGAGGCTGCTTCTGGAAAGCGCGCTCCGACTGGACGGTCAACTCGGTCGCCCTGGAGGAAAACAGTCAGCGAGGGGCGGTTCTTCGATTGATCGTATGGGCATCGGCGCGGCGCAAACTGACATCTTGAATTATCCTGCTCCGGGGAGGGTGTCGTGACAGGAAGGCTGGTCGTTGATGGTCGATGGTCGCGAGAAAGTGTTTGGGCGAATGGAGGAGTAGGGCAATCGCACACCAATTTTTTGCATCCACCGCCTTAGGGCTTGCAAAATTTGGATTGGCCCGGTAGGCGACGACCCGCTCTTCGTGCATCCGCTTGGCACGTGACCGTACAGACCGGACACGGTCAGCTCACGTGATGGTCTGTGGAGTGTCGCGACGCACGGGCCAGGCGGGTGGAGGCACTAGCGCCAAGAAGCGGTACGTACTGTGCTATTCCGTACCTGCCCGCCAAAGTAAACAAACACGCCCTGACGTTATCGCGAGCTCCTCCATGCAAACGACGCGACGACCATCGATTTGGCTTGTCCGCGTCGTCGACCACGACTGTCGCCCAACATGTCTCCGCCCACTGAAGCTACCATACCGGCGACTCGGCGGACACGCAAGTCGATAGGCGCGCATACCGACATTCGAAAAGCCATGGACAAGGAAAACGCGACTGTCGACGTCGGCAGCTCGCTGGCCGCCAATCGCAAGAAGTCTAGGAGCAAGAGCATGGGGCCTGGGGGGCTCGATGCTTTGAAGCAAGGTCATGGAAATAGGCGCGCAGTATGAGCTTCCCTATATTCTTATTCACTGTTGTTTTCTAACGTTTGCGACAGTCCCTAGCCGCTCCGATCAAACCTCCGCGATCGATCCTCAAACCTACCATATCTGCGCTTCCCGAGATTCCCCCCTTGAAGAAAGGAGGTAGAGGCGCGTCGAGCTCCGGAAGCACACGCGACTCTACGAGTACCGCAAGCTCGGGTGAGGACTCGAGCTCCAAGATAGCTGTACGGACCGAAGAGGAGCAGCAGGCCGCGGCGCGCGAACGGGAAGAACGTGAGCGACGAGATGCTCGCCGAAAATCTCTCGCGAACCGACGGGTGTCCTTTGCGGCAGAAGCGACACTTCACACTTTTCACGAAGTGGAATATATGCAAGACTCCACTACGTCGACAGATTCGTCACGGAGAGCATCGGCTGCCGGCAAATCTTCTGAGCCTCCTACTGCAAGCCAAAGAGAGGAAACTCCTCAAGCGCAATTTGACACTGTACCCGATTCTCCGGACGATCAGCGAGAACTCCATCAACGCAAGCGACGCAGGAGCTCTGGCCTCCCGTCGATGAACTTTGGCCCAGCAGATGACGATACGATTGCCTCCACAATCTACAGCTCCGACTCCGAGCCTGCGGACGCCGTTGAAGAGATCGAAGAGGAAGAAGATGATGGATCGAGCAGCGATTCCGACGGAGGGACCATGATGACAATGGAAGAAGTTACGGGAACGACAGTGGCATCAGAGCGGTCCGTCGGGGCACACGATGACTCGACGCTAGATGAGGCGCTGAGGATGGCGGCACACCGCGCTGGGACGCAAAACCTGGGCAGCGATCAGGATGATGATTTTCTCGACGACGGCGAGGAAGTTATCCCCTCCTTTGGCTGGGTCAAAAAGCCAGCCTCGTCGGGCTCGGCGGCCGCGAGTGGCATCAACACAAGCCAGCCATCCCGAGGCAGCGGCTCCAATGCAGGAGGCGATGGCGACACAGCCATGGACATTGATATGGACATGGATATGACGAACGCTGTCGGGCGAATCCTCAAACCATCAGACGGCAACGAAACGGACCACGGCGAGGACATGTCCATGGATGTCACTCAGGCTTTTGGCGGTATCCTGTCACACAACAAGGGCCGGGCGGGGCCCATGCCCTCCGAGGCCCAGGAGTCTGCGCCGATGGACGAAGCCACGATGGAGTTTACGACTGCACTGGGTGGCATTCACCGGTCCCAGGATGACGAGCTAGAGGATGTCGGCGGCAACGAGGACATGTCGATGGAGCTCACGACCGTTATGGGTGGTGTTCTTTCCCAATCAAAGGGGAAAAAGGCGGCCGAAAGCCGACGAAGGACCCTTAATCGTGAACGCGATGCCGACTTGGATGATGCGACCATGGACATGACAACTGTTGTCGGTCGGATTATACCCCGGGACAACAATGCTGCAGATGAGGATATGACCATGGGTATGGACATGACCACAGCCATCGGTGGTATCATCAATCGAGGCGAAGCCAGTCCTCGTACTATCAACAAGCGCATTATGGAAGAAGAGGCAAGCCGACCAAACAGCCCGAAGGGCGCCATCATCGCCGCCGTGTCACAGAAGGCACTCTCCAGAAGGTCATCGCGGAATTCGCTACCAGCAAGCGCGCCGCCGCCCGAAAGCCCAGGTCTGTCGGCCTTCCGGGGTAAAGGGCTGCGTCGCAGCATGGGGCCCGAGGCCCAGAGCACCCCAAGACAAGGCGCCCAGTTGCGCACGCCTTCGCCGGCCAAGTCAGCAACTCCTCAGCGGAAGAAATCAGTCACACCAAGTCGGGGGCCAGGATCTCGAACCAAGACTCCAGACTCTGCCCCGAAAAACCCGCAGTCTCCAGTCATACGAACTCCCTCGCCAGAAAAACCGAAAAATACTCGTACTTCGTTCTTCCAGAGCGATCCCAAGACAGGCAGCAGGACCCCTACCATCGTGCTGACGCCGCAGAAACGGCCCCTCAGCGGCGTTGGTGTGGACAGGCCTGGACTTGGGTCGCCCCAGGTCGCGGCAGTATGCGATCGCCGGAGTTCCATCGGTGACGCCGCCGGCGAATTCGTCCTTGGAAAGCGAGCCGTGGCATTTGCGGACCCCAAGGAGATGGAAGAGGAGTTGGACCGGGAACGACGAGATGATGAAGACAAGGAGAACCGTCGCAAGATCCTTGAACGCGAGGCAGATGGGTCTCAGGAAGACAAGGATGCTACGTTCAACCTGCGAGAGATGATTGACAGCCTCAGCCCCAAGCGCAATCCTTTAAAGGGAAGGAAGAGCTTGCACATGGGAAGCGCACGAGGTCTGCTGGGAAAGCGGCCAGTCGAGTTGGACGACGACGAAGAAGCTGAAGAAAACGACGGCGTCAAGCGGCTTAAGGGGCACCAGAGCAGTCCGGTCAAGAATGTCCGATTGCAGCAGCCGCCATCCAAGGCCGAGACCACTGGCCGTCTGACCAGGTCCGCGCGACGAAGTCTTGAGCAGGGTGGTAGTGCCAACACACCGTCCCTTTCGTCGCCGCTCAAGGAGCCGGCAACAACGCCCCGACGAAAGGGCCACTTCAAGGACGTCAAAGATAACCATACCGTCCACGAGGTCAACTTCCACGATACCCAGCCCAAGGATGACGCGGAGCTCGAAAAGGAGGCGGATGACGAAAGGATACACCTTCAGGACTTCCTCAACATGACATCCATACGCTTCATGGAGCTTACGACGACCAAACGACGACACACCGTTGCGCCGGGCAGCCTGCAAGATGGATCGACGGCAGATGGGCAGGACAGCATGTCGCTGGAGCGTTGCGTGGTTGCTGGCGCTTGCACGGTGCCCATGCTGGAGTTGTACCAGCACTCCTGCCGCGAGCTCAAAAAGTACATCTCGGAAGGCCGACGCATGGTGAAGGAAATCGAAAACGACACATTCGAGGACAACCCGCCGCTCTTCCGCGAATACATGTCTGCCACGCCGGACGTCAAGGCCCTCATGGACAACCAGTTCAAGAATGTCAAGACTCACGCCAGGTTCCTAAGCAAAGCCATGTGGTACGAGTGGAGAATGAAATTGCAAGACGGCCTCAAGGAGGGCCTCGTGGGCATTGCTGAGGGAATGGAGAGCGATGACCAGGTTCTTAAGCAGCAGGAAGACTTACTCGCATCCGTCCTGCCTGACATTGTCAAGCGGTATGAGGCTTTAGACGAGGAGAGCAACAACCTCCAAGAAGTCGCCCGTGAACTTGCCGACTGCGACCCCGCCGAGCTGCAGGCAGCGCGGAATGAGCTGAGCAGCCTCGAAAGCGACATTGCACAGAAGAAGCGCATGATCGCTGAACTTCGCCAGCAGTTCGATGACTCGTCAGCAGAGGTGGAGGTACTGGCGGCTAAAAAGCAGCACTGCCTGGAGGAAATCGAGAAGTCGGAGAAGATCAGGGAGGAATGCCGTGGCTGGACAAGCAGCGAGGTCAACACCCTCAAAGGTAAGTTGCCACTATGCCCTTCGATACTTGAGACAACGTCTAATGCTATACCAGCGCGTGTCGAGACAATCGAAAAGAAGCACGGCTGGGCCGTCACTGGTCTGTCCGGGACGACGCTCTCCATGACGTACAAGCGAGAGATCGAGCTTGTGTTCGACATCGCCTCATTCCAACCTCACCAGCCCAACTCGCGCATCGACCTCTGGTACATCGCCGACATCCGAGAGCACAATCCCGTGCCCAAGACGGCCGAGATCGAGTTCTTCCTGCAATGCATGCGCGACGGGGTCCGCGCTCTGCCGCAAAGTCGTACCAAGATATCCGCCATGCTCGACGCGGTCCGCTCAGGCTGGGACACGGCGCAGCTGGTGGCGGCACAGATCCGCCGGGTCAACATCACGTTCCCCACCACGGTCATCAAGACGTCCGACTCGAGCATCGCCATGACCAGCTCGCTGCTCCTCAAGCCGCTCGAGACGAGGGTCGAGATCACACTGAACCTCCACGGGCGCAGCGATCCGACCGGCCTGGGCGTGGGCATCTCCGCCGAGGCCAGGGTGGTCTACGGGGAGAACTTCAATGTGGACAAGGTGGGCGAGTTCCTGATGACGAGGATCGGAGACACGGCGCGTTTCGAGGGCGAGGACTGGAGCAATGTGGTTGTTGAGCTGCAGCAGAGGCTCATTGCCAGGGGGAGGAAGTAGCGGGACCGGGCCGAACTGGGACGGACATGATGCTGTTATGATTGATGATGAGCAAGTTGGGTACATAACCGTGCTGGGCGTTTGGCTGTATCAGTGAGCCCCGGGTGAGTTCCGAGTGAGCTCAAATATGGGGTATTCTTAGTACTCTTACTTTGCATCGCACTTATCTATGGGTATCAAAACATGGGATATTCTCTGAACATTCGCTATGTTGCTCAAAACTCCACGTGCTGTGAGTGTGACTATGGCAGGGAACACAGCTTCCACATGAGCTACCTACAAGTGACGAACGACAGGCGGCTCTATCTGACCATTTAGGGTCTATGTTTCACCTTTGTCCATCCGTTTGTGCCCGCGCGTGGGGAGCTCGGTCCCTCAAGCCCCGTCTTGTCGGCGAAGGCACCTGACAGTGCCCTGACGCCTGCATCGGCATTGGTGACATCGTCGGGCTTCCAGGCATCGTCGTCCAGCACTTCCCAATCGGCACCAGGCGCGTCGCCGAGCAACTTCTTCTTGAGCTTATCAGCGAGCTTCATGGGGCTCGGCAGCTTGAAAGTGCGAATAAAGTCGGTTCCCTCCACGCCGCCGAGGTAGTAGTAGGTGGTGCCGTGCGAGTACCGGCCGATCCAGTTCGAGCGGGATTCAACGCTGTTGTTGTCTTCCCCGTGCGATCCGTTGTTTGCCGGCTTTGCCGGCTGCACGTAGCCCTGCAGCTGCGATGCGAGGACAAAGTTGTACAGGTTCCTGCCCATGTGGCACATGTCCTCGAAAGAGCCTTTGTCGCCGATCGACACGCCTTGGCAGCTGCACAGCCAGGCGATATCATACGCCAGCAGGGTCACACCCTCCAGGAAGAAGGAGTACATGGCCGGGTCCTCTTTAGACAGCTGCGGTAGAGGCTTGTCAACGTAGAGCGGGCGTGGGCGGGGCACATGGTGAGACTCGGGGTCCCGGATTTGCGCCGCGGAGGACATAGGCGCGGAAGAGGATGAGGAGGAAGGGAATGCGACAGGACCATGCTGGTACGAGCCGGGTAGGTTGAAGATGGTTGGCCGGGGATAGTCGCGATGAGGCAAGGTGATTTCCGCAGGCAGGCGCACGGCGAGGTAATGAGAGACGAGCATGACGATGTGTGCTACGTGAGCCAGGGACGTCGAGATGACTTCAGGAGCGAGGGCTGAATGGCTATCAGTATGTTTAAACATAGTAAAGGGGGCGGAGATCGGGGACACATACAGTCCATGCTGGTGAGGTCGACGATTGGCACCTTGCCTATTTGATAGTCGTAGCGTGACGTGTTGCTCTTCCTGGTTCGTTTCAGTCCATACAGTCGCAGAGCCTCAGTGCACAAGAACGCTCGTGTCTGGGCCATTTCCTCGGCACCCTGGGACCAGCGGAAGCGCAGCATCTGCGTCGACTTCTCGACCTCGTGCTGCTGCCTGGCTCTCCGGTCTGCTAATCCCGTCGAGACAGATGAGAGATCGGAGCGGCGGCGCGCGAGGGCAGCCCGGCGTGTCTTGATCTCATCCCGCGCGGCCTGAATCTCGGTGCGCAGCTTGTCCGCAGCGGCGAGGATCTGGTCTGCCCGGTCCTCGGCGAGGCGCTGATGCGCAAGTGTGAGGTCAGCGGTGGCCGGGCCATCAGCGCTGGCCTTGGCGATCTGGGCCTGCAGGGTGTCGTTCTCGATGAGAAGATGGAGGTTTTTGAGGCGAGCGTCATACACTTGGTTGCGGGCGTCCACGGCGCAGAGAAAGGGCAGGCGCTGGGGGTCGTGGCCGCGATGGCAGATGTCGCAATCCATGGTGGTGCTGCCGTTCACGGGCGCTCAGAGATGACGGCAGAGGGGCGATGCTGGCGGCGGCGGCGACTAGCGAGGCGAGGTGGCGGACGTAAAGAGCGGTGCATTTGTAGTGTCTGAGAGGAAGGCGTGAGGTTCGGGGGCAGAAATGGACAGACGTGAGTAAGTAAGTAGAAAAGTAGGTGACGGAGCGGATGATGCGTCGGATGGAGCGTTGGCTGGTCACGGGACGCTGTGGTGATGAGTGGTGTTGATGGCGCAGGTCGATGAGTTCGAGTCGAAGGTCGGCTGCAATACTCCACGACCGAACTGGAGGGATGGAGCCTCTTTGAATCGCTGCAGTGGAAGCAGCCAGAGCTCCAGGCACCTGCGCACTGCGAGTGGCTGGCCCTCCGGGTCATCGACTGCTGTGGCTGTTGCCCTGTGCTTCAGCGTGTCCACTGAGGCTGCAGCAGTGCAGCTGCATTCGGGATTGGCTCCACAGCTTGATGTCCCGGCGACAGGAGGAGGTGATGTTGACGGAAGCTCCAGGCAGGACCCAGTGGAGCCTGGAGCTGGAGGGGTTGACCGCCTGGCGCCCACCCCGCCTAGCACCTGGGCAGTGAATGATACATGCCGCAGAGGTCCACTAACTTTCCAGGTTACACGCTCCAGCGCTGCGCCGCAGGTGCCCGTGATGCAGAGCACCCTCATCAATTGCGCTCCCCAAGCGCGTTGGACAGCGCCAACCAACCTGGAAGTTTCACGCGTTCCGCGAACTCTGCTGCTTCACAGTCGCGGCCCCGGTCCTGCGACCTTCGCTCATCGTCTTCGTCACCTATTCTACGCAGGCTCAGCGACGCAGCCCAGGGTGACGCACGCCTCAGGCGGACCTCACATCTCTTGAGGGGTCCCCAGTTTGCGAGGCCAGGCGAGCGCAGCATCTCATCCCTTCGCCTCCCACCTCTCGAGCTGCAAACCAACGCCCAAGCTGCCGCCGTTCGCTCTGACCTCAGTCCTCATCCACCGCCATGGCATCTGACCCCAGGGCAGCAGACGGAGAGCTATTCATGTCACAAGTCGACGCTGACGCGGCGACGTCTACCGGCGAAAACGCGACAGCGGTGCATGTCGCGCCGCTGGAACTCAAGCACCACCCGGAACAGAACACCACAACGCCAGAGCCGTTGAACGAGCTTCAGAGGGCCGAGTCCGACACCCCTAGCACTCCTGGTCATCTGCTTCCCTTTGACTGGGACGATTTCGAGGCGAGGTACGAGGCGGCCCTGCGAGAGGCCGACGAGAACGAAAGGGAGATTCTCAAGGAGGCCGATTCGCTTTCCAAGGTAGCAAGCAACCGTATGGCACGCGTCTGAATCAATCACCTGCGGCTAACGTCTCTCAAGTACTTCCGAGCCTGGGCAGCCGCTGCCTCGGTTCACGACGACGAACGAGCGATTAAGCGCCTCCGTACGCGCCAGCGCTTCGTCAATTTGTCGGAGGAAAAGGCAGCACAGAAACAGCAGCACTGTGAGAAGCCATGATTTCGAATGAGACCCCTCCTTGACCGAGAAACGACTGACATTGCCGTGGACAGACGAAGAAGTCGTCAAAGCCTTCGAGAGTGCGCTGGCGCTTCTGCAAGGCAAGTGAGCGTCAAAGCTCTCATTCGTGCGTCACGGATCAACGAATTTTGGAACAGCAGACGACGTGCAGATATCGCAGCAGACATTCTGGACCAATTCGTGAGAGGCATCTCATCAGTCGACAATAACGTAGCTGGAGGCACAAGAGTGGGGCACGTGACGCAGGAACCGCGCTTCCTTAACTGTACCCCAGCTTCTTGTTTTCTACCTTGACCTCGCATCAGCGTCTGCGCGGTCATGGCGGCCGACAAAGACGCGGGATGCACTGAGCCGCCAAGTCAGCTTCAAGTCTCTAGTGTATGCATGGCACACCAAATTTCGAGGCTGGTTTTTCACTAACTAGCCACAGGATGACCTTGCCAACTTTTTTGAAGCTCATTTCACTCCCGACGCCGTGGCAAACTTTGGCTGGGCATTCATGAATCTAGATGTCTATTCTCAATCCCGAGACACCCCAGCGCAGTGCAACTGGGATTACGAGGATGATGGACTCGGCTACTACGAGGACGGTGTCAAGAGAACACTGACAGACGAGGACATCGAATTCTTCCGGCAGTCGGAGCTCAGGGAGCTGCGGCAACAACAGTCACGGTCTCAGGCTGGGACATCAAAGCCGGAGGCGGCGTCTGCGAATCGTGTCAACAAGAAGACCAACAAGCGGAACGGCAAGAATGGGCGACGCGAGCCAAAGCCGGACCTGCGCAAGCGAACCTGGGACGTTGTGGACGCTGGGCTCGACACGCTGAACTACGATTAATGGCACGAGGTGACTGGAGGCCTATCAAAAGGTGATCTGTTGGCAAATTGCAGTGCGCCATGTGCGCCCGCCTGCATCGATTGTGGTTTGACTCGGCAAGGGCGAGAAATGAAATACGCGGCCTTCCGAGCAGGACACGCCGTTTCCACTGGCAGCCGGTAAGTTGCGAAGCTCCCTTTGTATTTCAACATGTTTGGTTTTCATGATGAGAACCTTTGTATCGTCATCCTTAGTCAGATCAAGGCCCGTGGCGGAGGATGCATCGGGTCTACTGATGGGGACGCTGCGAGGCCGCGACGTGACGAACCCATTAATCTTCTCTCTGAGTCATTGCCGGAATCTCTTTGTTACTGTTGCTCTAGTTTTTCTGCTGGAAATCATTGGCTGATTGACATTGCAAGACGACTAAGGGACGGCAAGATGGCATCGCGCAACCGAGGAAGCGCCCATCTAGGTGCTGCACACAACGGGCTGCTGGGCCCTGGAGTGTGTCGATGGCGGAAACGTTGAAACACGGAACGCACGCACATGTGCGGCGCTCTTGCCTTGCCCCTTATCCTCGATATAACGTTACCTGTGGCTCGCATGTATGGAATGATGGATCGGTCATGAAGCAGACACTGTTTGGAGGGGAGAACAAAGCACAGAGGTACCTCCGGGTTGCGTAGCGTTGCTGCGTGCCGTAGAGGAAAACGTAGGCAGCTTATGAACTCATGCAAACGCCCCATGAGATGCCGCGGAACATGCGCATCTATCTACATCAACTACAACCGTGCCTGGTGGTGACCGCCAAACCTTGTGAACGACTGAGGTGCCCCAGCAGGCGGCTTTCAGGCGGTTTGCAGGCGGTTTGCACGCGACACCTCGGACGGGTTTCGCTTAGCGCGGCCGATAAGCGCTGCAGCCAATGGCGGGGCCCGCATCAAAGGCGAAGAGCGGGGCTGTGCTGCGGCAACTGCAGCAATGGGGGGAAGCAGCGCCCAAGGCCAGGCCAGGCCAGGCCAGGTCCATCCCACTTCGTGCTGGTTTTGGTCCAGCTGCTCTCACCCTTCCATTCGATCGCGAGAGCCTCAACTCCCAACCTCGCAGCCCTCCGACCATCCTGCCCACCGGCCCCGAGTCCTTCGCCCCCCGCGCCGCTTCTCTCCATCGTCGTCGACCGTGTCGCGGCCTGTGCGACGCGCACCCTCGTGCCAGCCCAGCATGGCGCGCGTCTACGCAGATGTCAACCAGAACATGCCCCGCAGCTACTGGGACTACGACTCTGTCAACATTAGTGCGTCGGGTTCGCAAAGCCCCTTCTGCCCGCGTCGCTGACTGTTTCGCATAGGCTGGGGCGTCCTGGAGAACTACGAGGTAGTCAGGAAGATCGGTATGCGGCCTCTCGACCCCGTGCCCGCACCGTGCGCTGCGTCATTAACCATGAGTCTCTGCAGGCCGGGGAAAATACTCGGAAGTTTTCGAGGGTATCAACGTTGTCAACTACCAGAAATGCGTCGTCAAGGTCCTCAAGCCTGTCAAGAAGAAGAAGATCAAGCGCGAGATCAAGATTCTCCAGAACCTTGCCGGCGGCCCGAATGTCGTGGCCTTGCTTGACGTTGTCAGGGACTCGCAGGTTGGTTGCATATTGACACCCCCTCTGGCTGCATGGGCTTGTGCTGATCACGAGACCTGCACTGCAGAGCAAGACGCCGTCGCTCATCTTCGAGTACGTCAACAATACCGATTTCCGCAGCCTGTACCCCAAGTTCAACGACCTCGATGTGCGGTTCTACATCCACGAACTCCTCAAGGCCCTCGACTTCTGCCACAGCAAGGGCATTATGCACCGCGACGTCAAGCCTCATAACGTTATGATCGATCATGAGAACCGAAAGGTAGAATGCAGTTCTCTTTCACCTGCCGATAAAAACGCCTCGGATGCGCGGGACTAACATGTGTGCAACAGTTGCGGCTCATTGACTGGGGTCTGGCCGAGTTCTACCACCCTCAGACGGAGTACAACGTTAGGGTCGCTTCTAGATACTTCAAGGGTCCCGAGTTGCTCGTCGACTTCCAGGAGTACGATTACAGCCTCGACATGTGGAGCTTGGGCGCCATGTTTGCCTCCATGATCTTCCGCAAAGAGCCTTTCTTTCACGGCAACAGCAACTCGGATCAGCTCGTCAAGATTGCTAAGGTCCTTGGCACGGACGAGTTGTTTGATTACCTCGACAAGTACGAAATCGAACTCGACGCTCAGTACGACGATATCCTCGGTCGGTTCCAGAAGAAGCCGTGGCACAGCTTCGTCACATCGGAGAACCAGCGTTTTGTCTCTAATGAAGCCATCGACTTCCTCGACAAGCTGTTGCGATACGACCACCAGGTACGTCACCTTGCGCCATCAATGCCCCGCATGCTGCTAACATGGGATCACAGGAACGACTCACGGCCAAGGAGGCTCAGGCCCATGCGTACTTTGACCCTGTCCGTGACCCGGAGGTCTTCAAGCAGAACCTTGCGAATCCGAACGGATCTGCTTACAAGTCGTCATGAATTTGCATCGATGCAAGTCAAAGCGACCATTCAGGTTTCGATCCCTGTTTGCCGACCCGAAATACCCTCGGCCAGAAGCATCTGCCACTAGCGTACGCCTATCGCCCGCGTTCGCTCGATACACTTTCAGGGCTCTAGATGCTGGTCCTTTCCTCTCCGCAGTGCCTTGTCGGGGCGCTCAAGACAACTAGCTGCACGCTATCTGCCAGCGGATGAGGGACCGACTCGGGAGACTCCAGATCAGGTGGAGGACGGCAAGCGCAAGTGGATTTAATCTGATACCGGCACCCACCTGGTCGATGGCTGGAAGATTCCGACAGCGTGGGAAAGTGAGACGGGAGATTACCAGCGGCCTACGGCGTTCAAGGACGAGGGAATGATTCACGAGCGGAAGTGGAGAGATGCGGCCCATGACATTCCCCTTGTGTTCTACTCGAGTTATTTTGTCTCTTTCCTGCGGTCATTTTCGAGTTCCTCAGTCGGATTTCTCTTGGGGGTCAGATCGGTGGGCGGGCTCTCTCTTGGGGACAGCGTTTTTAATACACCACATACTAGGAGAACATCTAGGCACTACATGCGTTGTAGCAGCGGCAAAGCAGCACCGTCACTTTTAGTATCCTGGAGCCTAGTACACAAGTCGCTTCGTCAAAGACAGGTGAAGCAAAAGTCTCGTCCACACCGGTACCCATCCAGTCCGCAGGTCCTCTTCGTCCCGCCAGGGGTCCTGATGATGCTGCTCGGGCTCACCATGTCGGTGGGCCGCCTCTTTATGGGCGTGTGATAAATCTCTGTAGTGCGAGCGCTCGACTTCCAGATCTTGCGGCTGGACGGCGCGCCAGAGCTAAGGAAAGGCGCGGGAAGGCCCGAGGCGCCTATGGCCCGGCCAAGCTCGTCGAGGTCTTTCTCATCGTCGTCGTCCGCGTCGTCGTCAGCCGAGAGGAGAGAAAGAATGGAGCGGCGGGAGGATGGTGCCCTCGCTGTGGGGATGGAGGTGTGCCTGGGGGTATGAGGTTTCGACGGTGTGGCGGGGGGCTTGTTCGGCGTTGCTTTGGCCGGGGTGGGTTTCGTCGGTGATGTTTGGGCAGTATCCCCGTGGCCATGCTCCAGCGGCTGGATGGTCGCTGGATTGTCTGGCAGGGTCTGCGGCTCCTCATGGATAGTTGAGGCTGGAGGAGCGCTCCGCTGGCCTGTCATCGCATCGACAACAGGCTGCTGCTCGGTGGCCCCTTCCTGTCCAGCAATCTTGGCCCCGGCGGGAGCCACGGCTACCTTTGAGCGCCTTGACCTCGATCGGGGCTTGGTGGACAAAGACTTTGACGCGGCAGTACTTGGGTCGCTTCCGCTCAAATTCAGCTGTTCTCCCAACGAAGATCTGGGTGTGCTGTCACCAGAAGAGCCAACGCCTGGCACGGCGCTTTCGCGTCGAGTGGGTTTCGTCTGAGTTTCCTTGTCGCTGAGCACAACTGCTCTCGACGATTCCCGCCTACTGGGCCTTTTGCCATCCGCCGCTGACGACGAAGCTGTTGCTTCATGGTCTTGTTCGTCCTGCTCAGTAGAGCTAAAGGTTGCGGCAGAGTCTCCTAAGCCAGAGTCGTGCAGCTCGGATGACGAGGCTCGAGTGATAGTCCGTTTCGATCCACGCAGTATCGAGGGTGGCGTCGGTCTGGTAAAGACGGGCAGCTCATCGTCTGATAGCGTAAAGAGCTGGCTTGGCTCCTGGCGAGTTTCCTTCCTCCGACTTTTCTGACCTCGACTCGAATGTGCCTGCTTGTGTGATGCGTTGCCGCCGTGTGGAGCTGGGGTGTCCGTGAGCGCAGCTAAATCTGGCTGAGCAATTGTCACAACGCCGGTACCGTCGGCGACATCTTGTTCTGGCGTCGGCGGAGCCTCATCCTGCGAGTCGGCTACTTCTTCGGCTTCTTCGGCCAAGTCGTTGAACTCCTCGTACTCGTCGCGGTTCGGTGGGGGTATGGCTGGTATCTCTACCATTATAGTTCTCTGAGGCTGTCGTTCTTCTATGACATCGCTCCTGGATATATTCGGTACGGGGTCCACCCGATTCTGGGTGCGTCCCGACTGGATCCGTAATGATTGCTCTTGATCGTCTGTGGCATCATTCAGCGGAGAAGCTGCTTCAGACGCAGTTTCAGGTTGTGGCTTTGAAATAACAGGCTCTGGCACTGTTTGAAGAGGCTGCTCCACAGCCGCCCCAGGTGATTTTCCCGTCGTAGATGTTTGGACCTTGCTCTTCTCAGAAACAGTTGAGCTTGTGGCCGGTGTCGCAGCTGCCCTTGCGTCACGCCTTTTTGTAGACTTCGTAGCTCTTCTTTCGGCTATAGTAGGGGCCTTGGCGTCGTTTAGGGGGTCGTCTTCAAGATTTTGGTTTGCATCGGCCGGCTTGGACGATATCTCATGCTGTGTCGGTTTCCCGGAGAGAATAGCGTCTTCGTCAACCTCCTCATCGGCATCGTCCTCTGTCCGCGTGGCGTTTGGCGGAAGTAGATACTTCATCGGCCTCGTCCTCGTCCTTCCTGGAGGCTTCGGAGGTCCTAGCTGTCCAGAACCAGCGGCGCGATCAGGTTCATCATCCTTGAAACGATAGTTTGGGGCCCAGATGGAGCTGCCTCCGTCTTGGACTGGGAAACTGTATCGGTCTCCGGCCGATGGGAGGAGCTTTGGTTGCCTCGGGAATATGTCTGGTGGTTCCCAAGAAGGACCGGAGAAGAGACTGGGAAGACCCCAGGGGTCCATGGCAAATGGTGATGTGCCAAAGGCCAAGGGCGAAGCGCCAAAGGCTGCCGCAGGATCGAAGCCGCCGGATGCACCAGGGAATGTGCCTGACAGTAACGAGGGATATCCACTCTCCAGTGCGGTTGTGTGGTTGTGCGATGCGGGCACCAATGCCGTTGAATGTTGACCAAGCTCCTGACCCTGTATGATTCGATCTTCTTCGTCTTCGTCTTCGCCTTCTGGACCTTCCTCGTAGTGTCGCGTATCCTTGCCGATGACATCCTCATCTAAGAGGTCCTCGAGCAGTATCCCCTCATCATCGTCGTCAACGCCATCTTCTGGACCAGTAAGCCCAACATCAACCTCGTTGCGCATGTTCTGGAGGTGGCCGTTGTTCACGACAATCTCGCCGGTGACCATGTCGATCTCGTCACCGACGCCCTCGAAGTCGCGGCTGTACTTTTCGAAAATGTGCGCCATCGTAGCCTGAAAGCGATTGTCGGCATATGCGCGCTCAAGGGACAGCTTGTAGCCGGGGTCTCGCTTGGCGCGGATTTCGTGCGGCTCGAAGAAGAGCTCGTCGTCATCGTCGCCGCCCGAGGGGTCGAAGGGCGACTGGCCCTGCCGGCGTTTCTTCGCCGGTGGCTCCATTGCGGGGGACGAACGCGGCGGCGTCCGGGCATGCAATCCGTCAATCACACATCCATGAAGCGAAGGCGTGCCGGCGCAATCGCTGGCGCGGGCCGTGAGCGGTTTGAGGTGGTGGTAGGTGCGGGATTCCTTGGGCCGGAGCTGAGCGTTGGAGGAGCAACCTGGAACCTCAACCGCCCGCCCGCACCGGCTGATGGAGGGGCTCCACAGGGGACAGCTGCACCTGCCAGGCCGGGTTTGCCCACTATAAAACACCCGACTTCGACCCATCCAGGGATCCATGGATGCCACGGAGGCGCGTCGGCTCGTGTGGAGCTTGCGCCACCGCGTAAAGTGACTTGCGCCCCGCGCTTCACTGAATCACCCTGGAAGCTCGGCAGGCGCCACCTCTCCCATAAGGTAACCTGCAAGCTCCAACGCAGCCCACCAGGTGCAGCCCTGCAGGCCAGTCCAGTGACCTCCACTGCTCCAGTGCGCCAGTGAAACAAGGGCCCGACGTCACCTGCCTGCCGCAACGAACCCTCGTTCAAAGCTCTCCTCAAACATCCACCTCTTCTGACTACACCCGACGCGATTCTCCTGCACCGGCAGGACACGCCTGTCTGCATCGACAGTCCTCTGCAATGGGTGGCCGCCAATAGTCGACAGCTCAAGAGTACCTGCCTGATACCCGCCATGTACTGCCAAAAGTGCCGCCAGCCCTTGAGGCTGGACGGGTCTCTGGAGGATCTGAACCCAGCTGCATACGATCTGATTGTCTGTAGGTACCCTTCTCGGCCCCTTGACGCGTTCGGAGCATGTCTCATCATTCTTGCAGCATCATCAACTCCCCAGACGTCGAGAAAATCGCCGCAAAGTCGATCGTCGGCCCTGCAAGCCCCGGAGCAAGCGCGGAAAGCCTTCTACGACAGCGTATCGCAAAAAGCCGGCCCACCGACGTTTAAACGACACCATGGACACCACCCGCGCGACTCTGCCATGTCATTCATCTATCTTACCGAGTCGCAGGTGGGCGGCCATTCCCAGCCGCAAGCACATACGCTCGAGCGACCGAGTCCCGCACCCATGCGGCGCGCGAGCTCGAGCAAAGAGCCACGCCCAGAGCCACCCAAGAGTGACGAGATGGACCGGATAAACAGGCTGTTTGAAATTCTGTCCGCAAGATCCGACATCGACCACCCCGTCTGCGTGGACTGCACCGAGTTACTCGTGGAAGGTTTCCAAAGGAAACTCGACGCTGCTTCCAAGGAAAGAGACGCATACGTGAGATACCTAAGTCAAGTGCAGTCGGAGCAGCCAAGCTCCGAAGATATCAAGTCACGACAAGAAGCGCTCAAGAAGGCAGAAAAAGACAAGGCGGGAGCTTTGGAAGAACTTAAAAAGCTGGAGAAGGAGAAGGAAGCACTCGACGAGGAGCTTGTGGCCCTCGAGGAAGAGTCTCGGCAGCTGGACAAAGACGAAGAGGCCTTTTGGAGGGAGAGAAACGCCTTCGCGACCACCATGGCGGACTTTCAGGCGGAGAGAGACAGCGTCAACGCCAAGTACAGCAACGATTCCCAGCTGCTCGACAAATTGCAGAGGTCGAATGTGTATAACGACACATTCTGCATCAGCCATGACGGCAGTTTCGCAACCATCAATGGTTTGCGGCTTGGGAGGTTGTCCAACAAGCCCGTCGACTGGCCCGAGATCAACGCGGCGTGGGGCCATGCCTTGCTGCTGCTCGTCACAGTTGCCGACAAGCTCGAGTACAAGTTTCAAGGCTACGATCCCCAACCGATGGGCAGCACCTCCAAGATAGTACGGTACGATGCATCTAGCCCGTCGTCGAGCAGGCTCGGCTCTCGGGCAATGCAACCGCCGCCGAAGAAGCACGTGCTGGAGCTGTACAGTTCAGGAGACATGCCCCTGGGATTGACTTTTATGCACCGCAAATTCGACAACGCAATGGTCGCGTTTCTGGAACTTGTACGGCAACTGGGGTTGCACGTCCAGAGGAAGACAGAGCCGACCGGGAACATGTTGACACTACCATACAGGATCGAGGGAGACAAGATCGGAGACGTGAGCATCAAGCTGGGCATCGCACAGGACGATGGCTGGACAAAGGCGTGCAAGCTCACGCTGACATGCTGCAAGTTTCTCTTGGCTCACGCCAGTAACGTAGGCGCGAGCGCGAGGAACGCAGAGTGAGGCGCGAGTTGAGGGCGATAGATTTGGTTCTTAGTGTTGAGTGGCGCATGCGAGTAGAGTCTGGCGCAATGGAGGTTAGGGTTTGAGTGATAGGTTTGGGATACCACCAAAGTACAACAGCTTTTGTCTTTAATATTATACCTGAATCATGGCAGATTGGCGATTTGTACAGTCACATGATGCTTACCGCGTCGCCCGGATCGTGTGAACGTCGAACGAATCTCGATGTGAGGAAGAGGGGCCTTGCCAGGGAGCCGCTTGGCGGGAGGAATAGTCTGCTGATGGTGGAATAAGTTTGATGCAATTGCAGAAAATAGAGCGTGGTGATGTGCGCTTGGAAAGACCAACATGTTTAAGCTACGAGAGTACAGGGTGTAACTGCTATTGTATGTTCGGCAGGCTCGTGCTACGCATCAGCTCTCCCTACATTATATCCTCTGTGTCATGACATGCCCCGATCCAAGCACAATGTGACCATACAGCCCAGCGTAGACGAACGAGCCCAGCCTACCTACGCCGCCGCCGCCGATCTCGTTCCTCTTGAACGCACCTAGCGCAGAGCCCCCTAAGCGTGATGACAATCTGTCGCAGCTTTATATCGCCGCACTTGCCTATGTTTTGCCTCCAACGGCGACCATACCGCTCGTGGACCTCGTCGCAGGCCCTAGGAGCGCGCCAGCCAACCCGCCGCTGGCGATGGCACTGAGGGCACTGCTCCAATTCCTCGATTTCTTCGCACATTGCCAACGTTTTCTCTCCCTCTTCAGGACGTTAGTAGCACGAGATGGGGACAAGTTATGAGCGATGATGGCTTGGGATGGATTTAAGCACAGAAGACAAAAGCTCGATGACGTGGATGGATTGAAGAAGACCAATTTATAGGCCACAAGAGCAATAACTTGGATAACTCATAACCGAGCCTACTCTGATGCATTGCATTGGCCTCCCTTATTTTGTACCACTGCCATGCGTCACGATATGGGGCATAAGGAGGCCGGGAGTTACCGAGAACGAGATTCACGAAACAGCAAAGGAGATGCCGTTGGGAAAGTCAGTTGCACTTGCACGAGTGCCATGGCTCGTGCTTCCGTAAGTCGCGGGAGCAACTGCCGGTAAGTCTTTAACACCTCTTGAGATCATGGCCTTATGCCAGTGGTTGCCACGGCACTCCATTGGTCGGCCAGTTTCGTGATTCAGAGTATCCAGGGCCGGATGTGGTAACGGGTTGACGAAGGACCGCGGATATACCGCCTTACTTGGCCTAAAGACCTTAGCCTTTGTGCCGGCTCGGATATTCTTGGTGATTGAAGCATTTCGGCCGTTACACTCCCGCCGCATGCGTTTGTCGCCACCTGGGTGGCAAACATGCACATGGGCGAGCAAGAAGTACGAGGCAGTTGCCCAGCAGAACTTGCTTTCAAACATGGAGCTGTGATAGCACCAGGACAACACATGGATTATGCAAGATCACAGCGCAGATCACAGTAACAGGAGCGATTCTTAAGAGGATTGCCGCCGTATGTCCATCAGCAGCTATCTAACGCTTAATCTCCCCTCAGCTGGCCTGACATTTGACGATGAGAAGAAGGTAACGCGTTCGAGCACTGCTGCCCACTGCTTCATCTACCGACTATAACGGACCGCATGCAGGAACTTTGCTCCATTTTGGTAAGAAAAGTGCCGAGACCACGAGATTGGACACACCGAAACAACAGACTGAAGTGGCGTTCAATGAACGAGGGCTGAGCGAAAACGATGGTCAAACGAATCGGCAAGTGAGACGGTGAGGCGACGATAGCGGACGATTGGTGAGGCTGCTCAAAAGGCGTCCTCGCACCCCGCAGGAACCTGCAAACAAGGGCCGATCGACTAGGGAGTGGCGGTTGCCCGCGTGTGCATGGCGTGCCATGCAGTGCCATGGCACGCGCTGCAGCTGACACCGAGGACATCCCTGCCTCGGGACTGTTTGTCGCCCAGCGGCCCACAGGATCGAATTGGAACAACCTGGAATATCAGTCTGCCTTGTGCAAGCCGAGCCGCAAACTTGGACGCGGACTGCGGCGTTCCCCCACTGAGCTGCCACTGAGCCGTAGCGCTCAGCGAGTCACAGTGCAATTGCCTTGCAGATGCGGAGCAACGCAGCGCTGGCTCATCACCCACCAACCCACTAGGAGCAGCGGCTAATGCTACTTCAGTGGTCGGGCCAGTCACAGCGACCCTCCAGGGCTGCTGACAGTCTGACCTGACAGCCCTGGGCGGGCGGGCAAGCAAGCGGGCAGGCTCCAGTGGGGGTTGTTGCCTGCGGCTGAATCCAGTTCGCTGAGGGGAGGTGCCCGCCCAGTCGCAGCTTCCAACGCGGACGGGGAAGCGCAGGGAGTCCACGACACCACCACGACTTCGTGCTGCGGCAGCGTGACGAGTTCCAACTCCAGGCATCAGCCACCTCGGACCGCACCATGGCAGCCCTGCAGGCCTGCATTGTGGCTGACCGCCTGGCCGTGATATTTAGTCGCGGCCATGGCCCAGCTTCTTCTTCATGGGTCGACAGTTCTTCCACCTCTCTCGAGTCTCGACCGCTTATACAGCGGAACATTGCCCTGGCCCCTGAGTAGCGAAGCCCAAGTCTGTCAACCGTCTCTGCCCCTCCGTCTCCAGCGCCAACATCATGGGCACCTATGACAAGATTGAAAACGACAATGGCGTCGTTACAGTCGTCGACGACGGCTCGGACTCCGACAGCAGCACTCGTTCGCGGCACCGTCGTCGCAGAGCCCCCAGCCCCGGACCGCCGCGGTCTGCCTTTGCCTGCCAAGATGGAAACGTCCCCGACATTGTCTACTCTTTGAAGAGGTTTGGCAAGTATAATCGCCTCATTGACCGTACGTCATGCCATTCCAACACTATCTTCAATGAGCTGCGTGACCCGTCTTACTGACATCGGGATCAGGCCGCGTAAGTGACAAGCCGTACGACAAGCGCGACATGTCCGAGGATGTCGACGGCACGTACGATGACAATAAGCCCGTCATTGAGATCCTCACCAAGACCTATTCGCATCGTCGAGCAGGACGTTCGCGCCTGCCGCGACCTCCTCGCTACATACCCCCAAGAGGCTCCCGCTCCAGGTCTGTGTCCGTGTCGTCTGTAGAGAGCGAGTACGATTCCGACGACGCCACCGCCGTTGTCGACGTCCGCACCCCTACCATGATCATCCACTCGGAGCACCTCACAAACGCCCTCCATGCCGTTGTGGCCTACTACCCCAGCGTCGACCTGTCCGGCGGCGTTCCCAAGTTCAAGGCCCCCTATCGTCCCCTGTACCACCATCGCCGCGAGCTTGCAGAGTATCGCGACAACCAGCCCTCGTGCCACGACGCCGAGTACGTCGAGACGACAGCCCGCCACATTGATGTGCTCCTGCGCTTCCTCGACGGCAACCTCGGCGATGCGCTCCGCCGTGAGGAGGAGCGCCACGCGCTGGACACGCCGCTGGCGACGCACGAGTACTTCTGGCTGCTCCTGAAGCCGGGGACCGTCTTCTACACCAAGAAGGACCACATATGGACCGCTTACGTCCTCAGCAGCTTCTCGGCCCCGCGAAGCAGTGACGATACCTATCGCGTCACGGGCTGGCTCCTCGAGTCCAACGGCCACCGCCTGGAGCGCAACCTCGAGGAGTTCGCCGTGTCGCGCTGGCAGGGCGAGCAGCCCATCGCCAGCCTATCCCTCGTGCCGGAGCCGTTTTGGGGCGAGGACCTCGCGGCTCAGGGCGGACTGTCCATGCGTGACAAGCAGATTGAGGAGGGCAAGCTGTGCTGGGAGCTGCTCAAGCGTCCTACGTACATGCAGTACGACGGTGAGCTGATCGGCTCCTGGCCGGGCGAGGAGGGAATGCGGGCCGACCAGACGGGCTTCATGAAAGGTCGTGTCATCTGCGACGACGCGGGCTTCAACAAGTTCTGGCACTTTGCCACCGAAAGGTCCGGCCGTTCTCGAAGCCCGTCGTATCGTCGGGGCAGACGCCATCCACGCCCCGTCGAAGGTCCCACGCGCGACCACTTGCCCACCAGCCTGCCGCGCTGCAGCTGCCGCGTCTGCTCGCAGAACCGCCCAGCGGACGGCACCGACAGCAGCCCCTATCGCGGCTTCGAGGGCCTCCGCCCAGACAAGGACACTCCCCCTGATAGCGACCTGTTCTACCTCATACTCAGCAAGGCCATCCCAGGCTTCCTGCTCGGCACGCGTCGCTGGGGCAACCTCTACGTCGGCAGCCTCAAGCCCGTGGTGACGGACAAGGAGGCGTTCAAGTACCTCGTCGTTGACGATGACATCAAGCGCACCGTCAAGGCTCTCGTCGGACAGTTCGCGTCGACTTCGACGGGCGACAACCTATCGCCGTGGGGCAACGACTTCGTGCGCAACAAGGGCGAAGGGCGCATTTTCCTGCTGCATGGACAGCCAGGCGTCGGCAAGACGTGCACGGCCGAGTGCATCGCCGAGCAGTCTGGTCGGCCGCTCATCGCGCTCACGGGCGGCGATCTGGGCAGCGCCATGTCGCACTCTCAGATCGAGCGTCGCCTCAACTACTTCCTCGAGCTGGGCCAGCGCTACGGCGCACTCGTGCTTGTCGACGAGGCCGACGTGTATCTGGAGCGTCGCCGCGCCAGTGACATGTCGCGCAACGGGCTCGTCTCCATCTTCCTGCGCGCCCTCGAGTACTACCGCGGCGTCCTTGTCCTTACCACCAACCGCGTCCGCGCCTTCGATACTGCCTTCCTGAGCCGGATCCACGTCGCTCTGCACTACAAGAACCTGACCGACGAGCATCGCGAGCGCATCTGGACGCACAACTTTGACCGCCTCGCCCGCGACTCGGCCGGCCGCGTCCGCGTCAGCGAGGCCGCCAGGGCGTACGTCTGTAGTGACCGTGACGTCCGTCACATTGCCTGCAACGGCCGCGAGATCCGCAACGCCATGCAGACGGCTCTTGCCTTGGCTGAGAGCGACGCCAAGGATGAGGGCGTCGCCGACGGCGTCGTGACTCTCTGCGAGAAGCACCTCCGTGCCGTGCTCGACATGACCAGGAGCTTCAAGGACTACGCCACTGCGTGCATGAGCAACGTCATGTCGCACGGCGAGCAGGCCGAGTTCGAGGGATCCGAGCACGGCCCAGCTGCCCAGCTACCCGAGGTGTACTACTCCTCTGACGATGATCTTTGAGCAATTTCGCGGCAGCAATTTAAAGGGAACGGGATGAGAAGGCCCAGCAATGGATGGGCATGCAGATTGTTGGCGCAACGCCCCTCCTGAGTCACAGACTCGCAACGTTTTCACGGCCTTGTAATGAGCCTCCGGCACGCATAATGTGCGCTTGTCGCAACACGTTTATTCTCTTTTCATGTGAGGAGATTTACTCGGACACCAGCAACGGTAGCAACAACAATAGTCGTATCAGCAGTGGTGGCCAAACTGAAATGGACTGGTGTCCAAATAGCTCTTGTCTTTCATATATGTGTATGTGTGTTCCATAGCAAAGAGACGTCTGCCCGCAACATTCCAAATCCAACACATGTGACTTTGCATCGCTTTCCTACTGCAGATGGGAGGTGACCGTGACCTCCATGCTGCAGTCCCGGTTTCTGACGTGGTCAAAAGCATTCTCCCATCGATGTCTTTTCCTCCTCGACAAGCTTGGCGAACCAGTGAGACGAGACGTAAGGCGTCGCCCACGTATCACTCTTTTTTCATGGCATCGAGGCCGGTCCCAATGCATCATGTAAAATAAAAGATCAAAGAACAACAAGACTGAAAAGAAAAACAATCAACAAAAAACATTTTCTCCCCTATTCCCCTTCATTTTAAAACATAATCATCAGTTCGACTGTCCTAGAACAACAGACTTGAGCTTCTCTGCCTCTCCGCTGTGCGCGCACATGTCCCTGAAGATGCCGCCCTTGTCCCACAGCTCGCGGGGCGTGCCAAACTCGGCGACGGTGCCCTCGCTGAGGACCAGGATGCGGTCGAAGTCGGCAATCGTGCTGAGGCGGTGCGCGATGACGAGCAGCGTGCTGTCGGTGAACTCCTCGCGGATGCTGCGCTGGATGAGGGTGTCCGTCGCCATGTCGACGGCAGACGTGGCCTCGTCGAGGACCATGATCTTGGGGCGCGAGATGATGGCGCGGGCGATGCAGAGCAGCTGGCGCTGGCCCTGCGACAGGTTGCCACCGGACTCGGAGATGCCGCTCTGGAGGTCGCGGAAGATGTTGACGTTCTTGGGTGCGAGCGTAGACCCAGGCGTGGAGTTGGCGGCCGACGACGGCTCGTTGGCAGGTGTCACGGGCTGCGAGTCAACAAGGTGAACTCGGGACAGGCAGTCGCGCAGTTCGTCGTCGGTGTGCTCGTCGAAAGGATCCAAGTTGCTTCTGATTGTGCCAGAAAACAGCACAGGGTCCTGAGGAATGATGGCAAGGCGCGATCTCAGGCTGCTCAGTTTGATCTTGGAAATGTCGATGCCGTCAATAAAGACGGAGCCTGCCCGCGAGTCGAGGAATCGGAAAAGCGCCAAGGTGAGGGACGACTTTCCGGCGCCGGTGCGGCCAATGACACCGATCCTCTCGTTGTTCTTGACGCTGAACGAGATGCCCTTCAGCACAGGCGGAAGATCCGGGGCGTAACCGGCAACAAGGCCATCCACTTCCATCCTGCCCGAAGTTGGCCACGCAGCAGGGGATTCCTCGCCCTCCAAATCCTCCGTGTCAAGCTCGCAATACTCTATCACGCGTTCGGCTGCGTTCATGTCCAGTTCGAGGTTTGCATAACCACGGACAGCCATGAGCATGTTGCCTGAAAAGTCCAAAGCGAACGACATGGTGAAGCCAGCCATGGCAGCGTCAATGAAGGACGAACCTACAACGATTGCTCCGACGGTAGTAGTGAAGGCAGTCCCGATGAGCGCCATGCGGAAGCCAAGCCATCGGTTCAGGACCCAGTTGTACACACTAAGGTTGTCCCAGCTGTCCAGCAAGTTATACATCCGGTCGACGTAGACGTGAGTCTTTTGGAACGCCCTGAGCGTGGACACTCCGGCAAGTGATGCATTGAACAGTTCGAAGACGGGCGACTTGGCCGTACTTTCGAGGCGCTTGATGGGACGCGCGCCGTCCAAGTAGGTCTTGCCAACGACGGCTGCAAAAAGCAGAAGGACGATTGCAAGAGGAATGATATATGCCGACACAAGGATGCCCGCCACGCAAACACCCACAAGTCCCAGAATACGCCAGAACATGAAGCCCAAGCTCATGGTGATGCGGCTATCGACGATGTCAAAGTCGGCGGTGAGACGGTTGAGAATCCGGCCGACGGGAACGGTGTCGAGCCAGCGGAGCTTGGTGTGCATGACAGTAAACAGAATCCTCTTGAAGAGCGTCCTGCTTGCCTTGATGCTGATGACGAAGGTCCACAGAAAGCGCACAGTTCCGATGATAGCGCTGGAAGCGGATAACGCAATGTATACGCCGAGATAAAAGGACAGCGACTTGTGCTCATGTGCAGAGACATGCATGTGAGAGGCAGCATGCATGGTGCTGTGCTGCAGCGAAACGCCATACGCCATGCCGTGCTGATGCCCAGAGCTGGAGATGGCAACGCTTTCCTCCTGGTCGTCGGTCCAAATGCGTAGCCACCAGTTACGTCCTGTCAAAGTTAGCAAGAGAAGGTCGATGGGTTGAGGACAGTTCAGACGTACCAAGGTTCATGCCTTCAAACGAAACGTAGAGGATGGCACAAGCGCCCCAGAAGAACCAGCCACCGCTGCTCTTCATGTAAGTGGCGTAGACATGTTTCTTGACCATGCCCTTTTCACGCGCTTCATCTACAACAAACTTCTTGCCAGTCTTGGAAGGGACCTTGTGCAACGTGTTGACCGTCGATTCTTCGTTCTCTGTGGGTTCCAGCACAGACGTTTCCTCCGAGTTCACAGCCGTTGGCCCGTCGCCATTTTCATCAACTTGGATTACCACTTGAGGCTGCTCGTGGCTCTTGATTTTCTGAAGCGTGCCATCCTCAGCGAGATCGGACGTGAGGCCGCTGTGAAGGACGGTTCCTTCACCCAGTTCCACGATGTACTTGGTCTGGGAGTCAACGAGACCGACATGGTGGGTAACGAGAATGCGAGTGCGGCCTTTGCAGATGTCGCCCGAGATGCAGTTCTCGAAAATCTGGCGACCGACGTGTGCATCGACAGCGCTGAAAATATCGTCCATGATGAGGATGGATGCTCGCGAGTAGATGGCACGGGCCAGGGTGACACGCCATTTCTGCCCGCCGCTGAGGTTGATACCGTTGGCGCCAAGCTCCGTCTGGTCGCCGTCTGGTAGGATTTCGAGGTCCTTCTTCAACGCGCAGACGTCAAGTGCGGTATTATAGCGGTCTTCTAGGTATGGCAAGCCGAACAGAATGTTATCTCGGAAAGAGGCGCTCTCCAGCCATGGAGTTTGACTGACATAGGCAACGGAGCCAGGAAGAAGCCAGTTACCGGGGTGGGCTTTGCCGTCGTTTCGCTCTAGAGGCGGCAAAGTCGTGGGCATGTAGATTGAGCCCTCAAGCAGGTCAGCCTCTCCGAGCAGTGCACTCAAGAGGAGACTTTTGCCGGTTCCTGTCTTTCCTGAAATGACAGACAGCTCACCCTCTGGGAATGACAGGTTGACGTTGTTCAAGATAAATCGATCCTCATCGGGGACCTCGCCATCAACCGGCCATGCAATTGATGCGTTTTCGAAGGCGACGTCGGGTCCCTCGGAAACGACCTTTTCGATCTCGGGACCATCGAGATATTTCTGGACTCGTCGGACAGATACCAAAGTGTCCATACCGCCAGCCAGTAGCTCGGGGAGGACTGAGAGCGACACCTCCAAGCTCTTAAAAATACCCACGCTGACGAACGCAACCGAGGGGGCCAGAATGCCATGGATAGCAGCATACGTAGCGAGGGATGCGGCCGCGAGAAGGATAGGACTGGTGACCCAGCAGAAGAACAAGACGGAGTCGGCGGTGAAGACCCTCTTGATCGTTCGAAGTTCGGCCTCTCGCATCTCGAGAATCTTCTTCTCCCATTGGCCTTCGATGGCGGAAAACTTGATCTGGCGCATACCGAGCAGGGCCTCGTTGACGACGGCCAGCTTGTTGTCTCGGTTCTTCATGAGCTGGTCCTCGGCCTTCATGTATATCTTGGAAACGTATGTGTTGACGGGGAGCACAAGGGCCCAGGCGAGAATGCCCGCACCGAAGGGAAGCCAGCCGATGAGTTGAATGAGAAAGGCGGAGAAGACGATGAGCTTTCCCACGCTGTTGATGAGAAAGAACTGCATCATGGCGAATTCCGCGATGTGCCTCGAGTCCACGCCAACCAGGTTTACGATGGCTTGGCGCGACTTCAACACGCTGGACTCTTCCTTGTCATCCTTGTCCTTGTCCTTGTCCTTGTCGTCATCGTTGTCGTCCTTCTTTCCATCCTCGCCAGACTTGTCGTCGTCTTTGGCGTTGTCGGCCGACTTGACGTTCTTGCGTCTCAGCGACTTGTTGAAGACGAGAGCAGAAAGCTGGCCTCGGATGGGCATGCACAGTCTGGTGATGGAGAACCACACAATCCAACCGTCGATCCACTGGTATTTGTTAGCTATGCTCCGCAGCGCCGCAGTTCGCTGGCAGGTCACTTACCTGCTCTGCCATCGTAAAGACGCCCATGCAGAGGATGAGAAGCCAAAGTTGTGTCTTGTCCGCCTCCTCCTTGTGCTCCAATGCCTGCACGAGTCGCAGCATGGCCCAGAATGGACCGATGCCTAGGCAGCATCGGAAGAGAAGAACCGCCCATTGAATCGCCAACCGGCCACCGTAGGCGCGGAAAAGCGAGAGCAGAAGACTGCCGGTGTGATTGCCCCTGATCCATCGGGAAACGAGGTTCTCGGCCCGGATCTGGCTGTCTGGTCGCGGGATGTCTTTTCCGTCAAGATCGCCCTTCTTGCGGGCCATTGCCAGAATCTTTCCACCAAAAGTCCAAGTATACCTGTTTATCGTCGAGACCGTCCATTCGGGGCTGACAAGCTTGTCTTTGTAGTAGACCTGAGGTCGTCGGGGGATCGAGATGGAGGCGAACATGAGAGCAATGTTGGCGCCAAAGTTGACAATGCGCAGAATAAAGGGGACGTCATCGCGGACATGGACGTGCTGGCCGACGCTCAGTATTTGAAATGATGCTGCGATTGCGGCGAAGAGGCTGGAAAAAAAGGCCCAAAGACCTAGATTGTGCGTTCGCACGGGCGAGTGATGGGAGGCCAGGAAGATGGCCTGGGCGAGGAGAGCACCCTGTCAAAGAAGCAGGCGAACCAGTGTTAGCCTATAATTCTGGTGTAGCGATTGTCGCACGCATGGCGGTGTCGACTTACCCAGGCACCGGTGAGGAGCCACGACTCGAGTAACAAGCCATGCTTGGCGTCGCCGAGAGTCGCGATGACCGAGGCGGCGGTGATGAGGCCGAAGCCGAGCGCCGCGAAGAGAACGACTGCGGTCTTGGGGCCCTTGTTGGAAAAGGCGGCAACAGCCTCCGGAGTGCTCTTGCCGTCTTCGTCCTCGTAGAAATTATCCTTGGGCGTGCGATTGCGAGCCTGGCTGAGGAAGGAAAAAGCACCGGGGAGCGTGGCAAGCCCTGCAAAGGCCACTGCAGCTGCAGAGAGCGGCAGGACGAGGCTTTCGCTCATGATGAGCGGCGGCGAAAGGGATCCCGCCACGGGCTGGGCAGGACTCTACGCGGACCTCGCTTCGGGGCGAGCGTACGGCGGCGCGTTTACGACAAAGGCCACGGCCCAGTCCCAGTCGTCGTTCGTCGACCGAGTGCTGGGGGATGTGGTGGGGGGAAAGGGAGCAACGGCACAGGGCTCTCGGCAATGTGCAACTATCGCCGAGCGCGCAGCTGGCCGGGGGAGGGCAGTCGCTCGAGCGAGCGGATGGAGGACGGTGAGAAGACGGCGAGGCCGAAGGGAAGCCAAGGCATCAAGATGACGGCGCAACGGGCGGCAGGAACAGCGGCCGGACCCATAAAGTACTCGCTCGCACGCAAGCCGCTCCTGCCGTCAGTCAGTGCGGCACCGTGACGGCGCCGGTGCGGGCTCGCGATCGAGCGGCGTCAATTTCCCGTTGCTCCTTCCTCCTCCTCGGCGGCCGTCGTCACCAGGTGACAACCTACGAGTAGCCTTGCAGACGCACGGAGCGAGGAGTCATCGGGCAACCCTGCCTAGCGGCTCTTCTTTCCAGGGTCCTTTGGGGGGTTGGCTCGTGCCGCAGGCCAACGGCGGGACGCATGCATGTCCGTTAGTGCCTCAGGTCCAGGTTCGTGTTCGCCGGGCGGCGCGGGAGCGAAATCTGAGGCAGTGGAGGGGGACGCATGGAATCGCAGGTCCTCTATCTTTCTTTGGTTTTGTTTCATGGTGCTCGACTACAAGAGATCAAGTGGGCGTGGAGAATGTGGACATCTCGTTCCGCCTCTGCTTAACGCTGCTCTCTACGCACCGCCCAGAGTACAGCATCATCTGCTCAAAGTCCGTGTGCAAACATGGGAATATCTACAAAGACGCAGGCAGGAGCCTCATCATGCAGGCGCCATGCGGGGTCCTACAGTACTCGTACGCAGGACCTCAGACGTCCTCCACTACTGGGCCGGGTCTTACAAGTCCAACAACGGATTCGAGATGGCGCCGCCGCGGGAAGAAACAGCCACCTGGACGGCGGCACGGTGTGCCGGTTTAGGCAGGAGTTTCTAGGGCCCGGCCGCGCTAGCGAAGCCCACGGTCGACGACTCATATCGAGGATGCGAGGCCAGCCGCTGGCACTGCCACGCAACATGCACATGCATGTCGCGACGTTTTTTTATTTTATTTTGCAGACGCGTCCTCTGCCGGTATTGCATTTTTAACTCAAGACCCTCCGATATTGTACCGTTTTCTGACTCTTTCGACTCCTCTGCGCACTGGCTCCGTCGAATCAGGTCACACGTGATGACAGTGGACACACGAGTAGACCCTCAGCCGACGGCATCGTGTGAGGTACCTGTAGGTACCTAGTATCTCTCAACATGGCTTCGGTTCGCTCGTACAAGTAATACGTCGAGCAAGCAATCAATACTCGCGTGCAATCAACTGCCTAACCCGTTCTAGTTTCAGCCGCGTCCTCGCCAGAAAAGTATATCTGCCTGGAAAGCTCCGTGGAACGGCATGTTCGCGCAGGAACCATGACTGAGCCAGGAAAGGAAGAAAAAAGAAGAGTCATTCTTCTGCCGCAGACCCCAACATACGTAGATACGCCGGAAACGAGGGCGAGATTCTGCAGGACGAGTCACTGCAAGTGCATACCAAAGTACAGTACTGTACTCGGCGCACTAACACGCGCTCGACTCGATGGGACATCAAATTGCTGGAGCCTTGCCGCCGCCGCCCGACCAACCCCACCCCATGTCAGATCGGCATCGCTGGCACGCGCCGCCTTGGCGTGCTTCTTTGGCGCCCCCAACCTACAGTATCGGACTGTATCTCCAGCGCCGCCATCGCGATAATATCCGGCCGCCGCACCAGGCATCAACCGCGCCCCAACGACAATGTTCGTGCCGTTGTTCGATTCCGTGTTCCTGTGTGTTCCGTCGGCCTGGCTGCCTGCGCCAGGCATCAACATCTGCTGCCTTTCGCGGAAGCTGCGTCCCGCAGACGATCACAAAATGTTGGCTTCAAGTTTTCCCAGGCGGCGATCTCTTGCAAAGCAATTTCCTTGTTTTTCTGTCAGACAGTCCTATCCAACATGCTGTTGTATGTAAGTACGGTGCATCCCCGCTCGTGAGGTGAGTCAATCCGGCTGGCAGCTTCGTCTTTGTTGGAGACAGCCCCCAACCGGGCACCAGGACAGTCCCTCCTCGATCAGCGTCGCTCTTTCAATAGAAGGGTCCCGAGATGATTGTCTGCTCCGATCACTGCTCGGGACGCAAGCCTATTGTGCTGAGGCATTGTACATCGACCGAGTCGCTCCTGATTGATCCTCGCACACAATGTCGATTAAAAAGGTCAACCTCGACACGTACAAGGAGATCGAGGGCACCAAAGAATGACTGCACCCCCTCGTCTGTCTGAGGCTCGGCTCAGTCCACAGGTGAATCAGATCGAGGCCGAAACCCGCATGTGTGGCGTCGGTCACACAAGAGCCGTTCCGAACCTTGCAATTGGATTGCAGGATCGACGCTGCGACTGCTTGACTCAGAGCTGCGCAGCACAGTCACGACTTGGGGAGACGCAGAGCCGTCAGGGGGAAGCATTTCTCCGCAGGCCCAACAACCCCCCCTCCGCGCACATTGAGGCTCCCGGTGCGCCGTTCCGAGGAGGGCCGAATAGCCGTGGGCTGGCGGACCGTTCTGCATGCAGCAAGGTTTCCTCTCAGATGCGCTCTGGCGCGTGCCAGGCTAGTTACACCGCTGGTCGGTGCTGACCACCCCTCCTGGCTGTGCGAAGAAATGCCAGCCCAGCGTGGCATGGTGGTTCGTGTGGCTTGCCGTCGTGGTTGGAATCACAGAGTCACGATGCCCTGTCGACTTCTTGCCCATCGAGCCACCAGTGAATTTTGTTTGCTTGTCCTCGAGGCCCTTTGAGCTCAGCGTAGTCCGCCAGCATTTCCTCGGCACGGGCAGCCTCGAACCACATGTAAATCCTGTCCTTGGACAGATTGTGAGCGCGGCCTTACTCGTGCAACAGGTCGCCTCGCAGGGGACTGCCCGCCTCCAGCTGCAGACATGCCCGGCCCGTGCAGCGAACTAATACCTGCGAGCAGCTCGTCCGTGTCTCTGCGCACGCACGCAAGGGACAAGGGCAGCCCTGCCGCAGCGCAGGGCAGCCCGCCCGCCCGGCATGTCGATTGCGCGTGCGCGGACGACGACTACGGTTCCGACTCGACAGCATATTGACGAGAACCTGGAAGCGGCAGACAGGTGACGGACCACAAGTGGAGGGCCTGCGCGCTGTCCTGCTCAGCTCGCCCGCACCGGTACGTGAGAAGGGGTGTAAGGGTGTCGTGCGATGCGTGTGCGCTGCTCCGGAGGGTAATACATGGACACATCGGGAGGCAAGGCGATGGCATCGAGGGCCTTGAAAGGCAGTTGGCACCCCTCCCTCTCATCATCCTGTTCCTCTCGTCTGTCGCGTCCACCACCTCCTTCCACCTCACGCATCGCAGCCGCCACGCCTCGCGGCGAGCAGCCACAAAGCCTTGGGGATCCTCCGCTGGCAGCAGGCGCTAGGTCGCCGCCAACCAGCCGCCGCCAAACTCTCCCAGTCCCGTCACGTCCGCCCGTGACGCTCCCTGTGGTGCCAGCGGGGATCCACACCAGCTCCCCCGGTCCCAGCTCCCCACCAAACAGCCTGAGGTGCACCCTGGCCGGGCTTGCCAGGCTTGCCAGGCTCGCTCACCCAGCCCAGATGTGCCAGCACCACCAGCACCACCGGGCACCTAATACCGCCTTGCCCCAGCGGCGGCCACAGCCAGCAAACAGTTCCAGGTTGCAACGCCTCTCTCCACCAAACGCCCAGGTTGTTGACAGACAGCCCAGCACCACCTCACCTACGGAACCGCCGCTCGTAAGACCCGGCAGGGCCATCGCTCCCGCCCCCCACACGCACCACCACCACCCAATACCAATACCGGGCACCTCTCGCTCGCTCACACACGGGCGGGCGCACTCCACCACGCACGCCTCGCAGGAACAGTCAGTCGCGCGCCAGCGGAGCGCGGTTTCAATCTACTGCACTGGGCAAATGACCAGCCAAGTCTTGGTCACGGTCCCGTCTCTCGCGTGTCGAACCATTGGCCTCACCACCGAAGCCACCACTGCCACCTGCGATCCTCCGCTGCCAAGTCGCTAACGACGTTACAACCTCTCCCCTTCCCTCGACTGCCTTTGTTTCCCCCCCTCAACTCAGATCAATCATCTCTTGTCGTTTGTTCCCCCCCGGAGCACCGCAGCTGACCCTACTCTGCAACAACCCGCTTCGCCAAATACACCACGCTCGGTTTCCCATCGACTTCTGCGCCTCCTTCACGTTCACACATGCCGCGCAATCGGCCGTGCCTTCGACACAATGAAGGCCGCGCCGCTCATCATCAATTGGCATGACCAAAACGCCCCGGTCTACTCTGCCCATTTCGAGCCCGCCGGCAAGGGCCGCTTGGCCACTGCTGGTGGTGACAACCACGTTCGCATCTGGAAAGTCGACACGGACGGCCCGGACCGTAAGGTTGAATACCTCTCGACCCTCTCCAAGCATAACCAGGCCGTCAACGTCGTCCGATGGGCCCCAAAAGGTATTTAGAGCTCTCTTGCCTGCTGCTTCTCCCCTTGCCCGTTGTCGGTTGCTAACGCTGAATGCCCTTAGGCGAGGTCCTTGCCTCTGCCGGCGACGACGGCAATGTGATCCTCTGGGTCCCCAGCGAGCTTCCACCGACCGGCTTCGGCGCCGATGCCCAAGATGACAAGGAGTCATGGAGGGCCAAGCACATGTGTCGTTCGAGCGGAGCCGAAATATACGATTTGGCCTGGTCTCCAGATGCTGCCCATTTTATCATCGGTAGCATGGACAACATTGCCCGTATATACAATGCAAACACAGGTTGGCAGCTTTCCCAAGCTTCCGTGGCCCCTTGCAACACACTAACATGTCAATAATAGGCTCTCTCGTCCGGCAAATCGCCGAACACAGCCATTACGTCCAGGGCGTCACTTGGGATCCCCTAAACGAGTACATCGCGACACAATCCTCCGATCGATCCGTCCACATCTACTCCCTCAAGACAAAGGATGGCCAGTACACCCTCAGTCAAGACGACAAGCCCCCGAGGCTGGCGAGCCATATTAAAGCAGATCTGCCTCCTCGACGCATCTCGTCGAGCAGCCCTGCGCCCCCAGACTTTGGTCACCGGTCCCAGCTGTCCGTCGTCGACTCTAGCACGTCGATAGGCTCGCCCGTGCCGTCTGCGCCGGGCACGCCAACCTCGTTTGCCGTACCCATGAACCCGCCGAGCGTTGTCAGCCACAGCCGCCGCTCGTCCTTCTCTTCCAGACGATCTGTCTCGCCAGCTCCTTCCATGCCACTGCCGGCCGTCATGCCCATGGAGGCGTCTCCAAAACCGCACTCGGTGGCTGCGAGTCTGGGCCTGAGCGTCAAGAACGCCAGCCTCTACGCAAATGAAACCCTGACGTCCTTCTTCCGCCGACTCACCTTTACGCCAGACGGCAGTCTGCTGCTGACGCCGTCTGGACAGTATCAGACGCAACACCAGAACGACAAGGACGCGAAGCCGACCTACGAAGTCATCAACACCGTGTACATCTACACACGCGGCGGCATCAACAAGCCGCCTATTGCACACCTTCCCGGCCACAAGAAGCCTTCTGTGGTCGTCAAGTGCTCACCTATCTTTTACACCCTTCGCCAGTCCCCGCCCTCCACGAAACACATCACTATCGACACGTCATCGTCCGAAGAGCCGCTTCCTTCACTGCCAGATCCTGTGGCGAAGCCGTCACCAGCAACCTCCGTGATGGACCCCCCGCCACCGCCGAGCACGGCCGCCTCAGACACCACCAGTGGATCAAAGTCTGGCAACGTCGAGACGGACGCATCTACTCCAGGCCCCAAGCCAGCATTCTCCCTGGCGTACCGCATGGTGTATGCGGTCGCCACACAAGATGCTGTCCTATTGTATGATACGCAGCAAAAGACGCCCATATGCGTCGTGAGCAATCTGCACTGCGCGACGTTCACTGACCTGGCCTGGTAAGTGTCAAACACTGCTGTACACATTCATGAGCCGAGCACTAACAATGGTACAGGGCGAGTGACGGCCTGACGCTGGTAATCTCATCCTCAGATGGGTTCTGCTCCACATTATCATTTGCCCCTGGCGAACTGGGAGATGTGTACAAAGGGGAGGTTGGACCTCCGAAGCCTCAGCAAGTTGCGGCAGGCAGCTCAGCGAATCCCGCGTCAAGCCAAAATACCCCGGTGCCGACTCCGACAACCAGCTTTGCTCCTCCATCACCCTTCCACAATGGCACACATCACCATCACCGAAACTCAGCAAGCTCGTTTACAGCCCCGTCGCCTCCCCCATCGGCGGCGGCGGTCTCACAGCGGCCCTCTTCCCCCACCAGGTCGAACTCGACATCTTCTGTTGCCACGCAATCTTCCTCGGTGCCGACTGGCGTTGTGAGCAATCCTCCTCTTGTGGGGGGCAACATGCCGAGCCTCACGGCTGGAGGGAAATCAGGTGGGGTCCCTATGACCACACCGCCGGAAACACCGCGACAGGCGGGAAGCACCACCGCTGGCATTAAGCGAGATGCCAGCGAGAGCGAGAAGGAGGACACAAAGGAACCAAAGAAGAGACGTATCGCGCCCACGCCTGTCGACACAAAGCCAGCGTCCTCGTGAGGTATTGCTGTGCCTCAAACCAGCCGCGGGGCTACTCGCGCATCTTGATTTCTTTGCAACGACTCACAAGGCACCGGAAACTAGGGAATGGAGCACACGAAGACGGGCGGCCATCCTAGCCAAGCATGGGGGAAAAGGCGTTGGTGGTTTTCCACGAATGGGACATGCTGTTTATTTCTCAGCTGCGCCTTGCTATCGCGGCCAATTTTGCCTTTGTTTGGTGGACCAAGCGAGATTCCATCAGGATTTGTGATTAACAGGCGTGGTTTGATGGTGACCATTCGCAATTGATGCACTGTTATGATCGGCTTGCGGCCATTAAGCCCGTAGCCCGTAGCCTTTATTCTAAGGGTTGGCTCTATAGCTAGACAAAAGGGAAACAGTGAACTGCAAATATGCTTGCGCGTGCCCGAGGCAGGCGTTCGTGTGACCGAGGGCCTGATGCGGCTGGATTATCTACCCTTTCTGCGACGTCCAGCTAATTCAAAACAGGAGTCCATCCTTTTCTGGGGATGAAGTTGGTCACTCCTTCGTCCTTGAGAATTTCCTCCCCGCGCCGTCCCGTCACGACGCTCCGTTCGTACTCTGGTCCACGAACGTAGAATGGAAACGCCAGGCAGGCAGACTCACCCCTGGCTTTGGCCTCCATATCGCCTGCTACGTCTTCTCCCCCCTGTTTCCTTTCTGTGCTACGCTCCGTGTCATCATCACGTTCCCGTATGATCTTCCCCCCATGGCGGCGCTTGGTGAAGCCGCAGGCCCGCCGGTCTAGGGACAGGTACCATTTCCGTTGGTGGATGCTGCCGATGGAGTTGTGCGCCCCGGGATATGCGTTGGAGCGGCGGACGTGCTCGTCTTCCAGCTCGCGGAGCTCGCGCTCTAGTGCGGAGACGTCGGCTGCTGGGTCGGCCTCCTCCGCGGGGGGCACCAGATGCGCGTCACCGTCGCCCTCTCGGAAGGACTCACGCGCGTCATCTCCATCTCCATCTCCATCCTCCTCCGAGTCGCTCGTCTCAGGCTGCTGCTGCTGCTGCTTCTGTCCCCGCTGCGGCGTCCCACCACTCGTCCTCCCGCGTCTGCGGGTGCGCGGCTTGCGCAGGCTCTTGGCCCGGCCGGACGCGTCCTCCGACTTGGTGAGGCGCAGGTTGAGGACGTACGGGTCGGGGAGCTTGGCGCCGTGCAGGCGCAGGCGGATCTTGCGGTTGCGGAACGCCTCCTCGAGGAGGGCCTGCTGCGTGGCGGGCGTTGCGTCGGGCGATGAGGAGCGCGAGGGGTAGTCCTCTCGCTGCGAAGATGGGTCCTCACTCGGGGCGTGCTTGCTGCGGCGCGGAAGCACGGAGTAGGTCCCCGTGTCCCAGATGAGGAGGGTGCCGGTGTGCGGTGAGGCCGTCTCGATGAGGTGATTCTACATGAAGTGCCATGTTCAGCTCCATGCTATGCTACTCAAGAAAGTCAGGGACACGGACGGGGGACAAACACTCACCCACAACGAATGGATGCGCGTCTCAGTCGCGTTGCGGTTCAGCCTCTTGCTGTTGGGGTCCCCCGGCAGGCCATACATGATGGCCCAGCTCGCGCTGCTGGAGCCGTTGATCTGCAGGCGGAGGTCGTAGTGCGTGCCCGCGACGGGGTGGTCATGCTGGTGGATGACGAAGTGCGCTCCTTGGGGCTTGCCCTCGTTGGCCTCGTACAGGGAAGAGAGCGCGGAGACGGATAGTTGAGGGTGCACGGATGGCGACGAGAGGACGTGCGAGGAGAGGTCCGCGGTGAAGTGGGCGAGATGGTCGGCGATGGTGGTTGCGCCGGCCTCGATGGCGGCGGTGGATGGCGGTGGCGGCGGTGGTGACTTGGCTGGCCGCGCTGCATCCTTGAGCCCGACTTGCTGCGGCGGTGCTTCGTCGGGGTCTTGTTCATCAGGGGGTTGGATGGCGATGGTCCATGCGAGGTTGCGCTTCTTGACGAGCGGGTTGGGGATGAGGCCTGGGGAAGGCGGCCGCTTGGGATGCCGCTGCGATGCCATCGTTTCACGTCGTGTATAGGTCGCGCGACACGGCAAGGCCGGTCAATGTACGCGACATTGTCAGAGTGCGGTGACGCGACTCCTGTTCGGGAACAAGAACTGCGCGGGGCTCTAATGCGTATGGCAGAAGTCGCGGGTCACTCGGTGAGTTAATGCTGCTGGAAGTAGACACTTGAGCGTCGTGCAGGCGCTTGGCTTGTGGTCATCGCGGTCACGTCGGAGCGCACACAGTGTGCACTGTGCAGGATAAAGTGCCGCTGTGTAATACCGGCCACCACGACCTTCAACCGCCGATGCTGGACCAACGCGAGCAAACATCAGAACGACGACCCTCAGGACGCAAGCCCAAACTAGTTAGACGAGCAGAAAGCTGCGGCCATGTCGGCATTCGACCACGGCCTCTAGTGAGGGACTAGCAGGTCCCTCTAGACTCGGTAGAAGTTGCAGATTCGGCTCCTTAAAGGGATCGCGCGAGGTAAACTGAGACCTCGGATGCATGGATGCATGAGGCGAAGCCGCCCTAGTAGATTAAACGGACGACTGTATATCTAGGAATTCCGACATGAACCCCCGAACGCCGCTTACCTGAGCGGCCCCAGACTCACTTACACGCTTGCCAGACTTCTGCCTAAATACTCCAACCTCCTTACTATATTTACAATGGCATTCGTGCTGGTTGTCAGTTTGTTCTCATCTAGTCAGATATGGCTTCGCATTGTCGAATCGTCATCGCGGGCGGAGGCATTGCCGGCCTGGCCCTGGCGCTCATGCTGGAGCGATTCGACATAGACTACGTCTTACTCGAGAGCCACTCGCAGATCGCCCCTGATGTTGGGGCCAGCATCGGCATGTTTCCCAACGGGCTGCGGATCCTCGATCAGCTTGGCTGTGTCGATCCAATCAAGGAGCTGTTTGGAGGCGCGTGTCCCTACAAGACATCGCATACTCGTTCGGAGAACGGAGAGGTTTTGTCCACGGTCCATGAGTTTTTCGGACAGCTGGAGGAAAGGTTCGTTGGCCATAGGCCGATTGGCTCTCAGTGTTTTTTATAGCTACTTTTGAGTTTTCGACAGGCACGGCTATGGACTCTACTTCTTTGACCGACAGAAGCTGCTGCAGATACTGCATGACAAGATCCAGCACAAAGAACGAATCCTAGTGCAGAAAAAGGTCGTTCAAGTCGGTCTGATTCAGGGAGGTGTCGAAGCAATCTGCGCGGACGGCTCGGTCTTCCCTGGCCTGCTCCTAGTCGGCGCAGATGGAGTCCACAGCGCAGTTCGACAGTCAATGACAGACCTAGGCCACAAGCTACAGCCAGGCTGTTTCGACCCGGCTGAGAAGGATCGCGTGCCCTGCTACTACAGATGCAGCTTCGGTATAGCCCAGCACGTCCCAAACTGGGTCCCTGGCGAGCAGCACCTGGTTTTCGGCACTGGCCGGTCTCAGCTCGTCGCCTCCGGCCCCGAAGACAGAGTGTACTGGTTCATGATGGAGCGACTGCCCGTCCCTACATTTGGCGACGACATCCCCCGATACTCTAAAGCGGACGAGGTCGACTTCGTAACTCGGAATGCGACGGTGCCGATTACCACCAAAGTCACGTTTGGAGACGTGTTTGAGAAGAGGCTCACATCTACGCTGACGCCACTTCACGAAATGGTGTACGAGAAGTGGTTCTTCAAGAGAGTCATTACGCTTGGGGATTCTGCTCACAAGGTAAGATGGGAATGTGCATGCATATCCCTAAGAGTCAATGCTGACTGTAGCTCTTGACATAGCCGAATCCCATTGGCGGCCAAGGCGGAAATGGTGCCTTGGAATCTTGTGCGGTACTGGTTAACTGCTTGAACTCGTTGAGGGAGAGCCGTGGAGGCAGCATCGCAGACCTCACAGACGAAGAGGTTGAGCAGGTCTTCCAACAAACACAATCTGCCAGGCATGAGCGCGCCAAGGAAATTGTGGCACGCGCACACGAAATGCAAGCGCTGTTCGCAAACGAGCGCCCGATCGTCACCGCCCTCGTCCAAAGGGTGATACAGCCACTGGGCGGGCCAGGACAGGTGTTCTCTATGATGAGTAGCAACTCCCTTCCTGCCGCAAAGATCGAACGACTTCCCGTCCCTCACCGACCTCGCCTTATTCCCTTTAACGATGAACTTCCCGCAACTCCCGTGGATGAGTCTACACACAAATGGGTCCGCGGTGCCTTCGTCGGAAGTATGGGGCTCACACTGATGCTGTCAAAAGGCTCTTTCCGTCTGCCATTCAACGACGTCGCGAGTTGGAGTGAGAGCAATCTCAGTCTGAAATGGTTTGGCAACAATGCTGTCAGCGCTTTCTTCGAGGTCGTAACATCCATCTTGGCGATACCGATCGAGAGTCCATCGGCAAGATTGCACCTCTGGAGCTTCCTGCCACAACTCATCTCTCCCGTTCTTATTTACACCATCGAAGGATACCGACGGGGTAATCAGGGCAGTGCCTTGAGTCTGTCCATACTGTTCAATGCAGGGATGCAGCTCCAAGGGATTGGGCGTATTGCGCCACTTCATGCTATTCTGAGCGCATTCTCATCCGTCTGCGGACCGGCAGATCGCGCCATTCCCCTAGAAGTGGCACAGTCGCTTGTGCCTGCAGTCACTCTAGGGTTCATCGTTCCCACCATCATGGCACTTGCACCGAACCCGAACAAGACCGCCTGGCACGCTTGGCTTGGGTTGTGGCAATTCGCGCCGCCGCTTGTCAACATACTCACGTACGGAATCTCCACGGGCTTGAGGAAATGGAATCGAAGCCAGGACGTCAAGAAGCGCGACGGCAGGAAAGGTAGCCATGATCAAGATGTGCAAACGCTGGGCTCGGTATACACGTTTGCATTTGCAGTGCAGGCTACCGCCCACATTGCTACTCTGGCATACGGCTGGCACCGCCCTGGCATAAACCTGGCTTCGACATTCTTCAAGTTGCCAAATCCCTTCAAGGCCGACTGGAGACTTCCAAACTTGGCAGCGCAGTTGGCAACGTTTTTCAGGTACGACATGGCGCTGGCTGTTGCGGCATACGTAAGTGGGAATCTTTGGTCAATCTGGACACTGCATCGGCAGGGATACATAAAGACCCGAGAGGCTCTCAAAGCTGCTCTGGGGGTTGTTGCCGGACAGCTCTTTGTTGGTCCCGGTGCGACGTGGGCTGGCTTGTGGTACTGGCGCGAGTGCAAGATTGCTGGAATCGCGCAGGTTAACGGTGATGGAATAGCCAGCGCAAAGGGCAAGCTTGGCTACAGCTCGCCTTAGCATGACTTGCGTCGGCAGGAAGTTCATAAGCTTTGGGGCATCAGCGGTACGATATTCAAGTAAGCCGGGTTCAGAAGTCTAGCTAGCTTGATAACTTGCAGCAAATCGTCAAAGAGGTTGGATTTGGGTTGAGTTGAATCGATGTACTTGATATCTAGAGACGCCTGCGCCTGGGCGCGAGTCCCGACCCTTGGAGGCACCATGACTAATTCGGCAACACCAACGCAGAACGCTCCTTGAAATGCCTAGGCAGGAACGGTCAAGCGCGCCTGCACTCAATGGAGAGGGCAGGCTTTCCCCAGAAAGTGCCGAGGCACATGCTGCAGCCGAGCCAGTCAAGGGCCCCACTTCCCCCATTCTTGCCTCCCCAAGCGCCCCGTCGTCGGTCGCGCCTCCCAAACCGTCCGTCTCCGTCCGTGCTTGCCTTGCCTCGCCTCCGCGCCCGCGCCCGCTTGCTGCTGCTGCTGCTCGTCCCATCAGGCCGCATCCTCCTCCTCCTCCTCCCAGCCCGCGCCTCCTGCGTCTTCGTTTCTCATCATCCCTTTTTCGACGCATCGCCGTCTGCTGCACCGCGCGCTCGTTGCCAGGCGACATCACAGCGCCCCCGCCTTGTTTTGAACTTTTGCCCAGCCCGGGCCTGCGCCGCGGTTTTTTGCCCTTTGGTTCGCCCCCCGCCGTTCGTCGGTTTCGCCGATCGCCGCACCGCGAAAAGCCAGCGTCGGACCGACGTCACTCTCCCACCAACACTGCGCTCAGTCACCAACAGCGACCCAACGACGACTCGACCAGAGCGTCGCAGCGCTCGGCATACGGTGCGGCAAACTCTGGGCAAACCCTTCCTGAGGGTCAGGACCAGCGCATCCTCCCATTTCCTGGGCTGAGCAGCCGCTCATTCCCGACAAAAATGGCATCGCCCCCCAAGCCCTGGGAGCGGCCCGGCGTCGCCTCGGTGCCCTCCGGTTCGTGCTACCCGCCGTCTCGCCCTTCCTTCTGTCGCCTGCTGTTCCCTGTGTGCTAACTGACCGTCGCCAGCCTCCATCACCGCTACTCCTAATCCTCCAGTCACAGCGACAGCCGCCGGCTCAACGACATTGCCTGGCTCATCCACATCAGCGCCTCCGGTACCCGATCGCCCTTCCTCGCTCACCTCCGCCGTCAACCAAAACGCCGCTGCGTACAGCCGCATGGGTGTGCCCGGTGTCGGCGCCTCTCCATACAGTGCCTACGGCGGTGGCTACTCCTCTCCATACTCAAGCCCGTACTCTCGCTTCGGCGGCATAGGTGGCTATGCTGGCGGCATGTACGGCGGCTACGGAGGATATGGAGGTGGCATGGGCGGTGGCATGTACGGCAACATGTACGGGGGCATGCCTGGCATGCCCGGCGGCGACCCCAATAGCCTGACCAACAGCTTCAGCAACAGCACGGCGGCCACTTTCCAGATGCTCGAGGGCATCGTCACGGCCTTTGGCGGCTTCGCTCAAATGCTTGAAAGCACCTACATGGCCACACACTCAAGTTTCTTCGGTAGGTCACATCATAACCTAGCATCACGTCAACCTGCACTAATATATATTTGACAGCCATGGTCTCCGTTGCCGAGCAGTTTGGCAACCTGCGCGACACTCTGGGCTCGATCCTCGGCATCTTCACACTCATCCGCTGGATACGGACGCTCATCGCCAAGATTACCGGCCGTCCGCCGCCGGCAGATGCGACGGCCCTCACCCCCGCCGCCTTTGCCCGATTCGAGGGTCGGCCCGGCCCCGATGGCTCGCCCGGACCCGCCAAGGCTAGCCGCAAGCCCCTCCTGTTCTTCCTCGCCGCAGCGTTCGGCCTTCCGTATCTCATGTCCAAGATGATTCGAACCCTTTCGGCTTCGCACGAGGAAGAGGAGAGGCGCCTGCAGCAGCAGGCCTTGCAGTCTCAGCAGCCTGTTGACCCCTCCAAGCTCGAGTTCTGCCGCCTGCTTTACGACTTCCTCCCGCAGCCCAACACCAACGCCAGCATGGAGCTCGAGGCGCGCAAGGGCGACCTGGTTGCCGTCCTGAGCAAGAACGACCCTGCCGGACAGCCTAGCGAATGGTGGCAATGTCGATCGCGCGATGGCCGGCAGGGCTACCTACCCGCCACGTACCTGGAGGTGCTGAAGCGCCCCGGACAGGAGGTCAAGCAGATTAAGGCGGCAGGTGACGACAGCAGGACCAACTCAATCACAAGCGCGGTGGCGAAGCCTGAAGATGGCAAGAAGGAATACGCAACGGCCGATGGCATGCAAAGAAGTCACTTCTACTCGTAAGAGTTGTATATCTGGGTTCGATGGAAACTCGTTGTCAGAACAAATATTGAGAGGCGATCGCACGGACCGAGTTCGGGGCGGTGATGGGGCTTGAAGACCTTGTCGCATATCAGCCGCCCGATGGTGCACGAGCGTTTCATGTACATCTGTATTTTCTATCAAATCAATGGCAAGATCTCATGCCCGGCTACGCAAGCCCTTTACCCAGTTCCGCCAACGTGGAATCGAAGTAAGTACGGGGCTCGAACTGGAAGATCCCCATTACGTGACGCTTTTGATACGGAACCTGTCTGCCAGCCAAAGGTTGCAGGCGAGTGGGCTCCAGGCGAGTACTGGAACGAGAGTATATCGGCCATGCGGTAGATGATACGCGTCTGCCTCCTGGTACACATTTACATAAGACCAAGCCCAGGTTCCAGAAGTGTCTGATTCGGCAATCTTGGCGGTAAACTTTTCACAGTTGTGGCGAAAGCGTCATGATGTTTCGCGGTGTTGTCCTCCTGCCTATTCTCGGGGCGATTGCCGTCGACTCTGCGCCTAAATGCGCAGACATCATCGTGGCCAAGGTACGTTGGGCCAACAAACCGAATTGCCTTCGAGGATCAGCATGTTCACGTTCTCGATGAATAGAGACACGTCTTTTGGTCCGAGGGGGTGAGTGGCCGAAGCCCCGCTGGCTTTCATCCCCCAATGACGTTGATGGCGACGGACTAGTACACACGGCCAGAAAGCTGATGTTAGAAAACAGGTGTGCATGCCGACGAAGAATCAGTGCCTGGCGACGGTCAAGCACGGCATGTACAGAGGCCTGAACTGGCACCTCGGGCTGCCGGCGCCGTCGCTGCGGCGGCGGTTTCGCAATGACCCGGACTGGGCCGAGGAACACGACATTATGGACTGGCCCTACGAGTATGTTTCGCCTTCTTGCTCCGTCGGCAAGGTAAGTGATTTTCTCGCGAAATGGGCTCTTCTCGCTCTTGCTCTTGGGATGCGTGAGTTTTCTCTGACTGACCGCGGCTGGGGGGGGCGCCGCAATACAGTGCAACGAGCCGAGGGTGCCGTGCTGGCGCGATGATCTCCATGGGGTGGGATACTGCGAGGGGGTGAGGTTTGTTGAGGGCGATTGATGAATCGAGGACTGTGAGCGAGTGGGCTTCCGAGGGCGATTTCTTATTCTTGTTGTTCTGAATATCTTAGAGATGGTCTGTCTTCGGGTCTGTGCTCTGTAGCGAGGAGGAGTACACGGATCGCTCGTGGCGGCGGCCCAAACGCCCATGACACGACTTCAGTGCGTACCTGCCACGCGTCGGGCAAACTGTGAGTCGGGGCTATTACAGCATTCTCCAATATTTGCATATATTACATATACGTGTGAGTGCTCTTAATATCGCGCGGGGCCATCATCAGGTAGGCGAAACTAGCGGCACCGTTTCGTTGTGGACTGGAGCAGGCAGGACTTGAATAGACTGACAGGGGAGTGCTGTTGGGCAAACGCGCCTGCAGCCGTGCCATTGCGCTGCGGCGCGGCGCACGCTCACAAGACCTCCATCGAAAAGATAAAAGGCCGGGGTTTCGCTCTTGGGAGGCCAAGCATCGGAGGCTGTCGTCACGGGTATATAAGACGAAAGCACATCGCCGCGGTCTCGGCGGCCTGGGAAAAGTCACATCATCTGCCCATCCTATCCGCCACGAGCAAATCAGGGTTTTCCCCTTCCTGCATAACAGATTCACGACGACGAAGCAGGCAGACGCAGTAGGCAAGATGAAGTTCCAGTACGCCCTCGTCCTGGCCGCCGCCCTGGGCGCCGCCAACGCGATGAAGTCGCTCGAAGAGTACGAAGCCGAGTACGACTACACGGACGAGTCCTGCGAGGTGAGAGAGAGCCGCCAACTAACGTGTCGCACAAATGTATCAAGAACATTGCTAACGAGTGTGTTTTCTTTCTCATGTGCAGCGCTACAAGTGGATGTCCTGGGGAGTAAGTCGTTGAGTTCTCCGCTCCATCGTTTGAGAAAGGATGGCGCGCGCACATGGACATATACGCCGGATATGACATACTAGTTGAGACGGGCTTCTGGCTCGCACTCACTACGTCATCCACTCACTCATCTTCACTATACAAGAACAAGCTATGTATAGGAGACGGCTGGCTGAACAGAAGAAAACACACAGGCGTGCGACGAGCACAGGCAAGTCTGCAGGCACAGAGTCAGGCACGGCCACGACCCTCACAAGGCCGAGACCTGGACGCACGGCAAGCCCCATCACGACAGCATCGCGGGACACGAGCGTCGAAGCGTCGGGTCTGGAATTCCCAACACTGCCTGGTATTGGAAGGAAACGCGGTGTGGCGTACAACGTGTAAGTCAAGTGGTCCTCCCCACCCCAAGGTTGTGCCTTTCACTTGAGGCCGTATCCTGTTCTTCTGTCACACGAGGGACTGAGAGTGAGTGAGTGAGTGGCTGGGCGGCTGGCTGACGACACAAAATACAGTGCCACAACACTGGCGACACCTGTGCCTATGACTTCTTCGACCAGGAAATCCTCTGCGCATATGGCCAGGAGTGAGAGACGGTCGGGTTCAGGTGCCTTCACCGTCCCTTCGCAGCCACCTCGTCACGGGACGTTTCGGCTTATTGGGAAGCACGATATATGCCTCCGCATTCGTTTAGCATCGAGTTTTCTTCATCGATTATCTGGCCAGCTTCCTTCGTGATGCGCCTGCAGTCCTACTAGAATCAATAGCCAGGGAGGTGCAGGCGTGCCCTCGGCAGCTACCTCCGCCAAAGCGAGCCAATTCTTCATTCATGTTGCAGTGGTTCGCCCCGATGCGAAATGCTCCTCGCTCGTATGCTTTCAGAGTAATTTTTGATCACAGCGAAACGCCCGTTTTCCGATCCGGTCATCCGCACCTACATCGTCCGTGTTGTGAATTTAGCCCTCGGCCTCGTAGGAGTTGGACTTGTGCTTGGGCTGAAAGCGGAAGCCGGGGTGCACAGGGCCGAGGAACATCTCCCTAGGTTTGTGTCAGCATTCATCTGGTGTATTTTTGCAGGGGGTAGACAGAAGCGCGTGTACGTACGTTATCTTGATCCAGTCCTTGTAGTTGTCAGAGGCCATCAGCGTCTCCAGCTCGTCACGTCCCCTGTACGCCGGCGGCCGATCATTAAGGCTCGGCGGCAGGTACTCGAGCAGGCCAATGGGCACATAGCGATGCGTGAAGCTCAGCCACTCGAGCAAGAAGCGGCGCGTGAAGCCGATGCCCAGCTCGTCGGAGCCCCATGCCTCCAGACCATAACGCACAAACTTCTCGATGTAGGTGAGGCGCTCGCTCGACGACTTGTCCAGGTACTGGCCCTTTTCAATCTCCTCAAAGACCCAAGGCTTGATGAGAGCGCCGCGGCCAATCATGACGCTATCGACACGCGCCTTGGAGATGTGCTCCTCGTAGTCAAAGTGGGAGTAGCAGTCACCGTTGCCGAGGAAATACATGCGCCCGTCCTTGGAGTTGGGCAGGGTGCTGGCATCGGGCTCGGCGGCCGTGTCGGTGAGAGCGTCCTTTTGCTCGTTGTATGTCTTGACCAGGGCGGCGCACTCGCCAATATAGCTCCAGTCGGCCTTCTTAGTGTAGCGTTGCTCGCGACTGCGTCCATGGAGCGTCACGGCGGCGCAGCCAGGAGCGCCGAGGCGTTCTCGGTGCTCACGGGCGCCAAACGCGAGGCGCCCGAGCAGCTGTGTTGCGACCGGGCGGTTGCCCTTCACACCCGTTCTTATCTTGGCCGTAATAGGGATCTCGCCCGACATGGCGTTCATGCCGCGCAGCATGCGCTCCAGCTTGCCCGGCGACTCGAGAAGCGCCGAGCCGCCACCGGACTTGAAGACCATGTCGATGGGGCAGCCGCAGTTGAGGTCGATGAGTCGCAGGTGCGGGCAGTAGCGGTTGAGCACGTCGGCGACTTTGGTGACGACCCAGGGTTGGTTGCTAGAGATCTGGGCACCGAACTTGAGGTCTTTCGAGTTGTTGTAATCATCGAAGACGAACGACTTGCCCGGCGTGACCTTGGGCGGGGAAATCTCCGACTCGTGGGCCTTGAGCAGAGTCCAGTCGGACTTGGAGCCCTGCAGGATGGGCATGCCCATGGCCATCTCCGAGTACGTCAACTGACAGCCCAGTTCCACGCAGAGTCGTCGGAATGGGAGGTTGCCCTGGGTCGTGAGGGGAGCAAGGGTTGGGGTCTCGGGGCCGAAGTAGAGACGCCGCTTCTCGGAGGGCTTGAACGGCGGGTCAACGAAGCGCGCGCGAAGGTCCTCTATGCCCTCGTCGCTCTGCGCCTTGCGGCGGTGGTGAAACTCGTTGTTGATGACGGACTCCTTGTTCATCCACTTGATGTACTCGTCCGCTTTGGTGAAGTCGACGCGCTTGCGACTGAGGTTGATCTTGTCGATCAAAGGGACGGCGTTGACAATGCCAGCACGGCGCTCATCGTGGTCGCCTTGGCCCCTGTCGTCGCTCTTGGTTCCATCCTCCTTTTCTTCGCCGTCTTTTCCTTCGTTCTCAGCCGATCTGTTGACCAAGACCAGCTCCTTGCGTCCGTCATCGCGTTCAACCTCTTCCATGTGGCTCTTAACGAATCGACACTTCCAGCCGGACGGGCACCATCCGTACTGTTCGAAGACGGGGCACTTCCCACCAAACGTTTCAACATCGTCGCGTCGGCCCTCGGCGAGGTACTTGCGCACATCGTGGCACATCTTGCAGCGATCGCCGTATTTGCACTCCCGAGGCGAGAATTCGTTGGTAAAGGCTCGGCTGTTGCAGAGGGGCAAGGCGTCTTCAAACTTGCCAAACGTGCGCTCAACGTTCTGGCCGCCCCTCTTCTCCTTCTTGCCCTTGCCGCCCGAGTCTCTGTCGTCCCTGCGCTGCTGGCCGTCACGGTTAGCATCTCTACCCTCAGCCTCATCGTCGTCCATGGCGTCAGAACTCTTCTTGGCACCTGGAACATCAATGAGATACCTGTACAGTACCGTCAGCGCTCAGGATTCTGTGCATTTTTGGGGATGAGCCTCACTCCTTCTTGACGGGAGCCAGCCCAGCTCGGCGGTCTCTGGCGTCGTTTGCATGGTTGTCTGGCCGTGCTTCGTTTTCCTTGGCAGGGGCGTCATGCAGACCCTCTCCGGGAACCTGTGGCTCTGCGAACTCGACAGTCTCGGATTCAGCTGAGGCGTCCATCTTAAGCCGCTTCGCTGCTCTCTCCTCGGATGCGTCGTGTGAGACTGTAGCCACGGCAATGTTGCTCGCATCTTGCGCGAGCTCAGCTCGCTCCGGGTTTGATGCCTCGCTCATCTTGCGTCAGGGAAGTGGCTGTTGTGACACAGCTATCTCGGTACGGGCGGCGTAGTCTTGAGGATCGAATCCTTCTGACAATCGTTGTGGCTTTCAACGGGCTGCTTGAGCAACGTTGCGACCGCGGCGAATGGAATTGTGAGAACTTTGGGGATCACTGGTCTCGGGAAAAGAGGCAAAGAGGCCCCAGAACGGTCGCGGGTCCTCAGAAACCTCGATTGAGTGACTTTGCCACCCGTGAGTGTGTATGGCGGCTCTTGTTCAAGAAGATGAGAAGCGTCGTTGAAATTTTTTGAGGTTCTGCCGTGGAACTAGAACGAGGTCCGCTGCAGTTGTCGGCCAGCTGTTGGGCAGCCGCTGTAAACGAACACAGCAAGCCGCCCCACGTGACCGCCCGACGTCCAAAGTGAATCTGTGCACGACTTCGTCGACTCTGGTTTGAAGTCTTCTATGAAATCGTATGTATGTGCAAGAAATATTATATGAAAACTCTGATTCGCTCTTTTGGCCCAAGGTGAGGCGAGGCGCGTGCTGGACAGGGTCAGCCCGCCGCTCCCCCCCTGCTGGCTTTCTTGTTGATGCCATCGGACGATTGCGTTTACGGAGGAACGCATTCTACTGAGGCATTGCACTTGGAATGATACTTCGAGGCATGGAAACTTGGAGGGCACTCCCTTAGCGTCCGATGAATAAAGGCATTCAACCACGGATGCGCGCAATCCAGGTTACCTCCGATGCTCTTTCTACAGGGTAAGCCGCTGCTTTTCCAGGGGTTGTTGGCGCCTCGGTCCGCTATCAGAGAGGCAGGTGGGGACCGGGCGACATCATCGCGGCTTGAAACACCAGACTCCAGAGGCACACTCTCTTCCCCTCCCAGCCACGCCCCTCTCCAGCGACACGCACCCTCCGGGCGCCAACCCACCTCGCCCCGAGCTCTGCGTCCGACCTCCGGCCATGCCACCCCGCGCGTGAGACCATGGCGGACAAGTCGGCCAAGTCGCCGCGCAAGACGTCGGTGTCGACGACCACGGCGGCCGTCACCTCCAGCTCCCACCCCAACCACAAGGTCAAGACGGTGCGGTCACAGAAGATACTCCCGAGCCCACCTCCCAAGGAAAACAGGCCGACTCGCCTCGATGACTCGAACGCGTCCGACGATGACGACGACGACGACGACGAAGACGAGGACGAGGATGAGCAGCCCGCACCGCTGCCCAGGAGCCACACACCCGGCCACCTGGCGAGCAAGAGCATAAACGACCGCCGGCGCAAACCTTCGGACGTAGCCATACGCCAGCGCTCTCAGTCGGCCTCACAGGTCCCTCCTTCTCGGCCCTCCACCGCTGGCGCCCAAACGACCCGATCCCAACAGCAGGACCAGAAGCAGCAAGCCTCCGCCGACGGCCACAAGGACGACCAAGACAAGAAGCTCTCGGGCACCGCCAACAAGGCGTCCGCGTCGGCAGCGAACCGCGGCACACTGTCTGCGTCTGTCACATCGCGGCAGAAGACGGCCACGACGACCACGACGGGTGCCAAAATCACCCGCCCGCCGCGGGGGCAACACATCCCCTACCCCGCGCTGCCCGGCCCCGACGATGGGCCCGACGTCGAGCCGGCACCGCCGTCGGGCATGTACTGGTCCAAGGCGTTCGTGTCCGGCGCACCGCACTCCAACATGAGGGCGCACACGACGACGATCATCAGTTCCAACGTGTACGTGTTTGGGGGCTGCGACTCGCGCACCTGCTTCAATAGCATGTACATGCTCGACGCCGACTCGTTTTCCTGGTCCGTCCCGCACATGGTCGGCGACATCCCCGTGCCGCTGCGCGCCATGACATGCACGGCGGTCGGCAAGAAGCTTGTCGTCTTCGGCGGCGGTGACGGCCCCGCTTACTACAACGAGGTCTACGTCCTCGACACAGTCAACTTTCGCTGGACCAAGCCCCGCATCGTCGGTGACAGGGTGCCTTCAAAGCGCCGCGCTCACACGGCCTGTCTATACAAGAACGGCATATACGTCTTTGGCGGTGGCGACGGCGTGCGCGCCCTCAACGATATATGGCGCCTCGACGTCAGCGACCCGACCAAGATGTCGTGGAAGCTCATCTCCGGGGCCGAAAAGACGGCGCCAGGAATCAAGGATGTCCGCCCCAGGGCGCGCGGCTACCATACAGCAAACATGGTGGGCAGCAAGCTCATCATTTTCGGCGGATCAGACGGCGGAGAGTGCTTCGACGATGTTTGGGTCTACGATGTTGAGCGACACGTCTGGAAGGCCGTCAACATCCCTGTCACCTACCGCCGCCTCTCCCACACGGCCACCCTCGTCGGATCTTACCTCTTCGTCATTGGCGGCCACGATGGCGCCGAATACTGCAACGACGTGCTCCTCCTCAACCTCGTGACCATGACGTGGGACCGTCGCAGGGTCTACGGGAAGCCACCCAGCGGGCGCGGATACCACGGCGCAGTCCTGCACGACAGTAGGCTACTCGTTATTGGCGGCTTTGACGGCAGCGAGGTGTTTGGGGACGTGACCATCCTCGAACTCGCGGTCCACGCGTACTACTCGCAAATCAGCCACTTTACCATTGAAGTATAGCAGGGAAGGCCAGACGAGAGGGGGCCTCGCCATGGTTTCCTGCTCTGGAGAGGCGCCCGACGCGCAGCGTCGTTAGACTGCGCCAGTTTGCTGTGCCAGAATATCTGCACGGCGTTGCGCGTACTGGGCGAGCTTACATCCGTGCGTCCCGAACCCGCGGAGGGGGGACGGAACTGACGCCTTGAGCCCCGATTCGTCTAGATGAGATGGCGCAATAAGAGTGTGGACGAGATGCGCGGGAGGACACGCTCCAGGAAACGGACTGTTGGTAGATCGGGGATAGGGTCCTTCTTGCACAGGACGCGGCGAGAGCCAGGTGGATTGGCCTTTGCCATGCCCTCGAGGACCTCTTTTGCATCCGTTCCAGCCTGGCATGTCTTTCGCCACGACATGGCTGGCCCAGACGATAAAACGTCGAAACAGATAAACAGTTACGCAACGCCTGCATGTAGAACACGACGTCAAGATCTATGTCCATCACAAGCATCTATATGTTGGTCAAAGGGGAGCCCTGAAGCTCGGAAATGCTATTCGTTAAATTCGTCTTATTATACAAAGTGCCAAGGGGGGAGCTTTTACTCTCTCCCGCCCCGAAACTCTTTTTTGCCCGCCCGCTCCCCGCTTCTGTACATATACAAAAGTGTGTGTCCCCCGAGAAAACGTGGGGTCCCCGTGTGAAGCCGTGCCAGAAACGCCGATATGCGACTGCGGTAATGCTTGCGAGCCCTTTTGCCCGAGGAAACGGGGAGTGGTGGTGGTGGGTTTGGTATAGAGGAGATGTGTTGTATGGTAGTGTGATATGCAAGCCTTCGCTCTGCGGGGGTTGCTTGATGCCGGTGGTTGTGAGATCCTGTCGCTGGTCTTGCGAGGGGGCTCGTATGTATGGAGGGAGTCGTCTATGATTTGAGGTCTCTTGCTCATGCCTTGTTGCCATTGGCCTTCTTGGCGGCCAACCGGCGCTCCTCAGCCTCGACCATGTCTAGAAGGCGGTGTTAGCTTTCAAAGATGTACTAGATTTCGTCGGACGGCATCCTCTGGGGAGAGGGAGGGGGGAGGGTGCATGATGGTGCATGGGGCTTCAGGCTGCTTACCCTTCCACAGATCTTGGCCTTCGTACTCCTCCTTGTGGACCTTCTTCTCGATGAGGTGCTTGTGCTCCGGGTCGTTGGGGTCGAGGACCATGACCGTCTCCCAGCGGCCGCTGCCGCGCTTGGCGTCGTTCATTTCAAAGGCGGCAGAGACGATCAGGACAGCGAGGGTCAGGCCCTGGGCGTAGACACGGGCCTGGACGACCTTTTGCGAGGTGCTCATGGGGGCGCGGCCGACAATGGCCAGCGCGAGACCCATGCTGGCGAGCCACGAGACGAAGACGATGCTGTAGCGGTTCTCGCGGCCCCAGCTCATGAAGCGCTGGTAGGCCGACTCGTTCTCGCGGAGGATCTGCTGGGCGCGCTGGCTGGCGTCCTGGTACGTGCTCATGGGGTCCTGGGCGCGCTGGAACTTGGTGCTGTCGCGGTCGGCGTTGACGATGGCGCCGAACGTGGCCGACGAGGTGACGAGGAAGGTGCGGAAGGGGAGCGTGAGGCCCCGGAAGGCAGGGTAGCGGCGCGAGGCGAGGAGGACGCCGCCGAGGCCGAGGGCCAGGCCGGCGGTGCCGCCGATGAGGCCGCCCTTGACGACGACCTTGTAGTGCGCCGCCTCCTCTTCCTTGCTGAGGACCTTCATTGTGGTATGACGCTGTTGATGCTGCTGCTGCTATGCGCGGCGGCGGGGTTGTTTCGAGCGGTTGGTGGTGGTGTTGGTGGTGGTGGTAGTTCTATAGAGCGTGCGAATCTAGGTATCGAGCACGGGATGGAGCGGCAGGGCGCGCGGCGGGTCGGGCGTGTATACAAGTAGGTTTCGCGGGCGCGGCTCGGGATGCGGAGGGGGCGGTGGGCGAGTTCAATCGGTCTGGAGAAGCGAGGGTCGCGCGACGCCGGAAAGAGCGGAGCCGGGCTCGAAGCCAAAATTTTTGAGTTGCAGCGGCAGGGATGAAATGCGCTTTGGTTTTATGAGCAAGGCCGTTTGCGAAACTGCTCGCTTTTTTAATAATCGCTGCTGTCGCAAGTCTGCTCTTATATGATTGTTGATCGTTGGAAATGCGATGGACGGTGCAAAGCACGGGGGGCGAATTGAGAGGCGTTCTCGTTGAAATGCGGCGTTTCGTCGCGGCGTCACCGGAGGGCGGGCGAGGGGATAAAATAATACATCATCATCCGTGCTGGCGTAGCAGTGGCATCATCATCCCGAGCTTTGTGCGCTACTAGAACCCGCTGCGCGCTGACGGGACGGGCAGGACAGGACGGGGACAGGCATGATGTCAGCCACTAACAACAGTCTCGGCCGCACCGCAAGCCAGCTGGTGCCACGCGCCGCCAGGGATGCCATGTGTCTGCGTGTGTGCGCGCGCCCGCCGTTCCGGAGCCTCCCGGGCGTTGTCGCTGTGCTGAGCTGCGGCTGGGCGGCGGCGCTGTACTGGTGACTACGGGGATCAGGTTCACTGCAATTCGAGCTGCAGGCCCCGGCGACGCGGACGCCGAGAAATTCCCGCCCCATTCCCGCCCGATAGCCGCCCCCCGAAGCTTCAACACGAGTCGCCGCCCGCCCGCCAGCCCCGAGCCTTGGGCGAGCATTCTCCAGCCCGGCCCGGCGAAGGGGCCCCTCTCTCCAGCCACCCGGCAAAGCAGCATTACTGATCCGGTAGCCGTTCAAGCCGTCCGTCTGTTCCCACGCACTGGAAGCCCCGTCTGCCACCGGCGCCCCCATCGCCACCCACCCCTGCGAGTGGTGCCAGAATTGCGGACTTGCCGTCCAGACCCGTGACACGCCAGAACCAAAAAGCCCAGAGCGAGACGGCCCCTCGGTAGCCACAGGAGCTATGTCATTAGTAACAGGATGGATCCCGCGCGACCCCGTCCTGAGGCGATTCCCTGTTCCCGTGGATCAATAATTCACTTCCGCGCGCCTTGTCGTTCCTTGGTAGGCACTCGTATGGGCACATGCCCTCCTTGCCGAGGCGGATCCACAGCGCGCGCGCCCTTCCCGGCTACCTACCCGTGCGTGGTGTGCTTGCCCTAAATGAACAAGTACGCTGGTGCTGCTCAAACGGGAGCGAGCGAGCGAGACGCGAGAGGCCCCTGGTGGATGTATGCCCATGGGCCGGGCCACGAGTCCACACCGGCCAGGGCTGCCCGGACGCCGGACGCCAGACACCACAGACCAGCTGGAAGTGAGCTTTCCATTGCGGAGCAAGCACGATCAGCCTCTTTGCTCTGCCGCCGGATTCCGCCGACAGAGTCCTCGTCGTTGCCCAGCAGTGTGCTTCTTCTCCTGGACCAGGACTCGTCCTCGCAGGCACAACCTGCCCTGACCTTGATATGCGCTAGGTCGGCTTCTCCCGCCTCGCGCCCTTCGCGGCAACACCAATGTGTAAAGGCCCTGCTATTTCCCCACGAGTCGTGCTATTCGCACATATAGAAAACTGCAGCTCGTGACACATGAATAAGGTGTGCAGGCCTCGGCCAGAGCGAGAGCCCCCATGAATATACCAGACGGCAGCGACTGCAACAACCGCAGCAACAGCAGCAACATGCGGTCCCCCGCTGCCGTTCCGTGTCTGAGGTGCATACCAAAAAAAAAGGCCGGTTCGTCCCTAGATATGTCTATGGGACTAGACTCTTCTATTTGTGCGAATAGCACCAACTTCCGTATTAAACGTTGGCGGGTATTGACATATGGCACGGATGTCGAGGCCAATCTTGCAGCCTCAAGCCACCAACCACTGCATGGCGGGGAGGGCAAAGGTTGCATCCTCATACAGAAACGGCCACGGGCCGGCGCAGGTGCCTGTCAGTTGAAAGCTGCCAGCACAGATTGCAGGCAGCGCCCCGACAAGATTAGATAGAGTCCATGCTCGACGAGGCGCGTGCGATCCTTCGTCCGTGGGCTTCGAGAGAACACCACACCTGGCCCGTGATCATCGCCAATCTTATATGTTGGACCGTGCCTGGACGCTATCGAGGGTGATGCCCAACGACAGGATATTGTTCTGCATCAATACACTACTGTACGTATTGGTATCGCCGCTTTATGGACATGGTCATCCCCTGCAATGTAAAGTCACTACTTTTGTCGCGTCGAAGGCATCGTGGGTTTGTGGAGCAGAACCCTGCACGCTGACTGCTCTCTGATCCGCCCAGCCAGCGCGGAATAGTAGTGGTTGCGCGAGTACGGAGCAGCAAGGCCGACATTGCGCCAGCGTCGATGCAACGAGGAACAAATGTCGTTTGTCAGTGGGTGCCGCATGTGAAAAGTCGGGCGAGAGCCGTCTTGTGTGAAGAGTCATCGGGCGCTTGAACGAGTCCCTCTTGACGTCTCTTTTTTTCCTTTGCTCATGATGTCGCTGGGTTCCTCGCCGGCAGTTGAGGCTCAATGCCGAACTAGACATGCCTCGTGGCCGTGGTGGCAAGCCGCCGACTCGACCCGGCCGAGCAACAACAACAACAGCTGCCCACTATAAGGTGACGTTAGTACGAAGTAGTAGTCCTCTTCTGGCCCGTTGAAACCAAATCAAACCCATCCACGGTGACCCCGACGGGCACGAGAACAGCCGCCCATCCGCCTTGGTCAATTTCAGGGTCCAACTGCCACTGGAGCCCGTCGGATGTGTGTCGGCGAAGCCATGGAATCAGCTCCATTCGTTCCACGGGGCTCCGCCGCGCCTACGGCGAGCCCACCGACCCACCGGAGCCACTCCCATGCGACACTGGCGGGGCGGCAGGTTTCCGCGAGCGGCCGCTGGCGCGCTGATGCTTCGTTGCGCTTCAGGGACACCACACCGAGTCAATGGGGAGGTGGCGCTTCTTGGCGCCGGCTTTGGGCCCCCAAGGCCCCCTTCTTCCGCGGGAGGCCATCTCCAACAGGACCATATGGGTCTCGTCACTGAAGCATTTCCTGCTCGTTTGATTTGCGCTGGCGGATCCGTCTGGTGAGGCCCGGGCGGATCAAGCAGTGCTTTTGCGGACCTTGACCGGACGATCCCAGCCGACAAGGCGGGCACTTTCCACGCGAATGGTCATCGCCTACTTCTGATCGTGCTGTGCAGTGGTCGACCCAATGACCATGGCTGCACGCGTGTTGGGTGTCCAAGCGCGGCAAACAAGACCGTGTGTCTCAGGGTCGACAGAGATCTGGCCCGACCGCGTACTTCCGCTGCCCCGAGCACGACCCTGCAGGGACGAAGGATGATAGAGACGATGGATCGGCCAAGAATAGCTGCGAGTGTCGAGGCCGAAGGTCTCATCTTGAATGGATATCCCACGGCCATGACTCGAACAGGAGGTAGGTGCAAGACCGGCCAACTGTCTCTTGCCGCCATTGTTGCGCGGCGGCCCACCTCCGTGGTGGCCCAGCCGCCAAGCTTCCACGCCCGCCGTCCTTGACAAGAATGACAAGGCTGTCATGCTTGCCGTGTTTGACAGACTGCCAATGCGCCTCCTGTCCGTGGGACTGAGCCGGGGCGGCGCCAGCCCAGGGGATATCCTCCGGCACAAGGTTCAACGCTGACAAGACAACAGCCTTGGCGCGGTGACCGGTAGCAATCTTGGCTTGAGTGGTGGAAATCAATGGGCGCACGTCCGCGGCTCAGATGTGACGGGCCTGTGTGTCGAACGTCTGACAGATACAAGGTACAGAACCTTATGCGGCTTAGCTGGACTCTGCAAGTGTGTGTGTCGAGATGGCTCCTGTCACTGACCGCCCGCTTGTCACCGTCAACGTACGCGTGCTGGGGCCCTGCATTGCCCATCGGAGAAGCTCAACAGAACGTCCTGTACTGCCACGGACTGAACGCAGTTGACTTTCAAGTCGCCTGCCCGTCATGCGGACCATGTCCCTGCATCCGGAGCTGTCATCGCCCTGAATGTAGGGGCCCGATTGCTGCGGGTACTCTGCAGTAACTCCAGTACATCGAGTTACACCGAGATCGAGCATATAATTCCATCGAATCATCGCGGCCTGGGGTGTCCTGTCAAAGAGATGTCACAATGGGGACTGCAGCGAAGACGATTCACCCAAGGCGCGATTGGTGGCCTCGCTAGCCGAGCGAGGCTCCAGAACCAGGGATTCGGAGCGGTCGGGAGGCGCTGCGAGGCCCGAACTACTGGAGGCCTGGGGAGCCTTGTCGAGGAGGCATCGCGATGGCGGGCGCCTCGACGCGGATAAACGTCTGAAGTCGAATTTGCACCCATTCACCTCGAGCTGGGAGGAGACTGGTTGACCGACTGGCGAGCCACAGCATCCAATCCAAAGTCAACGGCCTAATTATCATGCCAGCTGTGGCCAACAAGGGAATCGTGAAGGACAACGGGAGAAACATGTCCCTTGGACTGTTGGTGGCCTGTGCCACTTGGAAGAAGCTGTCCAGTTGGCAAGTTAGGTTCCGGCCAGCAACGTTGGGGCCTAGACTCCATAGTGGGGGAGAAACCTTGTCCATATCGTCATTCCCATACGGCGACCCGTATCAAAGGCCCTCTGCTTCTGGCCTTACCCGCTTGACGTCACCTCGGCTGCACAGAGCGACATTCCAGTCGAGATGCAATCGGCGAGGGGGGAGACTTGCCTGTGGTCCTTACCCCCCCGGGGTAGGTATCGGCTGGGGTGCGATGCTGGATTCCCTGGGCCCTTGGTGGCGCGGAGAGAGACAGCTTGGGCGGTGGTGCCAGCTGAAGCACCTGTAGTTTTGGGGAGCCACTTTGACGATCAGTCCGAATGTGCGGTGATTGATTGTCGGGGAGAGAGTCTTGCAGGCCCAGGGGAGAGAAGAGATCGCCGGTCGGAGCTGGATAGGGGCAAGTAACGTGTCGCTTGAAGGTGGCCACGGAGCCGCCATCTTCAAATCGGCGCGATGCCGTGGGTTCTGCGTCGCGTGTTGGATGGCGGCGGGCGGAGTGCGTGGGCCGTTTGCCGTACGTAGTCCGTACCCGGGGGGCGGTAATGAGCTCGCGAAAGGTCCGAGCCACGACGCACTTCCTTTGGCGAGGTACGGACCAGGAATTCACAACGACGACGTCTGGCGAGGCCACGACAGAGCAAGGTGCGAGCGGATGTCAGTGGCTCTTGCTGTTTGGCGAACATCGGGGCAGGACCTTGCTGCTCGCACTTGCCTTACCTAGCACATCGTACTGCGTGCGCAAGGTTCGAAGTAGCTCGAGGCAGGTGCTGGCGCCGGTTGGGAATGCACGACCTTGGACTTGGTTGGCCCTGCCCCTTCCCTCGCGACGCCAGACACGATCTGGGTTGGGCTGATGAGCACCGACGCGCCTCATGCATCGAAAGGGTTGCCTTGGTTGTGCCACTTCCACCGCATATTATTTCGCTGCCTCGTATATAATATATCAATGCCCCCTCTCTGTTCTATTTCGCCTCGCATAGCTCCCGAGACAGCGCTCCATCCATCCTCCGAGCTCTTGGTTACCCCCACTGCCTGTTGGAGACGGCCCGGGGCTGCCAGGCAGGACGACACCTCATCGTTACGTTACCGCTGTGCCCGATCACCGCCTCGGGGCGCATCCCACGGTGTCCACCGCCGCGTTACGAGCTTGCATTACATTATACAGGAGTGCCCTGCTCGTGCGCTGCTCTTGCTGGCGGATCCTTGCTTAGCTGGTCGATCCCGGCCATCGCACGATACGTGCCTTGGGTGTCTTGGTCGCAACGCCCCGTCAACCATACCGCCTCGTCCCCTCCACTCGCTTTCTAGGCCTCCACCGCGCCGCATCTGTGGGATCGCCTGCAGAACAAACGTCCAAGCATCATCTCCGGCAAGCACACAGCATCAAGCTACCGACGACGACGCCACAGGCACAAGATCGCGCCCTCTGCACGATCTAACTTACCACTAGGCTTCCTTGTCCACCACATACCTTCAGCCTGTTCCCAGCGCCCCTGGTTGGCACGATCACTGGTTCAAGACCCGCCCTGACTCGCCTGCGTGTCGACCATCACTGAGGACCAGCTGCCTCGCCCCCGGATCGCGGGGGCCCATCTTGCGCTGCGCGGTCCCGTAAGCTCGAGGCTGGCCGCGGCGCCGCGTGTGCTTGTCTGGTGCAACCAGGATTTGCCTTTACACAGAACAGCGTCATCGCCAGCACAAGGTCCAACCGACTTACACCGTCATCCGCGAGGGCTGCAGCCATTGCCGACTAGTGGCCGCCAACACCCAGCGACCACACCCAGCGACCCCGACAGACCCTGGCCGGCCTGGGCGTGGACTCACACTGACCTGCAAGCCGGAAGAGTCATTCAGAACACCGTGCCAATCAGGCCCTCGTCTGCCGCACCCGCGCTTGTGCTTGTGGTTGCGCACAAGTCAGCACGCGAAGGCGCATCCATTCAAGGCAGGCCGACCGACATTTGGATTCAGACGGGAGCACCACCAGAGTAATTTGTGCGAAGGCTGTCCGTCGCCTGGGAGGCCAGCAGGTGAATACAAGATAAAGGCTCCCTCGTCCCCGTGTGCCTGGCGCACAGTGATGCTCTGCTCCTCGCACCGACACGACACATTGCGCGTCCTGCTGTCTGCCTCTGCCTGTTCGCTGCGAGTCGCAACGCAGCAAAGTACAGTTCTGTGCCTGGCTGCAATCGTCCTGGCCCGACTATTTCGTAAGGCCAAGCCGTTATTGCCTTGCCGCCCGAATCCCGCGGATCCGCGAGTCGACGACGAGGGGCGACCCGGTCCCTCGGCTCGGCACAGGTGGTGGAAAGGAAAAGACGAACGTGCGCGGCCGAGCACGACGACGTCAGACAGCTGTTTCACCATCATCGTCACCAGCACGGGCACTTGTGCCTGCTTTTTCGGCACTGCATTCATCGCGGCACGAATAAGTGAAGTCAGGACGGGAGGATGCTTAAATGGTTTCAGCGCGGCGTCGACGACGCTCGCGATAGCAAAGACACGAGCAGCGAGCGTCAGCACAAGCGCCAACGCAAAGGGCGCCAGGGCGCCGGCAGCGACCCCGATTCCAGCAGCCCGGTCACCTCCTGGGGCGGCGGAGGGTTGGCTTGCACCTCAACCTCGACGGCCGACAGTGCCGCCACCAGCCCCAGCGGCAGCACCAATAATAACAGGCTGGCCCGGCTGGGCCCCAGTGCTGGCGCCACCGCCCCGAGGGACCAGTCCCAGTCCGGCAACAGCGCCAGCGACTTCGCTGCCTGGGGCGGACAGTCCACCAAGTCCATGTCCGCCACCAGCCCCTCCGCCAGCGCCAGCGCCGGCGCCAGTGCCAGAGCCAGCGCCTGTGCTGCTGCTGCCACTAGCACCACCACTGCCGCCGCCGCTTACTCGTACTCTGCATCTACTCCCGCTTCTGCCCACGCAGACTCTCCCGCATCTCTCATCACCTCAACTGCGTCGCTGACCCAGTCGCCGTCGCCCCAACCCGCCACGCCCCCCGATCTCTTCTTCCCCCGAGCCTCCAAGAGCGCAAGCACGACAGCAACCGTCACCGCGACAGCAACCCACTCATCGCGGCCCGCCTCCATCGTCATACCGCCGTGCGACGAGCCCTCGTCGTCATACATCACCACCTCCCAGGCCTCTGCCTTTGCCGAACTTGACCTCGCCGACTGCGATCCCGACGTCAATATGACCACCGGCGCCCTCGACGCCAGCGGCATGGGCCGCAGCCGGCAAGACTCCTTCGTGAGCGCCGGGCCCAAGCCCATTTCCATGAACAACCAGAATCGCGACAACGTTAATCGAAATCGAAGAGAGTCGCTGGCCGGCAGCCTGATGGGTGGAGGCATGAGCTGGGGCGGCATGTCCTTTGGCAGCTTCGTTAGAGACGAGTAAGTTCATCCATTTCTACCTCCGTCGCCCTCAACTAGAGTCTTTTGGTCCGGTTCGCTTCGTCCGGCGCGGTCCCTTGTCCCGCCTGCCGTCTTGTCGCTTTCGGCCGCCAGGCGAGACTTTTGGGCTGCCGTGGCCGAGGAGGGCCACCCCGCGCCGGCGCCCCTCACGCATTCTCGACCAGCGCATTTGTCGCGGCCGCCAAGGGCGGCCATCGTCACTGCGAGCCACTGCAAACACCCGCGCTCTGACCTGTTCTGGAAATGAATGAGCATGTATCCGCTGACTTGTCCCGACGCAGCATCATGATGCAAGGCACCTCGCCTTCGCCATTCGGCAACCCCCAGTCATCGTCTTACCACTCGTCCTCGTATCTGCCCAGGCTCGAGGCCAACTTTATGCGGGACTTCATATGCTGCGGCAAGATCCTGCCTAATCTGCATGACCTCTTGCAACATTACGAAGAGGCGCACACTCAGGCGAGCCCCAACAGCTCCCGAAATAATACCTTCAGTCAGTTCGGCCAGGTCGGCATGCAGCCCGGCTCGGCCATGGGTAGTTCCCGGACAACCCCGACGCCTGGCCAGATCAACGCAGGGCCCGCCGGACATGCGCCCGCTGCCGGATCGGGCTTCCAGCTGCCCGGAGCGTCCAGCACGATGGGCAACGGCGGTCAGATGAATCCCGCGTTGGCCACCAACATGAACGACGACATGGACGCCGTGGCCGACATGGAGATGGACGATGCCATCGGCACCATGGAGCTCGATGACGGCAGCCGGATGCACCACGCCCGCATGTTTGGCCAACAACAGCGGCCCCAGCTCGACATGAATACCTCGGGCCTTACCCAGGGTCTTCGTACATCTCAGCCCCCCACGCCGGCCGCCGTCAGCTTCGGTCTTCAGAACAATCCTACGGTCTCTTCCGTCAACACGCCAACGCTGGCGACCCAACAGCAGCTGCCCCAACAAGGCCAGCAGCCCACCGGAATGGACGGCATGGATGATGACCTACCGGGCATGCCGATGGGCGGTAACAGCGGCGGAGACATTGGTGACGGCACGTTCTCCAACGGTAACAACGACTCCAACTTCTGCATAAACGACCCCGGAAAGCATCTCTTCAGCCCCAACGGCGCTTTCCCGCCTGGAAATCGGACGATTCAACAGCAGCTCGCAGCCCTCGGCTTGCAGCAGGGTCAGTTTGCCGACCCTGAGGCTAACAAGGTGCTGCTCCAGCGCCTGCAGACCATGATGATGCCCGAAGAACACAAGCCTTTCAAGTGCCCTGTCATTGGTTGTGAGAAGGCGTACAAGAACCAGAATGGCCTCAAGTAAGTTCAGTTGCGGCATACCATTGATGAGCCTCCGAGTCTGACCAACTGCAGATATCACAAAGCGCACGGCCACCAAACGCAACAACTACACGAGAACGGAGACGGCACCTTCTCGATTGTGAACCCGGAAACAAGTGCCCCATATCCGGGAACCCTCGGAATGGAGAAAGAGAAGCCGTTCAACTGCGAGACTTGCGGCAAGCGGTACAAGAATCTCAACGGCCTGAAATACGTGAGTTCCCTATCCCCCTTCGCGAAACGTCGTCATACAGGAGAGCTGACAGCCATCGCAGCACAAGGCTCACTCTCTGCCTTGCAACCCGGAATTCAAGATGCAGGCGCTCGCCGCCGGGCTGACCCTGCCCGGCCTGCCAGGAGCCAACCCCGGCGGCACTACGGAAGACCAGGCGATGCAACAATAGCAAGCCACTGGCTGGCATGGACGCAACGACACGCTCATGGATATTGGGACTTCGCGGCCATCGTGTCGCGAGCCGATCAGCTGCGGGGTTGCCGGGATCGCCTTGACAGAGCCTTGACGATCTCCGAAATACAGCACGCCGTCCAGCGCTGGAGCCGGTCCTTGTATCTCACCTACAATGGCCCCTTTCATTCTTCGCCAGCCGGTAGGCTCATGGCTCATCGCGACGGCGTTCTTGCTTCTGATATCCTGGACACGCTGGTGCCCTATTTCAACGCCATCTTGAGCAGCGCGATGACGTCTGCCATGACCGAGTCTTGCTGGCACGATGTTGCCTTCTGGGCCGCTCCTCTACGAGTACATATCTTAGGTCCCCCGAGTCCTGACTCATATACCCCCACTCCGTCCGAAGCAGATGCAATACAGCCCACGACATCTTGGCCAAATTCTTCCGAGGCAGGCGTCTATATTCACTAAAGCGGTGCCTCCTTCGACATAGAACGAATATGGTCAGCTCATCCAAGGCTGTGTGCGGGCGGACACGCTGCAGGAAAACGCGAGCAGGAACATCGTTCCCCGCTGTTTGGTTCTTGTTCTCTGTTCTTCGATTGGCAAGCTCTTGGAGAAGTGGTATCGGTGTATATATTTTGTTTGGTTCAGCTTCGCAGCGAGACTTTCACGCTGCCTGTCACCTTTTGCCCCGCTCACTCCATCCTTGGCTTACTGGACTCGCTGGCTGGATTCTCCGGCACGAAGAAGTTGGTGGCAGGCTATGACCTCGTTTTGACGCGTCGTTCTGGGTTGGCCGGGGGAGCAGGGATTGCGATGATTTTGCTGTCATGGGTACAGCGGCCTGCGGCAGGCTGGCTGTCACTTTGCTTCCGATGTTTACAAAAGTTCAGCGGTGGGGGAAGGCATAGAAAAAGGTATTGATGTTCGCTACTCTGGCATGATCTCGATTCATAGAATGGATGCTGTCGCCAGCTTTCGCCCTACTCGTACTCTCTCCCCCCTCTCGTCTCTCGGTCTTGCTCTTCCGCGTCGAACACTCTTGGCAATTCGGCCGAGTCGTGTTTCACATTGACATGCCCAGCCTTCTTCATGACCCCCATCTTGCCCTGTGTGTGTCCATCTCGGCCAGTCATCCATCCCTCGACCGGGGAGGGCGCAGCGCTCCTCATCCACCCCCGGCCATCCGGAGTCGAATGGCCCCCCCTTTTCCCGCCGAGCGGGAGCCAAGTGTGGTACACCACCCGGCCGGGTTTCCCCAACGGTTCCCCTCGCGCGCCGCGCCGGTGGGCAGCACCACCCCGGGGCAGCACCGTCGTCCTTGACCGATAAAACCGGGGGTGGTGGCCCTCCTTTCTTTCCCCTCCCCCTCCTTCGGCCAAACGTGCATGGGTGTTGGACGATGGGGGCCGCAGATCCCAAATCCACGGAGGCTGACATCGCGCGTGTGTGCGCGCCCGGCGGGGAAACGGTTAGACGACACGATTACGAACGGGGGTTGTTGGCTGATCACGATGACGCCAGAACATGTAAGCACAAACGGTATCTATATTGCAACGGGGGAGTTTGACAAGATAGGAAGACAAAGAAAAAAAAGGAGACGCATCTTTAGGCAGAACCAAGGGAAGAAAGAACAGCTATGATAGAGAGAGCATGTTTGCCAACGCCGTGCGATGCAGCAAGCAAATAAAGAGTGGGTAGGCAGTGTTGCATCCCAGGGGGGAGTCAACTCCGAGCCCACATCCGCCGTCCCGATACCAAACGTGCAACTGCGCTGGTCATGATCTCGTAGTGTCGTCACACGTTCTGGCGGAGCCTCAGACCTCAGTTCAGCTCCATCCCATCGTCATCGTCAGCCTCCGAATCGAGCACTTGCGTCTGATTACTGCTGATGCTTTCCTTCCTCGCGCCGTGGCCCATGTCGCCGTATCGGCCGGACATGCCACCCCACTCCAGCTCCTCCCCGGCGACGACACGGCCCTCCATGTCGATCTCCTGCGATAGCTCGACGAGTGCGCTCCGCGGCAGGCGAAGGAAGCCCTGGGTGCGTACGATGCGGCCCCAGTGCGTCATGCAGAATGTCGCCGCGCGCTTACGAAGCCACTCTTCGTTGGCGAGCCCGGCGCAGTACCAGATGACGCAGGCGTGCTCGACGTCGAGCTCCTTAGCGAGACGGTTGACGCACAGAAGGCGGAGATGGGGGATGTTGTAGATGTTGGACATGACGAGCAGGCCGGCCACGTCGGATAGATCCGTGGTCGCGTCGCTATCTGGTTCGACTGTCCCACGGATGCTGTCCGTATACAGGTACAGCAAGAAGGCCTTGACAACGGAATACGGCTCCGGGATGTGCATCTTCTTTGTATGGAACTCGGCCATTTGCGAGTTATACAAGCGTGCGAAGTGAGGCCATCGCGCCTGCAGGATAAGCTTGTGGACATGAATCGGCTGCGATGTGGGAGCATCCGCTGCCAACCAGGTCGGACCGCGTGAGGCCTCGTCAGCACGGATAAGGCCAGAGCTGAGCGGAGCGTCATCCTCGTCGCAGTCATCGGCCAGAGCAGTGATGACGAAATCTGTGCCGCTGCCGGCCTCCGGTGGCTGGTTGAAGAGCTTAGCGAGATCGGCCCCGAGCCCCTTTGACGGCGACTCGGTCGGCCGCGCTGTTGCTGACGGCCGGGACTCGATACTTGCTTCCGATGTCATGTTGTTCCCGAGGAAGCCGTATCGGCGAAGGTCAATCTCCATGATGTCGCTGCAAGTGGCATTAGCATCTCGTCCGTGTCAAAGAGCGGCAGTCAATCTCACCTGAGGTACTCTTCGTAGCCATTAGGGCCGAGGTCCGTTGCCGTTGGGTCAGTGGGACAGCCGAGGAGCCACGCCTTTGTACCGTCTTCGTTCATGGTGCAGTAATGCCATCTGTACCCTGACTTGAAGATTTCTCGACCCTCGGCCAGTTTCTGCCAGCGAAGCGTGCCGAGATCAAGGGCCGATAACGAACATTCCCTTGGGGTAATGGTCGCAGCTGGAGTCACAAAGTCGAGCAACGTGCCCGAAGAGTATGCGTGATAGTGGATGCCAGAGCCTTGGGATGGGATTGTCGGTCCGGAGACGAACTTCAATGCCGATATCGAGCCGGGTGCCATCGGCGCATATGTCTTTAGCTGGAAGGAGGGCGGGTTGACCTGGGCAGTCCGAGAGTTGGCGGCGTAGCCGGATGACCCAACTGCAGGAGCCGGGGCCATAGTGTAAGGCGGTCGAGGAGAGCCAGTCGCCCGACTGGCGATCGAATGCCGGTCGAAGATGCCGAACTGCGGTCGCGAGTCGAACTCTGGGCTGCCCTTGAGATCGAGCCACCAAAGATCACTAATCTTGTCCATGTCCTCGCTGAGGCCGCCAAAGACCCATACGCGATCGCCCCAGATATACGCCGAGTGGTCAAAGCGGCCGACAAAGCGCCATGCTTTGGACCAGGTAAATGTCCGCAAGTCAAGGTAGCATATGTCATCCAGCACGTAGTTGTTTTGACCTGTTATGCCACCGATGATGAAGAGCTTGTCCTCGTGCAGGACCGCGGCGTGGCGAGCCCTGCCTTTGGGAATAGGACCGGAAACCTGAGGCTGAGTCCAGTGCGCCGTTTTGAGATCGAAGACGATGAGGTCGGAGAGGTACGTGCGGTGCTCGTTCTCGCCACCAAAGACCAGCAGCTTGTCGCCTTGGTATAGCGTCGCGGTATGTCCTATAGGCGGCAAGTGTCAGCACCTTACAGCCTCTGACAGTGGGACAAAGCGCAGTCAAGACCTACCCATTCTGACCCCTGGAATGTCGCCGTAGTTGTCGACCAGGCTCCATTGATGGCTTGCGAGGTCCAGACGCAGCACGTGGTTGTAGACCTCGTCGGTATACTGGTCGAAGCCGCCAAAGGCGTATATCTGGTTGTTTCCGCAGTACGTCACGGATGCGTTGACAAGACAAGCTGGTCGCTGTCCCAGGGTCCGCGTGATCTTGGGGCGATAGCCATCAGCCACCGGCCGCGTCTTGGCCGGTGAGTTTGGCATGATGTACGTGTTGGACGAGGAGCCGGCCGAGGTCGGGGTTGGCGCCAAGTTCAAGTTCATGTTCATGCTCGTGGGTGCCACGCGCGGCGACGTCTGCTGGTTCGTCATGGCTGAGCCTGATTGTGACTGGGCCGGGACGATGGCATGGGTGGTCGGTCCGCCGAAGATGGACGTGGCCGGCTGCTGCTGGCCAGGAGTCGAGGGCTGTGCCATGTCCGCTCTGGTAGGGGTGATGTCGGTAGAGGTTAAGAGGTCATTGCTTCAGGGACTGCTTGGGACGCAATCGGGCTGCTGGGTTAGGCCAGCTGCGGGACGGTTCCCAGGCGGCAAGTAGTTTGGCCACCGATGCGGCAGCAAGACGGTAATTAGCGGGGGTCGGTCTGCGCAGTGAAATGACGACGGATGTCCAGACCGGAGGAAGTGGAGGCTGTCGTCAGATGCCCGCGCCGTCGGCCGGTTCTGTCTCGAAATCTGGGGCTGACTGAGCCTGAGCTGGAATCACCCCTGCAAAAGTTTTTCTGGGGCTCTTTCAGGGGCTGGCGGCTCGGGCTGGCGTCGCGGTACGTAGATGGTGGATCACGGTCCCCAAGCGGCTTAGCGCCCTTCTTTCATCTATCACCGGCGCCGGAATTTGTAAGATCCGTGGGTCCGTTGCCGTTGCCTGGACAGAGGCATGGTGGGGCTCAAAGTAAATAAAAGGAAACGACCTTGAGCATCTGGCAGCCGCCTGCTCTCTCCTCATGAATACTGTACGCCAACGAATTCATACCCGCCCCCCTTCATTCCCTTCTCCTTTGCTCGCGTTCCTCGTCGAGCACATCGAGACCTCCCCCTACTGCCTTCAGAACGCATTCACAAGTCCGCTAGATCTCTTCGCTGCCTGCAGCCATTAGATCGCCCCACCGACTTCGTCACCTTCTACAAGGCCACTTCGATTTTATCGAACATTGCGCAAACAAGGAGAATACTAACACACCCAGGAATCTTTAGCTAGAGCCTCTTGGAACTCGTTCGATAACCATTGAAGCTTCGATCCTCGGTCGACGCATTCAGTTGCCCCTCGTCTGAGATCCCTCTGCAGTTCATACCCATCAGAGTCAATCATCATGGCCACAGCATCAGTATCAACGCCACTCAAGTCCCACAAGGGACTTTTCTCCTCCCGTACCGCCGGCGGACGGATGCCTCTCACGCCTTCGCCAAGGCAGTCGACGTCGAGCGCTGCCGTCAACGCGAGCTCATCGCCGTACACGCCCGAGGGCCGTCAGGGGAACGCAGCACCAAAGTCGACATACGGTGGTAACTTGATGGCGCATCTTACCCGATCCGCGTCCAAGCCTACCCATCGGGAATCCCCAAAGTCCAACATCGCCCGCGTCGTCCAGACTCCCCGGAAAGCCCTCGAGCTGGGCGTGTCCGACTTCGCCCTCACGGGAACCGGCAAGACGCCTTCCAGTGCCAAGTCAAAGAAGGCTCCTTTGCGCCAAAAGACACAGAAAACGACCGTCAGCTACAGCGGTGACCGCTTCATCCCCAATAGGGCCGCGAGCTCGGCCATCTCAAACGCTGGCTCTAGCAAGCTGAGCGCCGGCGACCGCCAACGACCCAAGAGCCGAGATGCCGACAGCTCCTCAGTCCTTTCGACTGCCGCCGATGATGCTGCGGCTGCTCTTGAGAGCTTGAACATCAATGATGAGGAGGAGGCAGACAGCTACACACGACCCTCTCCCAACACGGTGGCCTACCAGGACTCTCTTGCCAATGCATGCGGCGTCAGCTTGAACACTCGAATCCTCGAGTTCAAGCCTGCGCCCCCCGAGTCCTCCAAGCCTATCGACCTGCGTCAGCAGTACAACCGACCTCTCAAGTCTGCGACCACGAATTCGGCCCAGCTTCGCCGTCGGATTGCCACCGCCCCCGAGCGTGTTCTTGACGCCCCTGGCTTAATCGATGATTACTATCTGAACCTGCTCGACTGGAGCTCCGGCAACCAGGTCGCGATTGGACTTGAGCGCAGTGTTTACGTCTGGTCTGCCGACGAGGGCAGCGTCAGCTGCTTGCTCGAGAGCCCTGCTGATACATATGTCAGCAGTGTCAAGTGGTCCGATGATGGCGCTTATGTCGGCGTCGGCCTTGGCACAGGCGAGGTTCAGATTTGGGACGTTGCCGAGGGTCAGAAGATCCGAAGCATGTTTGGCCATGACACCCGCGTTGGTGTCATGGGCTGGAGCAAGCATCTGCTCTCCACCGGCGCACGCAGCGGCCTGGTTTTCAACCACGATGTCCGCGTTGCCGAGCACAAGGTTGCTGAGCTCGTTTCGCACACCTCCGAGGTCTGTGGTCTGGAGTGGCGATCCGACGGTGCTCAGCTCGCTACTGGCGGCAATGACAACCTCGTCTCTATCTGGGATGCTCGGTCTCTGTCGGTGCCCAAGTTTACCAAGACCAACCACAAGGCTGCCGTCAAGGCCCTCGCTTGGTGCCCCTGGAATATGAACCTGTTGGCTACCGGTGGCGGCTCTTACGACCGCCACATTCACTTCTGGAACTCCACGTCTGGTGCTCGCGTCAACAGCATCGACACTGGCTCTCAGGTCACGTCGCTTCGCTGGAGCCCTCACTACCGCGAGATTGTCAGCTCCAGTGGCTTCCCGGACAACTCCCTCAGCATCTGGAGCTATCCTACTCTGGTGCGCAATGTCGAGATCCCTGCCCACGAGAGCCGTGTCCTGCACAGCTCCCTGAGCCCAGACGGCCAGATGCTTGCCACAGCCGGTAAGCAAATACCCCGAAACCCAGATGACTTCGACGGAGCTCAACTGCTAACGAACAACTTGCAGCTGCCGACGAGAGTCTCAAGTTCTGGAAGGTCTTTGAGAAGAAGGCCGGAGCCGCTGGTGTCGTTGGCGGTACTGGGGCTTCGAGCAAGGCCAACATGGTCAAGCAGATGACCATCCGATAAACGCGTGTCGCACCAGATCGCCAACGGTAGGTATGGGCGGTTTCATTCACAACTCGATGTCACAAGCGGTGATTTTTGAGCATGGCGCTTGGAGTTTCTGCGTACTGGTTCCGCACGTGGTACGAAAGTGCTTCTCCACGCTGAAGATATGGAATGGGACAGTCTGAACACGAGCTACGATGGCACGTCACGACGATGGGACCGGGCCCTTGAGAGAGAAACAATTCTGTTCAAGTTTGAGAGAGAAGAGTGTTTGTTTGTTTGTAATACGGTACCATATAGCTTTCAAAAGGAGCAGTGCCACGAAGTGGCAAGGAGTATCGCTGGTGTCTTGTTCACCTTCGCAGTGGATGGTGATTTGACGCTGTCAGCGCTGGCTGGAAGCCCTCCCACGACAACAGATCGGCTGCCTGCTCAGTATCATGTTGCCCATACATACTACAGCGTCGCAGAATGGCATCCCGCACAACGATCGAGGTTCCCAGCCCAGTGCAGTTGGAGGTCTGTGCCCTGCCGTTGAGCTGCCCTTGACGCTGACCGTTAGTGGCTATTTAGTGGGCAGCTCGGTGCTTTCAGTGGAGTAGCACGCCACAAAGGCACCTGGGCTGCAGTGGGTTGGCCTGCGCCCGGCGGGCGAGTCACTCGAGCTTGGGCCATTACTAAGCCCCGGGCGCACTACAAGGCGATATCCACCAGCCGCAGGCAACTCTCACCACTGCACATCACGCATTCAACCGAGCGACCATACCGGGCCTCACGAGAGCAGATACCGTACGAACGTGCGACGACATCGCTACAGAGATACGGATAGCTTCACGACTGCTGCACTCTCCAAGTGCAGCGTTGTCTGCTGTGAATCCAAGCGGGCTCTCTCTCGGCTGAGGAGGCAGCACTTCTTGGTACTCCAGTCCCAACCGCAGCAGTCGGCTTCCTTTGTCCGTCACGACCACCAACACCAGCACTGCGACATCGGGTCCGGTACGCGGGACTGCATTCGAGGCGTTGGGGAAATTGCTTCAGCCTTTTGGAGAGCCACAGCAAGAAGAGCGACGCCGGCGCGATCAGGTGCAGCGAAGCCGACGAGCGCAATCAACCATAGCACCTCGGCGGAGACAACTGTCGCGCGAAGCCCATCATGTCGAACCAGGCCGTGGGCAACGTTTACCAATCCATCATCGAGGAGGTGATTAACAGTTCACGAGTCGACTTTGAGGAGAGCGGTGTCGAAGAGTCGGTCCTGGAGGAACTGCGACAGGTAAGCTCAGCCATTCCCTTGCCTCAACTCCATGTCGCCCCAATCGTCACCACGACGATCCGCCGCCTTCAGCACCGGCCGCACAAGTGTGCAGCGGTATCGGCCTGGCCATCGACGTTCGCAACATGTTGGCAAAATTGCCACGATTCGAACACTCGCATCGCACGGTTCGCAGCGAGTCAAATGCAGCGAGTCTTCTGCGTCGCGGCAAAGCTGCGGCGATGCGGAGGCGACCACGGGAGGGGGCGAGCGAAGATGGGCGAAAGCGACGGTTTGGTCTGGGGCGACCCGTCGTTTATCTGGGCTTTTAAGCCCAGGCGCCCCCTCGCCTCAGCCAGCCAGTGCTGCCTGCACCGCCTGGCGGCTAGGCAACAGGGCACCCCCGCACTTGGTGGCCGACCGGCCGCCCTGCACAGTCCCTGTCACGTGCCCCGCCAGACGCCGGTCTGCGGCCCGATGCTGCGACTTACACACGGATAACTCACTCGCCGAGCCCCGGATGGGATGGCTATGGCTTTTGAAGATGCATGCCGTGCCAACTTCATGCTCTCCCCATACCTTGTTGCGATTGGTCCATCTCCCTTAGGTCTCCTGCTGCGTTCATCACGCATTCACCTCGCTCTCAACTCACCTCATCGCTAACACTCGTCGACAGGGATGGCAGCAGAAGCTCTCTCAGCTCGATGTAGCTCGTTTCCCATGGGATCCCAAGCCCGAACCGGCTCCGCCGGCTCAAGCTGCACCGCCTGTGCAAGCTCCTCCCAGCCAGAACCACACCCAGGCCCAGTTTTCGCCGCAATTGTCGCTCCCAAACGCGGCCGCCGGCGAGGGTTTGGCGCAGAATGGCACCAGGCAAGAGCCTGTCATTAAGCAGGAAAGTCTTAAGCAGGAGCCAGGTGTCCAGAATGTTCCATCCTTCCCTGCGCTCAGTAACATCGACAACAAGAATGTGGCGGCCAGTAGAGCCGCCCAGCAGCTCCAGCTCCAGTATGGCATGAGAGCAGCCGGCTCCATCAATGCTATCCAGAACTTGGGCCAGCAACAGCAGCCGTCAGACCAAGGAGGTCAGGGCGCGGGCCAGCCAGGCCAGGGCGGCCAACAGCAAGTCCCTGGTGGAGCAAACCCCGCTGGCCATATCAGCAACGGGCAGACGGACGGCGCCGGTGACGATGCTGGCTTCGAAGCTGTTCTTATGCAGCAGGGTCCTTCGGGCAATCTCAACGAGCTTGGCAGGGTCGAAATCGACCGCATGCTCCATGAGCAGATTGCGGCCCGGGCCAAGGCCATGGAAGGCGGTGGCCTGATGCTGCCTCTCAAGGAGGCCACCAAGCATCACACCGCGAAGTCCAAGGACGCCAAGGGCAAAGGCGTTGCTGGCTTTGATGGCGGAGACGACGACGACGAAGTCGATGATGAGGATGCCATCAACTCGGATCTCGATGATCCCGAGGAAGATCGTGAGGACGATGAAGTTGACGACGAAGGCCTGGGCCACATCATGCTCTGCATGTATGACAAGGTCCAACGGGTCAAGAACAAGTGGTAAGAGCCCCAAAATCTCAGGGGTCATCACACCCCGCATTCACACGCGCTCGACGTTTCGGCCACTGACGTGCTTCGCATCAGGAAATGCACTCTGAAGGACGGAGTGCTCACCGTCAACGGCAAGGAATACGTCTTCCACAAGGCTACTGGCGAGTATGAGTGGTAGTTCGGCTCGACATGGACCACATTCCCACCAGACATGGCAAGGGATGTTGGTACCCGGTCCTCTTTCGAGGCACGAGTGGTGGTTGGCTGCACTAGCAATTGTCACCTGTTCGACTGCATGACCGCAGTCATCATTACGTTTGTTGGCTGCGGCGGAAGGCCATGGGTTACTCCACCGGCGGAGAGAATGGACCGGGACGGCAGGGGACAGACTGCTATACTCCTTGCAGTCACCTTTCAGGGAAGAAGAGCAGCGCAGCAGTGTTTGGTATCAGGAGACGCTGCCAGTCATGCCTCAACGAAAAGGGAAATAGGCGTTCGCGTTCAGTGTTTTGCGTATCTGTATGTACATTATTCACAAAAGGGAAGGGTCCCGATATCAAACGTTGAACGACAAGATGATGCCCGCCAGCTGCGGGGACATCATGCAGCGTGCTTCGTCACTAGCTCTCAACGCTCGTTTGGTACGTCTGTCGGGCAGCGGTCCGTCATGCCACTCTGGGACCGTTCACTTGAGCCACTGAGACCAACGACCTGGGCCTCCCAGCCGCCGTAGCCGCGCGTCAACCGACGAAGCGAGATGCATCCTGCGGCCAGCTGGCGCAGCGGAGGGCCTGCGCCCCATGGTCGACCCATGCGGCCATGCACAACTCACAAGTACATATGAGCGGACGTTTCATCCAAGGGTGTTGGTTTCCAGTGGGCGCGTTCAGAACCGAAACCTCGACAAGTACGGAGCGAGGATGCCGCTGGGCTGCGGCCGTCGCATCCGCAAGCGACGCTTGGCGGTCGCTTGCTGCGCTTAACCCATAGCAGGGGGCGTGTGATCCTTCGACCGCAGCGGTCACCAGCAACCACTGAAAAGGAAAAACATGTGAGCGTTGAGCATGCTCACCCGTGCATGGCGCAGAGGGGGAAGCGGACCAGGGGAGTGTTCCTTTCAGTGAAGGGGACCTGTGAGGTCGTGTGTCTGGATCAGTCCTTTGGGCAACTGCCTCCCCCCACTGGTGTACGGGGCTTGAGCTGACAGCACTTGAACACGTACATCCTGACAGGGGGGGTTGGAACAGGAGCTATTCCCTTGCCGTAAAACGAGGTTAGCAGATCCGGTGCGCTGGCGGTCATCAGCTGGAGTTAGCGGGAGCTATTTCTTAGTCGGGAGTGCTACACAGCTGGCATGGCGAGCGCCCAGGCGGCTGGGTTGCTGCAGCCACATTGCCCTTTTCGGAGAGTCGGGTTAGACTCCATCGCAGAACGGCACAGTAGACGCAGTACTCGTGCGTGAGGGGGGCGACGTGCTCGAGAGAAGAGGAAACGGAGGGGTGCGGGATGTTTACATTGAGGGCGGAAAAGGATAACGACTGGGGGGGTACAGAACAGGGTGCAAGATGTCGTCGCTCCGGCGGCCTGCCAAAGGCAAAAGTCTTGGGATGCTGCCTAGCTGTCCGGAATCCTCGATACGGCCTTGGAACGAGTGACCTTTTGAAGGGCAGTCATACGCTTGACTTGGCTGTGCGTCACGGCTCACTGAAGGCGTCACTCCTGCCTGGGGCCTGGAGGAAGAACAGCGTTTACTACCTAGTACTCAAAAGAATGTTTGTATTGGGGCCCAGAGCAATAGCCTCGTAGTAGCACCAGAAGTACCAAGGCATAACGAGAAGTTCGCCGGTTGAGTCATTGTGTACCTATAGATACAGCTGCTTCTAATCCAGTTCCAAGTTTCTTCGCAACAGATAGCCCCTTCCTCCGTCAGAAAGCGCAAAGCAGCGTCTCAGGTTTCTCAAGTTTTAGGCGTCGGACGACCCGACTGTGTCAGTATCGTGTGAGGGAATGCCACGTCCACAATGTCTACTCTTGATTTCGCCAGTCGCCACTCCGAGGGCTGGCACAGGGCTGGCACATCGACATCGGCAATGACCAAACAACCACCATGGAGAGTGCTACTGTCGAGGCGAGCGGAATCGAGTCCGACAGGCATCATTTGCTCGTCTTGCAGAACGGTGATGAACCACCGGACTTAACACTGTCAGGCCAGCACCTGAAATACACCTGCCACTCATGACTCTCAGGATGGAAGGATTCAAGTTGAAAAAGAGAGGAGGGAGCTCTCGTATGTAGCACGATGCCGGGCCACACCGTTGTACAGGTTCGATTGTTCGCGTTGCTACATCACGAGCAGCCCCTACTCTGTTGGGACAACATTGACATTTCCGGGTGCATTGTCGAAGTATACGCCTCGGTAACAAACATGAACCGGCGTGGCCTACGCAATCGTACCGGCCTCAGTGCTCGTAAGCATCGTCGCCGTCCGTACGAGGTCGCCGTGCAGAATATTGCCTGACCAAGATACGAACCACATGGTGCTGCTGACAAAAAGGCCCATGGGGAGTAGCATGGCTCATCTGGGTCCTCTTGTCTGCCAACGTATCTTTGTACCAGAGTGACAAGGTCTGTTGATGCGTCCAAGGGCTCGGTGCAACTCAATCTAGTGTTACGTGTACTTTGTACTCAGTGCGAGCACCGTCAACAGAAATACATTCACGATGGGTTAGGTGCCCATTCGAACGGGCATCCCTGCTTGACTGCTTGCCAATCAGCCTTTGGTCGTTGCCGTCGTGGACTCTCGTTGGGGGATCTGCCGAGGTGGCTGGCGAGGCGTCGCGCAACGTAGCTCGGCGCAGGATTGCGTCGAGTCGCAGCATGACGCTTCGTGGATGTGAGCTACAGGCGCAATCTCGCACACCCCCGCAACTCGACCCGACAGTCTGGTTCACCCGTGGGGCGTCCTGGACCAGGGGGCTTGCTCGCCGACGCCACGATGTTGTGAAAGGGGGCGAGCCCAGCAAGTGCCTCTACATGTAATGCTCCGTTTCTGACACCGCTGGAAGCCATGTTTTGCAGTCTTCGCCATTGCTTGTGCTGTGCCCCGCGGCCACCGGAATCGTGAAAGTTTGTCCCATATCGCCGTGCGCCTTGCTTCCATCCAATGCGGTCAATGCTTTCAATATCGGCGTCTCGGAGCGCGCACGCCACATCTGGCGTTCCTCCATCTTGCTAAGAGACCATGTCACGCCTGCGGTTCTCGGTAATTGATGCTCCCAACCTTGACGTGCCTGCTCGGTTTCGCGGTGAGCGTGCGAGCACGGTCTCGGGCGAGCACGAAACAGGCAAACCCGACGCGCCAAGCTGCGACAGGGCTGCGTGATGGCGTGTGGGGATTCGAGCGGTCTCCAAGGGCGTGTGTGTATAGCAAGCCATGCCCCGTCCTTCATTGGTCCACTGTAGTTGTCTATCGCCAGCGCTCGTTCAAAGCCCATCGCACAATTTGCGTGAGCGGTGAGCCAGGTCGGCTGGGAAGGGCTTCAAATAGATGATGACGGCCGCGCTAGCTTGCGACGGAAATGAAGCCTTGGTCCAGCTCCCTTTTGGGCTGAGCTGTGAGCCAGCAGATTCTGCGAAGGGTTGCTTTGCACTTCAGCTCTCCGTTGTCCTTCACCAGCGGAGGCTTCGTGTCGCCAGCACCTCTCTCGCGACGGGGGCAGATCTCGGTGTAGAAGCTGACAGTGTTTCCTGGCCAGAAAGCCTGTCTGTAGTAGCGCAAAGCGGACAAATGCGTCGGCAGCATCTCTGAATGCAAATTGCACGTGTATAGGAGCCCGTCGCTGGCTGCGAGTCTTCCACAGGCTCGCCATGTTACTGGATGTGTGTTAGAGAATTGCTGATCTCCGTCAACAAAATCTTAGGCATCCATGGTTGCCCCTTAATCTGCCAGGCGGTTGGCGAAGGAACCCGATTATTGGCGTTGGCCGCAACGAGAGGGCGAGAGAACCGGCTTCATCGGTCTTCATACGCCATTGATGATTGGTGACGTGCTCGTTGCCTGTCATAATCACGTCTAGTATAGGCACTGGGGCTTACGGATGGATCATACTGTATTCAGGCAGGAGCCCGCAATGGTGAGCCCAGGGCGAGACCCTCGGCCGAAACAGCTCGTCCTGTATCATGTCGGAATCCACGGTACTACCCTTGCTTGTTTGACTGAACCGACGAATATTCAGCTCTGTGACGTGTAACAGTGTCTAAGGCGACCCGACACACCGGGAATGAATCAAAAGCGGCCAAGTACGCAGGCACTGATGATTGCTGACAAGGAACGCGTCGTTCTCGGCTCGTCCTGCTGGACTGGCATCTGCGCAGTACAAGATCAGACCAGCTGGGATCCGACGCGTGCCTCTCCCATCCACTGTGGATGGATGCGTTCGCTGCTCGCTCCTCCCCGTTGTTTTGCATGTTGAGGTGACTTTCTGCATATCACCGTGCTGTCGGTTGTCGTTGGGTTTGAGCATCGAACTGGGTCAGACATCAGTACTGGATCGAGACTCGAGGTCGAGCTAGCCAGATCCATGTTGACAGCTGAGATGACCTTCGTAAAATTCTTAGCATGAACGGCAAACAGCTCGCGCTGAGTTACATCGCAGCATTCACACTAAGAGTGCGACGTGGAGATAACAAGACAAGGACGGCGAGGGTCTGAAGAAGAGGGATAATGATCATGCGCGGATTTGCAGGCAATGTTGCAAGTAGGTTTTCGCCAAGTATTTCGCGGGCAGTGGCCCAGCATGCGTAGGTCGGCTGCAAGTGGCTCCTGCCGTGTGGTCGCGAAGGTACCGACCACCTGCCTCCGTGGTTCGTCATGCGGCAGCCACCGAACCGGAAGGACATCCATTGCACTTGCCTCGGCAAGGGCTTCTTACCTTCTAATGAGGCAGTCGCGACTACACAATGACAATCTGAGGCAGCCTCAGGCACAAAAGCCACTGACTGCTCTTGATCTCTGCCTAGAGATGTTGCCGCGCGCCTTTAGTGATGCACTTGTTTCAACCCCACGATCGGTCACGACCAAAGCACGACAACCACACGACCAAACAGGCGGGAGCCAAGCTGGATTACAATGAGCGGCTACAGGGCACCTCGTTTGGAAAAGACTCCTCCTCTGAACAGCCAAGGGGGTGGCCGTGGGTGGTCTGGCTCGCGCGTTTACAGGTTGTGACCTTCCAGCGCCTCAATCGGTCAGGTACATGTCCGCTGCGCCTTTCAGCAGCCTCGGAGTCGAACGTGCCCTGGCCAGACGACCGCGAAAGGTTCCGAGGAGTCGAGGACTGGGGTCTTGGTGGACCACCGAGGGGCCATGACAGGTCAGGGATGCAGGCCATGGCTCCATGTGCGAGCGACTTGGCTGCCCCTCCAACCCCTCGATCACTTCAGCCTGGTAGCCCGGGTAATGACACCCAAGGGATGTCAAGCAGGATTTCGATTTGCGAGGGAAGACACTGAATCAAGCCAGGCCGAGACGAGCCAAGATCGCGGCCACCATGCGACCCCAGAGAGGCCTACAAGACTACATGCCGGACCCCAAAATTTGCCAACAGGTCGGGACAACGACCAGGCGAGCAATACTCTGTTCAACGAAGTGGACAGTTATAACTATAATGCATCGTCATCACCCGACACCTAACGTTAATGTTCTCCACCGCGCTTTGTCGGCCAACTCTGCAGCTGGAGTGTCGGACTACGGCCAGTGGTCGCGCCACCAACGCAGCCCAGCAGGGCTCCTCTGATGTGCCCGCCGCTTGGAACACGCTAACCCAGATTCTCTGAGCTGGTTAGCCGCCTTCAAACTGGCTTGTTGACGACACAGCTTGTGTTTCGTCGCCAGAGGCGGGGGCTAAACCAAACTCCCCGGTACTAACGGGCTTGAGAAGACTTCGTACGAATGCAGTGCGTGGATTGGACTTCCCTACAGGCTAGACGTTTCGTCGACGTGAGACACGAGAGTTTGGCCGGTCCACCACGGCCCGCACGGCCCCAGGGCATGATCAGCGGGCGGCCCGAGACCAGGACGACCAAGTGGCGCCTCATGTTGAAGGCCCTTCGAGTTACGGAGGCGCCCCCAAGCCACCTCTGCTTACCGGGCGCCAATGACTGTCAACGTCCATCAATGGCGCGCGCATACGCATGTCGATGTGAGAGTGTCGAACGCTCGTCCACGGCGGTTTCCAGATGGTCAGCTAGCCCATCTCGGGCTGGGCTGGGCTGTGCGGTCGTCCCCTCCTTTACCGGAATGCTGGATCGTCAGCGCATCGCGCCGCCCTACATCTCCGCTACGGGCGCCACGACGTATGCTCAGTCACCAAAGCTGTGACCGGCTGACCAGTGGTGGGCTCCCGCTGACGTTCCCCTTTCGCTGCGTATGCAAATCCTGGAAATTGTGGCGGTCAAAGTGAAGGGAGCTAGACCGTCGCAAAGGAGACAAGAAGCAGAAACAGAAGTGACAACGGGATGGCCCACAGTCTAGCTTTTTGCGCCGGCTTCGTTGTCGGGTCCGACACAGAACTCGGGCGGGACCACCCTACCTTTCCAGACCCGAAAAAGACCAGTCGAGTGTTATCAATCGGCTGAGCATGGCCTCCCTCCAGCAACCGAGGAGTACGCCATTTTCGTTCTTGCCGCCGTGCTTGTTTGGTGGGCCAGCCGGACGGTCTGGCGACGGGGCCAACAGTGAGCAACGACAAGGTCCTCGGCAATGTGTTTGCTTGTGCTTCCCAAAGCAGACGGCAGCTCGACGACGGGTCTGGCGACTCGGTGTCGGTGCCACTCGGCCGGGCGCCCCTCCGTCAGACGCAGACGCAGGACAGACATGCGGCCGCACAGCTACAGCGTGTCGCGAGCAGCTCAGTCATCCCCCTCCTCCGGCTGGCGCAGTGGAAGAGGTGCGAAGTCGGTCGGTGGCGGGGCTCACGGCCAACAGTGGCACAGCGGGCGTCACGCACTCACGAGCTGACAGGGCTGGATCAGCTCCACCGCTGCCGCCAGTGCCACCACAAGCCGCTGCCCCTCCCGTCCAAGATGGAATGGAATGTGAAGGTCCCAGACGCCTAGGCCCCTCCCTGGGGTCGGAGGGACACACGGACGGGGCACATCCGCAGACCAGCCCCGGTGCAACAGCCAACAGCCAACAAGACGCTTCGACGACGGCGACGGGCACTAGGTAAGGCCCGTCACCTGGCGATTGGGCGGCAGCCCCCGAGACAATACCCGCTGACGAATTTGGAAGTTCTGTTGGTTCCTCGGACGAGGGGCGCGTCGAATCATCAAATCGCAGGGTCACTACTGTGGCTTGGGCGTGAGATGGCAGAACAGGATTGCAGGGAAGTAGGGGATAGTGTGACGAACTCACATCGCTCCGAACTGCGAACATCGTGCCACGGCAGCAGGTACCTGGTGAGGCAAGGCCAGGTAACTAACTGTGCAGTACAGAGTCAGGACGCCGCCGCTCACATCTTAGACCAGGACCACCAACGCAAGCCTGAGAACGAGTGTGCCTCGCTCGCTGCAACACTCTGACCCCTGTTGCTACATCTGCCTTGGCAAGTCTAGTCCCGTCTGCATGCCCAAAAACCCAGCGCGCATTGTGGCTCATGCCTGGTCGACGCCCTGACGATCGCGGTATCTTCCAAAGGAGATTTCTGTTTCCAAACAGGGGGGACGTCCGTGGGGCTGCGCGCGGGAAGCTCGATGGTTTCGGCGCAGCGGCTGCATGCCAGACCGACAGACGGCACCTCTTTTTGCTGGGGGGCTAAATCAAACACCGTGGCGCGTCATCATAGCCTCCAACCCCAGCTGCGTAGGTCCTGTGGTGCTGATCTTAGGGACTTAGACAGGAGCCGGGGCCAGCGCGCGCGCTCGGTGGCAGGAAAGCTGACCTTTCACGGCAGGACCCTTGGACTTGAGCATTCGAAAGTCAATATGGGCCGCATTGGTCTGTCTCTGGTGTTTTAAGAGCGATTCCCGGCCACATGTCCGGCCGATTAGAGGGCGAGAGGGTCGGGCGTCGTTGTTTGCCAATTTTTGCCATGCATCAATCCATGCGACGGATCCTGGACGCACTTCTCGCCTTGTGCCTGCTGGCTGTTACGCTGTTACCGGCACGCCACACGCCTCGAGGCACCCGGCGTGCACCGCACGGCGCTGCACTGCGCTGCACAGCAACACCCGGTTGAAATGCAAAGGCCCACGCTCACGCCCACGCCCACATCCACGCCCAGGCTCACGCCAAAGCCCACGCCCAGACATCGCGCCCCCCATGCACAATCTCGGGTTGAGTCCACCACACCAACGGCGCTGGACCTTCTCGAGCGTTGAGGAAACCTTCGCTACCTCGCACCTACCCATCCAATTCCTGACCCGGCCAGGCCAGACCACCAGCCTGCCGACCATCGACTCCGACCTGCGGTCAGTCAACCTGCCATACCACCTTGGACGTCCACTCCACGAACCAACCCCTAAGGTAGGTACCTACCACCTATCTACCTTGGAGCTTCATCTCTGCTTCCATTCTGCTGCAGAGAACCTGTCCGACCTGCTAACATATAACCGTTCCTGGGGACAGCCACTAGCAGCAGCCTGAGGCGCCCCTTGCCGGTTCGCGCCAGCCAGCTCCCCCGTAAGCTAAGGTAGGCGACGGGACCTCGTCGATGGGAACGGCGGCGCCGCCAGCGACCACCACCACCCACAAACCGCAGCAATAGGACAGCCAGACGGCCAATGCAGCCCTGCTGTTGGGGCTAACGGCATTTCTCGAGCGAGGAAAGTGTCCCGAAGGCCCGGCGCACTGTTACCCTCCTTGCTGCGTCGGCCGCTGGGTCCATCGAGCCCGACCCTGAAGCGCCCTCCATCCATTGAGCCAACTGCTCACGCCTTTCTCTGCGCGGCGCTTGCGCTTGACGTGCGCCTGAAGAGGCCGCTCCTTCCAGGTCCCTTGGCTTCTCGCTCGCCCCGTCTGGGCCTCTCCGATCCTCTCTGGTCTACCTGGTACCTTGCCGTCCACGCCCACGCCCGAAGCCGCTCACTCACTCACGCTCGCTCACTCCTTGTCGACAACACACACACACGCACGCACGCACGCACGCACACGCGCGAACACAGCCTTGCACTCAGGCGCGCCCACACACTCCACGCCCTCGTGGCCTTGCCCAATATTTGACGATATTAAGACCGCCCGTCCCCCCTTTCGCCCTGGGCTGTTGCTCGCCATCCTCTTCCCGACTTCTGAAAACCAGACCACTGCTTCCCATGTTCTGGCCCTATTGTTCCTTTGAGACTCTGAGTGTCTTGCCAGTTTTCATTACTCTGCTTTACGGGGCGTCAATCTCCTGTTGATACAGTTGTTCCGCGACCTCATATCCTTGGCGACTCCAGGGCTTCTGACAACCCAAAGAACACCGCTGAGCTGCACCTTAGCCATCCTTCGCCTGAAACACCAGTCTAAAACTGGTGCGGAGACAGCCATAATCTCATTGACCAGCTATTTCGTCTTGTAGCTGGATCTGGACTTCCAGACGACGCTCTGCGTCTTCAGCAGCGCTGCCCGCCACACCAACGAAGACGAGGTGCCGTTAATACCGGTAGGCATGTTTCTTCTCTTCTCACTTAGGGTTGATCCCAAGGAAGCCTTGCTGTTTCCTTCTGTCTCCCACCATCGCACTCTTTCGAGCGTGCTGCCACGACTATGTCCCGGCTTGGCCAGATCGCCACTCCCTGTTTTCTCGACTGCACGTTAACATCGCTCTGGAAAACCTCTTGTTATGCATACGCACGTCCTGCGCCTTGGTCCTCTACTGCTGTTTAGTTGCACAAGTTCACATGGCAGGGAGCAGCTCGCCACACCCAGCTGGATTGCAAACGTTTGGCGGCCTCCTTGAGCCGCCGTTCAGATGTACTACATCATTGCACGGGTGGCGGAGGGCTCAGCCCTTGATCATAGTCGAGAGGCTTTGCTGCGTTGGTCAGGGATCTATGCTCTTGCCAGAACGTCAGATACTCGTGTCCCCTGCTCCGCCAGCGCGGAAGAGTGTGACCATCGTTCTCACGGCGTTCACAAAGTTGCAGTTCTGTGGTTATGAGCCTTGCAGTGGAATTCCATTCGTCAACTTCGGGAACATTCACTAATGTTTGGAACAGGTGAAGCTGTCTCGTGTGCCTTGAGACCTCCCCAAGGGCTGTCGGCGCGTTTAAGACTCTCCGTCACGTCGCTGATTGGCATACGTCAAGGCTGTCAATCTACACGACGAAGTACAAAGGTTCCCAAGAGCCGCCCGGGCGGCAATTGGCATCGCTAAGATGTCCCAACAGTTGTGAGAATGCTCCCTTCACTAGCGAGGCTCCGAGCTTGAAAGGTTTATACTGAGGTCTCATCAGTCAACCGGCTTTCCCGCCGCCGCCAATCGAACAGCCACAGGGGTATTGGGCACATGGGCGATACTACGGGAATTGGAGACCTGGAAAGTACCTCGTCCCAATAGATGCAGTGAGCTAGACCTGATCTTCATTGTGCTGGTACGGAACCTGATTAGGCGCATCAAGGAGGAGCTTAATAGGCTCGACATACTTCACAAGTTCTTTCTCGTGGCTCGGGACAACGCTCTTTCTGTTCGCAGTCTCAACATCGATCGCCCGATTCGGGTCTTGGACCTGGGGACTGGAACAGGCATCTGGGCGATCAACGTTTGCGAAGAGTGAGAAATGCTTGTCCGATTTTCAAGACAGCCTAGTTTTCTGACAACCTGCAGAACCGAGAAAATTCCTGAGGTTATGGCGGTCGACCTCAATCGAATCCAACCAGCATTGTGAGTGACGGAATTTGCAACGAAAGGTAATGTCTGCTAACCATGCGCAGCATCCCTCTCGGCATGAAAGTCGTCCAGTTCGATATCGAGGACCCTTCCTGGAACGACCTCCTGTGGCACTGCGATCTCGTTCATCTGAGGGCACTCTTGGGCAGTGTTCACAATTCGTGTTGGCTAGCCGTATACCGAAACATTTTTCAGTGCGTTTGTCGCTAAAGAGAATCAACGTGGGCTCGCATCTAATCCAGGTTTAGGCATTTGACGCCTGGAACGGGCTATCTCGAGCAGGTCGAGATTGACTGGTCCCCTCGGTGGGACGACAACAGCGAGGCGCCTCCGAACTCAGCGCTCAAGGAGTGGGCCGATAGGCTTCTCGCGGCCTTGGATCTTTGCAACCGGAGCGCAAGAGTCGTGCCGCGGGAGGCCCAGCGAATGATTGAAGAAGCTGGCTTCGTCGACTTCGAACAGCGGACGATCCGGTGCTACGTGAACCCCTGGTCCCCCGACCAGAAAGAGCGAGAAGCAGCCAAGTGGTTCAACTTGGGCCTTAGGCAATCCCTGGAAGCCATGGGACTGATGCCCATGGTTGAGAAGCTGGGCATGACTGCGGAGCAGGTGAGGGACCTTTGCAATCGCGCAGTGGAAGAAAACACGAAGCTTCGGTATCACGGCTACTGCACAATGTAAGTCAAAACTAGTGACCCTGACCCCCCATAAGTTCCAGTTCTGTTCCTGACATCTCTTCAAGGTACATATGGACGGCAAGGAGACCTGGAAACGGAGCTCATGGCGGTGCGTCTCAGTCAGGACCTTCGCAGACTGGTCGTATGTAGGCATCTGCGACCAGGGCCAGGTCCCGAACACTGAGGTTGCAGCTCTCGTCGAGCCTCAGTTCCAGCTACTGGTGTCTCAGTGACGACAGTCCTGGCAATCCACGCCTTCCTCCACTGCTGTTTTGGACTGGAGCTGGGGTGGAGACAAGTGCAAGGCCTGGGAGTCGCCTCACCGTCGCCTCTGAAGATATCCAAGGCAACGGCCTCGTCATGTATCCACTGAGCCGCCACGGAGACGGCCAAGAGAGAGCAGACTCGGAATACGTCCGGTGTGGTGGCTATATCACGGAAGAGATGGAGCGTCTGCCACTTCCGTTCGAGACGCCCCATGGCCGGTCGCGATGGGAACTGCACCATACCGCACCCGGCCAGGTAATGGTCTGATGTTCAAACTCAGTCCAAGCATGCAAGGCGTGGAGTGTAGAGCCGTCCCTGCCCACGGGCAATGTGGCTTCAGCCGACCCGTGCGACGCCTACTGCCCGCATCGGCAACGAGAATCCATCCTACGGACTGGCCACGGTTGGCTTGTTCGAATGGTGGAAGCCTTCAGCACCTGCGCACCCACCTTTGGATGGATGGCTCGAGCTGGATCGGCGGGATATGCTGGACACAGGGCTTACTATGTTGGACTTGTTTGATTTGATTTTTCTACCACTCGAGTGCTGCGCCTCAGTACGGCGGCGAAGCAGAAGGTGCAAGCATGTATTAGCAGTTTTATTGGGAGGACACGGGCGGCGCTGAGAGGGTTCCCTGTAGAGCGAGCACCTACAGTTGCCATCATGACCCTGTACCAGCAGTGGGTCTTTACCCTTCGGTGGTTCTATCCAGGCGTGCCGCGATACCGTTGCATTTTGACGGTTAGTTCGCCACCAGCCTGTGAAGTCAGACATTCTCAGATTCGAAAGTTTGAAGCACCTCTATCCCATTCGCTATTTGAGCAAAGCATCGGTCGTATCTGAACGTGTGTGGTCGCTGATGGCGTTGCGCAACAAAGCTTATGGCACGAAGCCGGCACCTGGCATCCAGCAGCGACAAGGCCCAGAAGGAGCCGCACGGCACAGCCCTGACGGAAAGCCCTGCCGGGCGCGCAGGCCCGCGTTTCAGCGCCCGCGCACTGTAAAAATAGCGTGCCACGCGACCGCGCAACCCGCTGGGGGGCGCCTCGACGGGCCCCGGGCCGCGGGTGGCGAGAATATTGATTTTGAATAGCGGCGACCATGGCTCTCGCTGCGTGTCGTTCTCTCCTGTAGATACGTACTAACGCACTACTGTGAAATTAGCCGTTGTGTTTTTTTTGCGTTTCGGTTTTTGTTTTGCTCGAACCAACAGCGCGCTCGACCCAACACCGTTGGGCGGGCTGCCTGGGCGGCTGGCTGGCGGGCGGCTACGGTGGGAGGTACCTGGGGCGGCAAAGGGCGCGCGCGAAACGACCTGAGGGGGGCGGGGACGGGAGGGTGGAAGGCTCGCGGCCCACAAGGTGGCGGGACACCAGTGAACTCTCTCTGGAAGGCACCCGGTCCGCTAATGGTTCGTGCCTCGACAGAGTGCTTCCCGTCAGCTGGTTGCCTGCTTGTCAAGATGTCTGCCTACGAGACACACGTTCGGAAGCAGACAGATCATTTTCAAGATTGCACAGTGAGGATTGTCCTTGTTCGTCCGCTGAGAACCCCTCTCATTCGCATTGGATTCCTCCACAGTCGGTGACGCGACCCGCCATGGTTGCTATGCATCTGATGTACAGTAGTTCACAAAGGAAAAAGATAGAAACAAACAGGTAGATGGCCCTGCAGTTTGTGCATCCCGGCAAGCATGGATCCATCACTTGCCCTCGTCCTCCTCGCCCCAGGATGCAGTGTCAGGAAGCGGTAACCCATCCCGTCCCGCTGTCTCGCGCCGTGCTGTGCGCGCCAACCCAGGAACTGTCTATTTTTCGCGACCCATTCCTCCTCATCTATCCAGCCAGGTGTTCCTCGAAGAATTAAGCGGTGCTTGCAGAGCTATCGGCCCTGTCCCCGGTATTCGCGACACGACCGCTTAGTGGTGGGCGGTCTCGCCGTGGTAGCCGACGAGCTTGAGGCGGCCAATCATCTCGCCAACGGTGAAGAAGCCGAGGCACTCGGCCAGGATGACGCCGCCGGTGGCCAGCTGCGCGGTGCTGAGGCTGCGGACGGACTGGAGGAGGTTGGCGGGAGCCTGGAAGATGGTGCCGGACTGGATGGAGCGCCACAGGTTCTGGTAGTAGGTCTGAAAGGTGGCCACGGAACTGGTCGCGCAATATGTCAGTGCACGTCCCGACAAGATATTCGCAGCAGCGGGATCGCTTACGGAGGGCTCATCTTCTGGCCCTGGAACACGAGCTTGCCGAGCTCCAGGCCAACCTTGGAGTAGTAGACGACGAAGGGCGTTTGTCCTGCACGAGAGATCCGTCAGCACCATCCATTGGCCCTCAATTGCCGCACAGCAGGCTCAAGTCCAAGCGGCCGTGGCGACTATGGGACAGACGTACGCTCAACAAAGGCAATGACCTTGCCAGTGCGCCCGCCGATGCGGCCCAGGGCATTGGTGACGCCCTTGGCCGCGCCGGCGATGGCGGGGCCGGCAGCACTCGTCACGCGCGACAGGCCCTGCTGAGCCTTGCTGGCAGTGTCCTTGGCAGCCTCGGTGGCCTTGCTGGCGGCGGTGCTCTCGAAGCGGCGCGAGGCCATCCGGAGGGCCGGCGAGCGGAGCATGGGGCGGGCGAGGGTCGAGACGGCCATTGTGTCCGGTGCGGCGAAGTAGGCGCTGCGCGGGGCAATTGTTCGTCGGCGGCGGGGAGGAAGTGCGGCGGTCGAGCGCTCCGAGGCGGATTGAGCTGGGCTCGGCGATGGGAGAGGTGATGCGAGTTGCGTGGATGGCGAACAGTGTCGGCTCGGCTGGAGATCTGAGGGAGAAAAAAGCTCCATGTCGGGAAGATTCGTGAGCGGAGTTGATCCGGCGTGGCGCTTAGCCTGTTTGGGACGGCGGCCAGGCACGCCTCCCTGCCTGTCTTGCTCGTGAAGATACGCAGGTACGTACCTCGTGGTCGCTGTTTCCTCAACAGCTGCTGCGATGGCAACACGCAAGCTGTCAATTTCCACAGACGATGCAATTGGGCCCTGGACTCTCTGTGCGAATTTTCTGCGAGAGGCATCTCATGGTTCGAGATTGTAGTCGCTCCACCGTTCCTACGACTACGACGGTCGAACATCGGGCACGAATCCCGGTCACAGCCCACTACGTATTCACTCAGCACAGACCAAGTCGACCAGCTCCTTGTCGCGAGCGAAAGCGCTCGATTCTCTTCTCGTGGCCGTGACCTTGACCTTCATTATCTAGGCCGATACTCATTACAATGCAAGCCGTTCATCCCAACGTTGTCGCACGCTCTAGTCGAAGCTCTGTATCTGAACCTTTATGGCACCGCTCTTGGGATCGGCCGACGTCTCAAACGCCTTGAGGGCATCCTCCAGCTTGAAGCGGTGCGTGACGAGTCTCGTCAAATCGATGACGCCGCTCTCTACCAGCCGGATCGCCCGGGGCCAGGTGTTGCAGTACCGGTACTGCAGCTGAATGTCGACCTCGCGGACGCTGGCCCGCATGAAGGGGATGTTGATCTCGTTCTTGCCAACGCCGATGATGAAGACCTTGCCGCCAAACTTGGTGGCCCAAATAGCCGATGCAATGCTGCTCTCGACTCCCGTGCACTCCATTGTGATGGCAGGCTCCACGCCGCCAAAAGACTGGACGATGGCCTTGGCTGATTCCTCGGCGGACATCTTCTCCACCTTGTGAGTAATGACGCGCGGGCAGAGCTCCTTTGCAAAGGCAAGACGGCTCTCAGAAATGTCCGTGACGACGAGCGGGCACGCGCCGGCAGCCGCGCAGCACAGCAGGGTCACCAGGCCAATGGGTCCGGCACCGCAGACGAGGACGGGGTCTCCAAGCTGGATGTTGGCTCGCTGCATTCCCGCGAGGGCCACGCTCAGGGGCTCGAGGAGCGAGCCGTTCTCGTACGACATGTTGCCAATCTTGTGGCACCAAACCGCAGGGTGGTTGACGTACCGCCGCAGCAGACCGGGCACCGGTGGCGTGGACAGGAAGGCGACGTTTTCGCAGCCGTTGTAACGGCCCGTCAAGCACGGCTCGCAGGCATTGCAAATGACATTGGGCTCGACGGCTACCCGGTCGCCGACCTTGAGGTGCTTCACCGACGGATGCACCGCGATGATGTCTCCAGCAGACTCGTGGCCAAGGATGTGATCGCCCTCGACGATCATGGGGCCGATGCAGCCCGCATGCCAAAAATGGACGTCAGAACTGAAACTCGATTAGCATCCTTGTGTCACGCGAGATGAGGTGTACGGCTCACCCGCAGATACCGGTGCTGCGAATTGCCACGGTAACCTCGCCAGGTTTCAGGTCGGCGCCGGACTTGACGCTCTCAGCGGTGGGCTCGGCAGCGTTGATCCACAAGTCATGCTTGGGATTTGTGTAGACACCAATGTTGGGCTTCAGGGAGAGAGCGGCACCGCTGCCGTTGGTGTCGGCGGCGGCGGCACCGTCAGTCGCTGATGGCGGCATGGCGATGGCGAAATGTGTGAGGGGTGTGCGTCTTGAGGGGCAACGGGCCTAGAGTCTGACACCGGTGATACTTGTCTTCCTTTCTCCACGGCTACTGAGACGGGCGACTGACGGCGAAACAGGGCAAAAAGCGGTATGAAGAGCAAGAGATGTCGAGACTGTGAGGACTTTGGAGACGGCCCTCTATATAAACCGGATCCCAGCGGCAGAGGTCGACTGCGACCCTGCCGCATCAAGTCTCCCCCCGCGTCGGCGTCCAACTCAGGCGCTTCGGGGCAATGTGGGGGTGGGCGAGAGCCACGGGCCTAAACTCGGCGGACCTGAACCGGAACATTGTCGACTGCAATCCGGTCCTTCTGCCGCGCCAATCACGGCGAACTCGCCGACGTTGACACCCTCTGTCCACGGCAAGCCTGTCTTGCCCGTCACCCTCCCTGGCGGTCACGCGGACAACCCCGTCCTGCACGAGTACGTGAACCGGACTCCATGATGCCGAAGCGCCGCCGAGAACCTGCATCCGCGACGAGACGGCAAGCGCACGAACAGGGCGGGCAGGGCAGAGGCAGAGGCAGAGAGCGGCCGTGAGAGCCCCTGGCTCCGGTGCTCCCCGTCAGCCAATCGATCTCCACAGTCAGGGCACGAATTGGCTCGAAACGGCAGTCATGCGGACAAGCAAATGGCGGGGGACTCGCAAGCGTCTCGGCTCGCGACCCTGATTAACGAACTCGCGTGCGGTTCCTGCGGAAGCGAGCCGGCTGAATTGGCGATGCGCACAGCCTGAATTTCGAGTCGATGGGCCGCCGTGCTGGGGAGGCGACGTGCCGACAGGCGATGCGGCCGCCTTGTCGGCAGTAACATTGGTTGGTAATTGTTAAGGCCCCGGGCCCGGGGATGCCGGGCAAAGGCCCGTCGGGGAGTTCGGAGGCGGCGCCGAATGCGCCCGCCCTCTGCCGGCGGCAGCCATGCCTGATCCCGGCGGCAGCAATGCGCTGGACAACAGCTCCAATTATTTTCTGATTCTGGTTTCTAACCTTGGACGTTTGCTGGGATCCTCGTCTGCCGAAGCTGACAACCCAGCCGCACCTACTGCTCTTCCCGCGGTCACGGACACTCGCCCACAGCAGCGGGATGATTCCCGCGTCCTCATATTACCACCAATCGGCAATGGTCCGGGCTGCAGCCAACGCCTCACCAGATTCCGAGATAGTCTTTTTGGTCTTTTTATAGTAGAGCCCTCACTTGATCCCTTGCCGCTCGGAAGCATGCGCTGGGCGCCTTGTCCGGTCGACAGATATGTCCAGTTATCTGAAGATCGTCGAATCAGGGCTCTGGTTCAAAGCAGCTCACGACGATGGCTTAGGTCGCATTGGCGAGATTGGAAGGGCATCACATGAGGCGACCAGGCCGGCGCTCCCACATTCGCATCTCAATTAAGCATGCTAGTCAGGCCGACCCCGGGGAACACCACGGGGTACCCCGGGCCGCCCCCGGAGGCCTGCTCGCGAGCGCGTTAGTGTATTGTACCGTCTGGGATGGAGCACGTGTGAGGCGGGACATTCACCAAAACACCATCCGGCAGAGGGCAGAGTCGGAGAGGGCGGTTTCTGCCATTCTGCCAAAGCGTCCGAGGTCAGCTTGCCCGCAACGACTAATCTCTGGTCTCGGCGACGCTGCTCTATCCGTGCCGCAGTGGCAACGGTCCGCTCCTCGCCCGCTCGTTCGGGCGCAGACTGCGTTATTACATGCTACTCCCTGGCCGTGGCGTTCGTTCACATGCCCCGCCGTCATCATCCAACACATCAACGGGATGGCCCGCTCCGCCGACCCGTACACATCCTCACCCCCGGTCGCCAACGACCAGCATCTCCAGAGACGTCGTGCCATCACGCCCCTTTGTCATCCCCGCCTCGCGGCTCCTCAGCCCACACGCTCCCCTATGAGCTCCAGACGATCCATCTGGCATCCTGACCATCTTGTTTCCCCCGTTCCTCCGTCTCGCATGCCTGTCCATGTACACAGCTCCAGACCCCAAAGGCTTTTCCGCACCCTGCAAGTTACGCGAGATTGAGCAGTACGTACGGTGCGCAGCACATGGATCATCGTCTTGCATGCCTCGCCGGCACTTTGCGATGCGAGACTGGGGCTAACCCAACGGAGACCCCCGTCTCCTCGGATCAGCCAGGGCGTCTGCGATCGAAGGGCACATATACATCGCACACAGCAGCTTGGGGCTCGCCCTGGACAGCGATGTGAGCGACGGCGTGTGCGAGAACAGTGCCACGAGTGTCACCACTGTCTTGTGGAACGGTGTCACGAAAGTGTCGCTGACCCGAGTCCGTGGTCCCTCGGCTCTTGATGCGGTACACTCTTGACACAGTAAGCATGCGCGGCGAGAACTCGTCGCCTTCTTAGTCACTCCTGCGTCTACCGTGCCACAGTCCTTCGTGGGGGCTAGCAGCGCGCCCGGCGGACTTGCGATAGGGTAGGCGTTCATATCCGTTTACTTCAAGGTTTCGAGCCGCATGGGCTGTCGTGGTGATCGTGTGCCAATGGGGTGGGACTCGGCTGATGAATCGACACACACCACGCGCAGTCGCCATTTATCAAGCAATGGAGCAAGGATGGGTGAGGCCTGTAATCGGCCTTTTCGGCGTTTTCAATTACCAGCCACCTGCTCTGTGTGAGCCTAAGTATGTTGACCGACCGCCGGTGCCAGGGCGACGGTTCCAAGTACATGCCAACCTCCTCCCGCCTGTGCTGCAGCGACTGTGGCGCAGGCACTTCATAAACGTTAAATCGTCAAGGCCGGTGATGGCCCGATACCAAGTCGGTAGTGTTGCTCCTCCAACGCAGTTTCGTCCTGAGAGTGGCAACGCCATGCAGAAGACCAGACCCCTTCGCAGCGTCGGGAAGCTTTCACGAGGGCGGGCGACGAACGCCGGAGCCGAGCCAGTGATGTGATGAAAGTGGTGGTTGCTTTGGTTACCCAAAGACTCCGTGAGTGTTCCGCGATAGCAAAGTGTGTTGTGTTTTCTCGTGTCTCGTCGATATTTGGCCGTGCAACGCCACGCCATGTCATGTTCACGCTCATGCTCAGTCGCCGACCGAGACGACGACCCTGCCCTTGCACTTGCCGTACGAGCAGCATTCAGAGGGATCCAGTTCGCCCTTGAGAATGGCATCCACCTTGGACTAGACGGGGAATCGAGGTCAGCAATCAGTGTTCAGATAGAGGAAACAAGGGTTGAGGCTGGCGAGCCGTGCTCAATGGAACATGTAGAGGGCTCGCGAGGGAGAATACGACATACCTCGTCGCATGGTCCTGTCGGTCCAATGGGTGCAGCGGCGACAAGGGCCAGTGGTGAAGCCGCCAGGGCCGCGAGCCAGAGGCAAAAGAACTTCATCGCGATGCAGTTCTATGTTGTTTTTGGTGATTGGGAGGAGGCAGAAGCCGCAAGCAACCGTTTGTCCGTACAGGTACGGGGCCGACGGGTGCGGCGGTGCAACGAGGGCCAGGCGCAGTAGCAGCTCGTATCCGCCAGCAGCAGGACTCGAGATGAGCAGATGACTGTGTCGAGAACGGAGCGGAGAGGACTCTGATCGAGAGAGAGGGAAGAGGAGGAAGAGGAAGAGTAGGAGAGGGGAGAGGAAGAGAGGAGAGATGGAGTCGTCGGAGGTGCAAGAGAAGGGAGGAGCGAGCGGCCGGGTTTTGAAGGAAGGATGGGGACGAGCAGCGGCAGCGGGAGCGGCTCGTCGTCACTTTCCCTCTGCCGGGGACGGGGGATGGAGAAGGGG